CGTAGACCTCCCTCGGCAAGATTCTCCGTGTGCCTGTTAGACCTGTGCCGGTGGTTTTCAAGGTCTCTCTCTCTAAATCCACGAAAGCCTTCCTGAACAATCTGGCTTGATTCTCCAGTTTCTCAATTTGATCGGCAACATCTTCTCGCTTCGAGGTTTCCTGCTTGCTTCGGCGGTATGTTTCGAAGAATACCAGGCTGACTCCAACGATGAAGAGAAAGGACTCAGAGACAAAGTTCGAACCCAACTAGGATATCCAGCAAGTCAGTATATAAATTTAAGGGTAAAAAGCCTGGCCTTTGCCCCAGATGAGGGCGATGACACCCACATCAATAGCTTTAGCTTCGGATAGAGGCCGGATCTTTGGCTTCTTTCTTTGCTCTTTAGCCTTATCCAGGCCGTCTTTAGACCGGTTTTCAGATGCTTCATCGGCCTTTGTCTGGGCTTCTGTCTTGACTGTAGGAGCTTCGAACTTGTGCTTCTTCGCCTGAGCTTCTGCAGCTTCCCGGGCGGCTTGTTTCTCGAGCGCTGCACTATCTTGGAGAAGTCCAAGCCGAAATCGCATATCCCATCGATGTATACCCTGCGCGAAGCTGACGCAGACACGACGAAATGTCTCGTGTTCTCGGGCTTGAGCCTTGATGCGATTCTGAAAGGCAGGGAATCAGACCATTGAATGACGGACTATCGAGGAACAGAGACCCACCGCAATTGGCTTCGAGAGGGTTTTAACCACGAGAGAGCCGAGTTTGATCACTATGCTAGACATTGCGGGCGACCTAGTCAATAGGCAATCAGTCAAGCAAGTCCGTGACAATCATGGCTGTAGGCCCCCGCGGCTGGCACGCGAAACGTGGGCTATTGAGAGCGAAGTCTCCATAGATCAGTGGGACATGGACCTTTCAACATATTCTTAGTTTGCTCCAGTGTGTTTTTAGCTCATAGCAATAACATCGGTGAAACACAAAAATTGGTATGGCTGTCGAGTCCTGAGTTCTTTTACCCGGGCCAAATTAGGAAGGTTAGCCGGCTCGGCGGTTGTCATGAGCTAAAAACTTCATTGTTTACATTTTACCGCACACTCTTTCACTCATTGCAAACGTCTCTTCACCTTGCCCGACATGTCCTACTTTTGGTTATGGTAGGCTCATGGACTCTTATGTTCACCTCCAGGTAAATATTCTCTACAACAAATATGCGATAATTAGGAGCTGTGACTATTCGCTATTTACCTGCGCTCGTTAGTCTACTTGCAGACTCATTGAGACTCGCATACAGTTCCCTACGACTCAGCTGACCACAAATACAATATGGCGGCACTATCGCCAAGGTCAACCAACATCCAGGCCAGACCAAAACTCAGCAAGCTGAAAGAGAAAGAGCTGGCCGATGAAGAAGCAAAAAGGGCAGAGGCAGCGAAGAAAGCATTGAAGGAGAAAGACTATGCGCCCGCACCGCCAGAATGGGTTCTTCAGCCTCCCATTACTAAGGGTGGGTTGGCTGAGAAGTTCAGGACCGGAAAGTGTTTAGGGAAAGGAGGCTTTGCGATCTGTTACGAAGGCGAGTTACGCAATAAGGGTAGAGGGGCAGGCAAGACCATATTCGCTCTCAAGATTGTCAAGACTTACATGAGCCTGAAGAAGATGGAGGACAAAGTATGTTGTTTCTGGGTGTTCACAGGTAGATCTCGAGCTAATGTCGCAGTTTCGAACAGAGCTCCAAATCCATGCGAAGATGCGGCATCCAAACATTGTCGAATTTCACCGCGCCTTCACTTTCAAAGACAGCACCTACGTCGTGCTTGAGCTTTGCTCCAATGGATCGATAATGGACATGGTCAAGAAGAGAAGATGCTTGACCCTGCCGGAGGTCCGACGGTTGACTGTTCAGCTTTGCGGAGCAATCAAATACATGCACGCCCGGAACGTTATACATCGAGACTTGAAGATGGGAAATCTTTTTTTGGACCACGACATGAACCTCAAGATTGGGGACTTCGGTCTGGCAGCAGTGCTGGTAAGCAAGCACGAGTACCAAGGCCTATACGACCAGAAGTCTAGGAGGACTACATTATGTGGAACGCCCAATTACATTGCACCTGAAATCTTGGAAAAGGGAAAGGGTGGACACGATCACAAGGTAGACATATGGGCAATTGGAGTCATTATGTAAGTGGCGGAATTGCATTTAGCCGTACCCCAGATCTGACCGTTTCAGGTTTGCAATGCTCGTTGGCCAGCCGCCATTCCAAGCAGCTTCCCAAAACGAGATTTATCGGAAGGCCCGGGGTGTGGAGTACGACTGGCCGGAGAAGAACAAGCACTTCAATGACATACCCGAGGAAGCAAAAGACCTAGTTGCTCGGCTGCTGAAAGTAGATGCGGAAGAACGTCCTGATCCAGATCAGGTTGTCGGCCATCCTTTCTTCTCGATGCACGGTGGCGACGCAATGCCCATGGTAATGGAGGAATACTTCTGCCGTGAATTCCCGCATTACCTTGATAGAAAAGCCTCTCCTCGTGGAGATGTTATGCTGAAGGGTACCGAACGCTTGAGTCTAAGGTCTCTTGCAAGACAGTGTGGTGTGGGATGTTTACCTGGCGACCGTGAGCCTCAAGTAGCGGTTGGTGGGGATGTTGATCTGTCTCTGTACAAGGAGTGCCAGGCAGAAGAAGACTCTGGGAACGCGCCCGTCGTACCATTGCCCAAAGACATGGTGTACACTTCCAAGTTCGCATCATCAAGCTCGCCAAACTCAGAAGCCAACGATTCCAGCCAATCAACTTTGATCAACTCGCACGTCGTGGAAGGCGCAGACACATCTCGATCGTCCGCGGCCATATCTCAATCGTCCACCGCTGTGGCAGAGACCATGAGCAATCGCTCAGTGCCTGAGCGACCACGAAGAGCTCTTATTCCAAGTCATGCTGCTACTCTCCGTGCTGCTCATGTCAGCTCTGGAACCCAGTTGAAGCAGATCTTGGAGCATGCCGGTCCAAATGACAGCGCCGTGCGCACCAAGGCTTCGGCTAATGCTTCTGTCCGTGCACGACGAGGACTATTGAACGAGCTGCCCGTTCGTCCCACCCTCAACGCATCCAGTGGGGGGGGTCTCGAAGCAAAAGCACTAGCCCGGAACCCTAGAGCTACTCGAGCGAAGAAAGTCCACGTACTGGATGAAGAAATGGTAGACCCGCCAGTGGCACCGAAAGCTCGCAGACCACCAACCAAGGATCACTGTGTTGATCACGCATACTCAAACCCCGATGTGAAAACACAAGACATGGCTGCCCGATCAAGAGCCAGAATCGCATCAAACGTGCAGAAAGAGATGGCTGATGTCGTGCCCCTCACCAGGACAATGTCCTCAGAGATGACATCGAATCGCGCCAGAAAGCGGTCTGATAGCCCAAGGCCAGAAAATGCACTCATTGGACCCGATGAGGTACTGGAATGCCTTCCCGAATCTAAGCCGGACGATGTTCTTCGTCAATTGCAAAGACTTCATAATGAGCTTGAGATAAGCTTGAAAGAATTGACTAGGGGCAAAGCTCATTCCCAAGTTGAAGACTTCGATGTTAGAAGCCAGAACTTCAAGCAACGCCCAGTGGTCGTGAAGTGGGTCGACTACACCAATAAATTTGGCATCGGCTACATCCTGGCTAATGGCACCGTCGGCTGCGTCTTCAAAGGTGATGAAACCAGCAATCCAACCTGCGTCGTTGTCGCAGGAGCGGAAGACCACTTGAAGAAGCGCAACGTAGCAAAGTATCGTGAAAAAAAGCAAATGGTTCACGCAAAAGGTGCACCGATTGAGTTTATCGAGAACTGCGGCCTGGATGGTCTCAAGCGTGTCCTGGTTCCGGCGTCTCAATATCAGGTCCCGGTGAGCGATGCTGGTGTTGCAGATAAACTTGCCCCTAGACGCGACATCCACGACTATGAGAAAAGAAGGAAGCTTTGTCTTTGGGACAAATTCGGCAAATACATGACGCAAAGCCTCGGAAAGAGCGAAGAGATTGACGAAAACTCGCCCGAAGAGGCGGACTCGAGCAGGTCGAGACGTAACAATGTTGCAGGCCCATTCGTGAAGTTCTACCAGCGTCTAGGCAATGTAGGCATTTGGGGCTTCGGCGACGGATCATTCCAATTCAACTTTCCAGATCACACCAAAATTGTCGTCTCCGGCGATGGAACATGGCTCGACTTCTACCACCTCCCCATCCAAGCAGCGAAGGCTCTCAAAACCGGACGAATTCTAGAAGCAGGAGCACTGGCTGCTCGAAGCGTCCTCTGCTACCCTACAAGCGTCATGCTGAGCGGCTCCTATCGCGGTCACGAGTTCAAAGAACTGGTCAGAGAGAACGAACTCGATGCTAAGACGGTGTTTGTGAGGGATGTCGTGGGCCTCTGGGCTAAAGAGGGTGGTTTGGGCTGTATGGGGAGGAAGGAGGGTGTCAAGTGGGAGGGAATGTTGGAGGAAGGTGGAAAGTTGGTATGGGTTACAGTTGGTGCGAAGGGTGGGGATACGAGATATGAGATGCCTGCTACAGGAACTTGAGCCACATCGATCATGCCTCGGAACAGGTCTTGTGTAGCGTCTATGATTGGATGTCTCATTTTCGAATCGTCCTCTTGAGCAGCCCTAGCACAGCAGGATTACCACATTGGACAGACATCATGCAGCGAGCGTCAATGATCCAGCCTGGTGTTTGTTTGTCGTTCATAGACAGGATATGATGGGCTTCTCCCGTGTCTTGGTCGAGCATTCGACGGCCGCGAGCATTGTTGCAGAGCATCGCTCAAACCATAGCATTGAGTAAGCAAATGGGTATCTATCTGACGCCAAAGCTCGAAAAGGCCGCGCTACGCAGGTTCATTGATCGCTTGACCAACCCCCCCCCCCCCGCCCCAAAAAAAAATCCATGAAGCCGATCAATGCAAAATTCACGGAAGGGTGCTATATGCCAACGCAAAAAGCAAAACGTGGTCCGTGTACATCACGCATGTCCAGCTAAGTGAGCTCGCAAGATCGTAGACAGATCCACATCCACATCCGCTCTCTCTCCTTCTTCACCTTCTACCGCATACATCCCCCTCACCGAGTCTCTCAGCTTCCCCTCCCACCTCTTAATTTCCACCATGCTCACTTTCTCAAATGCTTCACCCACCTCTCCGCTCTTGACATAATGATCCCACGCGCCACTGTCTTTCATATCCTCCTCCACATCCCCCACATTGACGTCTTCGACCATCAGACTCAGATCGCCGATGTAACTCCCTTCTTGCACAGTCTCTAACGGCAACATAGCCGTCTTCTGCCTCTTCGACCTCCCTCTTTGTGACTCTGGTGCTTGTTCTCCCTGTTGCTGCATGCGCAGGAGGTAGGCGCGGGGGTCGGAGGGTTCGAGTGCTGCGGTCCCTTCCGCTCCGAGCGATGGCGTTGCGGGCGAAGGCCCGTCTGAAGTATGTAAGGCGGCGATTGCTTTGGCTTGGCGGTTCTTGTGAGGCGACGTGGTGGCGTGCTGAGGGTGAAGAGGATTGGGTCCATCTGCCGGTGCTTTGCTGGCGAGCTTTGCGGCAGCGGCTTGCTCCCGCAATACTTTTCTGTGTGCCTCTCCAGCCTTTTGCTTGCGGGCTTCGTAGTCGAGCGTTATTGCCAAGTCGGGATGTATAGGTGGTAGTGAGCGCTCTGCAGAGGCTGATATGATTGGCGCGTCTTCTTCGATTTCATCGTCGCGAAGGATGAGGGTGGGTACTGTAGGTATGTCTTGATGGTCATTGTTTGGGCGTAGTCTTTGAGGTCGCTTTTGTAGTGGATTTTCTCTTGTGTCGAACCAGACGCGATTGGGGTCATTGACGGGAAATATGAATGGTTTGTCGATGTTGCCTTGTTGCTGTTTCCGTGGCCCGGGTTTCCGTCGTGCTCGTTGGGATGCGTCTGGGATCTCACTGAGCGGTGTCCCACCTGGCGGTAGGGATCTTGCTGAGACAAAATCACGGGAACATGGCTGGTCTGGTGCACCTGGATCTTCTTGCAGAGTGTTAGGGGAATAATCAAGCTCGTCATAGCCACCGAGCGACCTCTGCACGGTGTTAAAGGCATCGCCAAGCTCGTCATATCCACCAAGCGACTTCTGCACCCAAGTATCCAACGCTCCACGTCTGTGACGCTCCCCTTTTGATGGTGCAGGCGTTGATAAAGCGTCGACACTAGCATCGCCGGCCTTGCGCTTTCCACGAGCTTTTTGAGGGAATGGGAAAGGGCTTGGCGTTGGGTAAGCTGCCTCAGATGAAGAGTGAGCCTGGTGAACGCGACGCAAAGGCTTTTCCGCCAATGACGGATCTAGACCCCGTGGCAGATCGTCTGAAGATGGATCAGGGGAATGGCCAATATCGCCGATTTGTCGTCTTGGCGTGTGGAGTTGCTTGTTACGACCTGAGGGGCGCATTGCTGCGTTGAGCTTAGCGAAAGCCCATGGATTCGATACGTTGACATCACGCAGAGGTTCCTCTCCGTCCGGGTCAATATCCGCAGATGATCTGGGGCGTCCTCGCAGATCGAGTTCGAGGTCTTCGTCGTCTTCATCCTCTGCGTACATGGAACCGATCCAACCAGGCTTCCCTTCGACAGGAACAGCGTTGCTAGAGGGCCTGAGGCCAGCGTCCTCTGACAGCATAGGTGTGGAGAAATCGTGACTCGGTGGGGGACCGCGAGGTGCTCCTGTTTGGGTTTCATCAGTGGCTGGAGAATCCGTGATTGAATGGCTGATTGCTCCGGAGATTTCATCACTTTTCTGGCAAGGAGGTGCTGCAGCCGATGAATCAAAGGCAGAGGTCGCTAGAGGACTTGAATGTGGTTGAGGGTGAGTAGTCAACTTAGATGCTGACCGAGGCGCCGGAAGGGTAGATCCACCCACCCGGGAAATGCCCACGGGAGCAGGTTCGACAGGCGCAATTGTTCGAGCGAGCAATAGTTCAATACCGCGAGGATTAAGCGCAGATACGGTTTTTGCTGACGGCTTGGAAAAATTAGGCTGGACTTCGCCGTAAATGCTGTGGAACCATCTTTCAACTATTTCGAGAAGCAACTCGGAGTTAGTGAATAGAACGTCATCCTTGGCTGGCTCAACATTTGCATCGTATGCTCCTGGCGGGCAAGCGATATTCAAACACAAGAAAGAGTCCACAATCCTTGCATTGTCTTCGCCGACCGTAGCAGAACGTAAATGAGATTTATATGATGAGATGATCTGCTTCAAAGTTCCTCTTGTGCATGAAACCGGTCTCGAGTCCACTGATAGATACTGGCCAGCGTTGGACAGTACTGAGCAATCTAGATGGCGAGTAGATTAGTAGGTCTCTTTTTACTGCCTAATGACTGCGAGGAAATAGGTACCGCAGTCCTGTCTGGCCATTATAGCCTCAAGAGTATACGCTTCGTCTCTGCTAGCGCTAGGCCCCAATTGTTCACTCGTGGCCTCGTCGATCTGCTCTCCAGTGCTTGACCAGCTCGAAAATGTCGATTCACACTGGCTCGTGAGCTTCTTGCCAAATATGTCAGCGGCGGCATTGAAGCTGGCTTCCAGTCGTGAAGCGCTGATTGCTCCGCTTTTTGGATACGTCCAGTCCCCTTTCCTGTCTTTAGCCTTCAGAATCTTTAGCGACAGGCGTAGGTGCGGCCGTGCTAGGGCATAAGCTTGTAGCATCCTTTTGACTTTTGCGTGAATCTTCACCGCTATCTTCTCAGCAGCTTGTTTGCGAACGGGCAGGTTTTGGAGGAACTTTTCGACCCTGACGGTCGTTCCCACTGGATGAGATGTGCGCTTTTTACTGAGGCTGACTTAGCATGGATCCGGAAGCCTCGCGTGCCACCAACCTACCCCGAGATCTGACCCTTGCGATCGAACTTGAGCTCCACAGCGGTGCCTTCGCCCTCTATCCGGGTGGTAATTGTAAGACTCCCACTAATCTCTGCTGCACTCGCCAACGCTTCCCCTCGAAAGCCTAAAGAGCGCCCTCCAATATTCTCGAGATCATGAAGATCTCTTATCTTGCTCGTGCAGTGTCTTGTGCACGTCATGGCACGGTCGTCTGGAGCAATGCCATGACCGTTGTCTTTAACTCGAATGTCGTCCAGTGCATTTGCAGATATTTCAACAGAGATGGTAGTAGCCCGACCATCAATAGCGTTGTCTATTAATTCCTTGACCACAGAAGCAGAATCGGTAAGCGCTTGTGAAGAGCCGATGGCTCGAACGGCGTTCGGTGGGAGTGCTGCAATTGGCATGCTGCAAGCTTCTCCAACAAAAGCCAAAAACTAAGAAATCCTCCGCCTTGAAAAAAGTAGTGGTCGCGACCAGCAGGCCTTGTAGCGTGTTCTAGAGTCTCGATTGCATGAGAACTTTTATGGATAAGCCCTGTCGGCTCTTAAGTCTTAAGACGTACCCACATGTATTGAAAGAGGGCAAGAAAGCCCGAGGTTTGTTAAGTTATGACATGAAAGAAATAAGCAGTTACACCAAGATGCCATGTCAGCGGAGAAGGTCACACGAAAATAGTACAAACAAATGATGAGGACTTTACATTGTGTATCAAAGTTGCCGTGATATGCATTCGGAAGATTCGAAGAGTAGCCAATTAAGGTTGGCGGTAAATTTACGCTAGAATAGCCTGTTTCGCGTAGACGCGGATACAAGTACTGTACTAGTACTGTGTCACGTGTGTCCATTATTCCTTTAAGTTCTCCAAATTTTGTGCGGATGAGATATGAGACCATAAGGCATCCATTTCAGATGGTCTCAACCACCGTTATAGGTAGTCTTTTCACTTGCTTTTCTTTGGCACCGCCATTGTAGAAATAACCTATCATTATTGACCGGTGCGCCGCTTCTGAAATCTGTTTGTTGGTTGCCCTTTTTCAAAATTTCACATAACACGACTGTCCGGAACCCTAAGGTATATGTATTAAGGAAGATCGAGCAAGTCCGATGCTCGTGGTTCTGCGGAGAGTATTCGAAAGTCGTTGCGGTCCAACCCTCCCCCTTGTTGCTCCTCGGCCAATAGGACCTTCAACCATGAGGCATTGAAACATCAAAGATTGATCGTGATGTATCAAGTCGTCGTCGTCGTCTTGCATTTCGAGTCTCAACTGCTCCTGCATCTCTCCCATGGGTGTATTATCACTCACATCAACAGTCATTTACCCCCTCCATCGACGACTTGTTTCATGCTTGACTTCATCATACATTGGCATTGAACAGGGTATGCATGCCCACGTGCTATGGGGAGTTGACCACAGAATGCAGGAGCTGGCATTTCATGGTCCACGACATCGGTGCAATAAAAAGTATAGAGTGCTGCCTCTGCATGTCGAAAATGAATGCTTTGAGATATTCGGCCTTTACATTGCATGAAAAAACCCGGAATTGCTTTACATCGAGTTGTCCGTTTCCCCTTGTTTCCCAGCGGAGTTGACCTATGTTCCATAACAGCCTCTTTGAGATCTTACACATGACTGCTCACCCTCTCTAGGATTCCTATTGCAAAGGATGATTTCGTTCCAAACATTGTTGGATATTGCCACCATCATTACTCACGCCATAGCTGTCCCCAGCCCAACTTCGTCAGCTCCTCCAAAAGCATCAACTAGCTCTGGAGCCAAGTCATATTCGAAGGCATTCAATGCCACGGTACGCTGCGTCATATGAAACAAGCGCGGCCTCTCCCGTTATCCAGTATAACGACACCACTGTCCGCGTTGGCATCTCCGCAAATGTGCCCACGCCCTATTTGGAACTAAACTATATTGGCTGAACTGTTCTAAGCAGTATAGCCGCGTCGATGCAAGGTCGTGATTGTGGTGGGATCTAGTCTGTTCTTGATAATATATCTGCCTTGAATTTCCTATAGGTAGTAAAGCGCGCTATGGAGGGCGTTGCAACTGATATTATATCAATTATATCTGATACCCTTGACCAGGCTACGTTTACTGTGAAAACCCCTGTGCAGCTACAATATAGTCAGCCGAGCCTATCTGTTCGAAAGGGCGGAAAACGACGTATGTTATTAAGCTCCTTGCCAATATCACTCGCAGCAATTTAAAGTATGTATCACAGTATAGCGGGCGCACCAGAACAGTTGTCCGAGACGGGAGGGTAGGAAGGAGGGAGGAGAGGTTCCGATTTTGCCTTTCCCACTAACCACCCACGCGCAATGTTGGTTCGTGTCGAGGCGTAAAGTACGAAGAGGTTCGGCGAGGCGGACTCACGGATCCGTCCACGCGACTGCTTCCGAGGGGCGCTTGAGGTGCTCGTATCCAGGAATTAAGGTTGCTTTTGAGGCGCACTTGGTTCCTGCAGACAGATGTTGGCTGGGGAACTTCCAAGGCTCCGCGAGGCGTGTGACGAGGAGGGTTCGGCTGGAGTGAAGTTTCGATGCTCTTTTGGTTCCATGGCACATGGCCGGTCAGGCTGTCGAGATGAGTGTTGTAATAAGACGATGGCTTTTGATCGTGTAGATCTAGATGGACAAGTCGGGAACAGATACCGTGAAGGGTGTTTGGCAGGGCTCACATGATAGGCGAGCGGGGGCGAGGTGTTGCGTGTGCTTGGGGGAGAAGTAGTATGAGAGAACGATGACGATGTTGAATCGGTCTGGGTGAACTACCCGAAGGATATCTTCGACCGTGACGGCCGGGATTGGAGTCCGGATTGGGAGGGCGCACCACTGCCTTTTGGCTCTCTCAACGCTCATCCCTCCCTAAAAAGCAAAGAGGTCGTTGTATCTCAATTCCTTGCCGTGAAGACAGACCGAGTCTCGAAGTAATCTACGGCTCTAGACATGCCCCTTTTGGACCCGAATTCACACTCTGGTTGATGCAATCACATGGATAAAGTATTCATGCATACTGATTTGACTTTACATGATGAACTCTGCAACAACGACGAACGCGACCTACCGTTTCCCGCGCAATGGACTCGCTGACGGTTTGCGCAGGAGAGATGCTGGCCCAGGGAAGCCGACTGCGTTCCACCGCCGCAGGAAACTCAGAACTCACATTCAGCCTGCGCGATAAATACGTCTTCCCCGGCGCCGTTGTCACAACCCTGCGTCGACCAAGTCGCTGGGCTGCATGTGGTCCATGTGGCCATATCCGGACAGGAGACGCTACCAGGAGCGTTCGTGGGACCTTGGTACCTGCATGATCTGTATGGAGCATTGTTGAAAGGGCCTAGGCTGGTCGGGAAGCTGACGGTGTCGCCGGCAGTTTTAAAAAAAAATCCTCCATTGCAGGCATCTATCTTGGTGGCTTGACCGATGGGGTGCGAGTAGACTGTCCAAGCGTCGAGCTGTATCCCGTCGACGGTACCGTCTTTGAACATAATCTCAAACGCTCGTGTCGGAGTTGCTGTGATCTTGATATCAGTTCCCATTTCCTTGAAAACTTGAAATATACCTCTGGGATACATACGCTGTGACGGTGTCACCACGGGAGCCGGGGTAGCAGATGAGGTGACGGTCCATGTGCTGACTGGAAACTGGTTTATCGGGAAGATGGTATTGCTGAGCGCGCAGCCAGTGCTGGATCCCTGGGTTGTCAACGCTGCGGTCGTCGTCCCGCAGTCACACTTTTCGCTCGGGCTGCCTTGAACCGATATGGATGGTAGGAATGTGAAGCAGTTCTCGGTTTCCGGATGAGCTGTGTCTGGCATGGACGGAAAAGTGATATCTCCGATGGTAGTAAATGTCGTATTTGGCATAGATGGAGGCGCTTCAGAAGTGGCATAATCCCATTGCCATGTTCCAGCGCCTTGATCTGGAAGTGCCGTGAGGCTGGAGTTTGTGCCGTCGCTATTGTTCATGTGGCTCCATGCATCGACGGCCCAGTCCTCTGCAACTGAGACGACTGGACGTGCTCCCCAATCGAACGACTCCGGAATACTTATCGCTAATTAATACCGATTAGCTAATCCGGTGGCTTGGCGGGTGGTGATTATCTTACCCAGGGCGGTATAATAATATGACATGTCTATTGAGATTAGCTGATGATGAATACAGGATCAGACATGAGTCTGCATTGGGGATCTGCATACAATTCACCAAAGTTCCTGGCAGACCATTTTTTAGTGTAGCCATCCTATGACAGGCAGCTGGCCTTTGTGCCAGGTTGGAATACTCCACTAAACAACCCGCCAGAAGTTGTGATAGGTCTGATGAACGCCAACGTTACTCTCTTTGATGCCTATGGAACGGATCGAGATGATACCCGAAAAGAGCCACTGCTCACGCGTATTCAAGTAGTTCTCCATGTAGTGTATGTTTTTTCTTGGATCGTCGATTGTGCTCTGAATTTTGTCGGGAGCGGTAGGCAGAGACCAGAAGCCCGGACAGATATTCCAGAAGATCCTGTCCTGAAAACGTAATCAGAACTCGCACCACGAGGTATGCAGTCACTCTTGAGGATAGCATACATAGCGATTGAACCAGGCCACCTTGTTGAGGAAGTTGAAGGCATGGTTGTATGGATTGCACGCAAGGTTGGGGATGGTCCACCCATAGTCGCACCCAACCCACAGCCAGGTGTTGGTATATTCGATTTTCCTCAAGTTGATCGCCGTACTCACTCTGAGGAAGTTATCTGGCAGTGATGTCAATTAGTAGGCCTGCAGCGAAGTATGTGATTGAAAGTCGCGTTACTTCTGATCCACGCAGCTTGGGTATGTGCACTTTCTCCGAACCAGTGAGTCACTTCGCCACTCCAATCGTGAAATTCGTCCTCCTTCCAGAGCCGGGCTCGTTTGGAAAATCCTGCGATGTTTTTCATCGTGAGCAGGATTGCCGCCTGCTGGCTGGCAGAGCATTTTCCGCCTTCGAAGATCACGTTGAAATCGAATTTGAATTCTGGTTGTGTATCGGGCGCTGGTATCGAGTCTACAACGATGGGACTAAGCCTCTCGGTCGATGAGTTCGATAAATTTGCCGAGGCGGCAGCATGTCTTGCAAAGACAGCAACGGATGCCAAAGCTTTGAGTGAAATATGTGTGATATGCATGGCTTGGAAATGTACCACGATTAAAAAGAATGGGTTTTGGGGCCTTTCCTCCACGAATGTGTTCGCTATGAGTTCAAGAGCTATGGGAATTCAAGTAGGTAGACATTCAACGTATTTATATTCGTATCATGCCCAACATCACCCGCTCTTTGCACTAGACCTCGCCATGCCAAAATAAAGTTCGATGCGGGCCCACGAAACTCACACCAACATGACATCTCCCAATATCCTGAGCAATTTTTGAAACAGTCCATCAGTCAAACGGTCCAACAACTGCTCGATGCAATTTGTTGGTCATGGATTGAGCCTGCTTGACTGAACTCTGAGTTCTACAGCGAGACAAGCCGATTGGAATCGAGGTCTTGCATACTCACTCGTCTATCAATCAGGTCAACAACGGGCTTAACGATACAATACATCGCTAACGAACGGAATGGAAGACATACATACGCCCGGTCATGATTCATGAAGTACTTATCCATTCGAGAAGTGAGCTACCTCGCTTAGTAGTGGCGGGAGAACCCCTTAAGAGCTTTGGCTGAGTGCCAAGACCCTAAATATTAGCGTCGTAGCTCACTTCTCGAATGTACGAGTAATCTGAGATATTACCTTACTTATTAATTGAAGGTATTCCGATGCCAGAGTAGTTGGCATTTCTTGGCGTGTACGACCACTTCTGTACGCGTATATCGTAGGTCAAAGCTAAGGATGATTTCGGTGTTGTCGAGACGACGATACGACGTTCAATTGAGGATACGAAGGTCTTGGCAGCGACTTGGTGTCATGTAAGGTACTAGTACCCTATGCAAGTGATAGGGCTGAGTAGAGGGAAGTCCAACCAGTAAGGTACTTTTAGAAAAGACGATGCTTTGCTCGTCGCAATTTGATGTTTCCAACCGTCGTCCAACGGAGTCTCCATGAAGTTTATTATTTATTCACTCCCGGACACGAAAGTCAACTCGCAATACTGGCAACTTAAAGTACCTAAAGTACACTAAAACATAAAGTAGTGCTAGTAGCCCTACGAGAGAAGCTAAGCAACCGGAGAGAGGATCGATTCGTGCAGAAACCGAGCTAATCAAAATAAGTATTCGTACTGTACCTTACCTTAGATCCCCATCGTAAAGTAAGTAGTGTATGTTGCCAAATCGCTAGTCGAAGGGGTACTAGTCGAATAATAATAATGTAAAGTAGAGAAGTAAAGGACAGGTAGGGGAAATTTATATCCGACAGCAACTCCGTAGGATAGACGAGGTGTTCTACGGTACTTTAGGCTTCGAGGAAGGTCGATGTACGAGTACAGGTACTCTAGGGGAACGAATGCTGGGTCAGCCTTGGTGAAGTGCCTCGGGGATACAAAGTATTTAGAGTCAGGATGGGCGCACCCTTCCTTCATCCCCTTCAACTCCCTCATTTATCACACCAGTGTCAGCATCGTCTTATCCAGACCTGAGCGAAGCGTCTCGATTGGAGAGGTGAGGCTTGGGTTGGGTGGTAAGTCACCCAGATGGGATAATTGATCGCCTTTGGTAAGAGCGCTGGCTGTCGTCTTCAACTTCTGCTGCCAAGCCTGGTAGTGAAATCTTAAAACATGGTATTCACCGCGCAATGTCAATTGAAAATTTGCATCTTTGCTTCCTTCCTGTCGCTTCCTATCCTCGCCTACTTTCTTTGCTACTTTCTTCTGCCTCTTCTCATGTCTCGGAGCGCTTTAGGAAGTCTGGCACTCCCCGGCGTGTTTGCCTTGATCTCATATCTCGCCTATGGATCGCAAATCCTTTTTCGCCACATTGAGCCGCACGCTTTGGAACAGAAACAGGCATTCATCTTCAATGCTCTGGTTGCTTGCATATGGATCACCTACGCTCGAGCATGCTTCACTAATCCTGGATGGGTACCGCCTGCCTGGAATTCCAATCACTCGGCTTCTGAGCAATCACCGCCGTCTAAGAAGACGCTAAGATGGTGTAGAAAGTGTGAAGCGTTGAAGCCGCCCCGAGCACATCACTGCAAAATTTGTCAAAGGTGGTCAAGGGTCTCATCTCCTGCAAATGATGCCGACATCTGATGGAAGCCTGCAGATGTATCCCAAAGATGGATCACCACTGCCCATGGACTATCAATTGTGTCTCTCATCGTACCTTTCCTCATTTCCTCCGCTTCCTATGCTATGCAACGGCATCAATGGTATACCTCGAATACTTCATCTACCTCCGAGTAGCTGTGGTTTGGACAGGACGTAATCTTCCAAGCGTATGTCGGTATAGCTGATCATGCTCTGGTCATTACTTATCAGACCTTCTCAGTATCTCGGTCCTACTCCCACCCAGCTAGTCTTCCTGTTCATATTCCTGATTGTAAACTCGCTCACTTTGTTCGCTCTTGCTATCCTTCTGGCTCGTAATATCTGGTGCTTGGGTGGCAATGTAACAACAATTGAAGGATGGGAGATTGAACGACATCAGACGCTCGTTCGCCGAGCTCGGGTCCTGGGAGGATATCTAGATGGCCCAGACGGCATGAGAGTCAAGATTAGGAAACAGGAATTCCCTTACGATATTGGAATACTTCAAAATATGAGGCAAGGAATGGGCGGTACTCCTTTGCTTTGGCTATGGCCGTTCACGGCAACACCATCAATCGAGTCTGGCCTGGACTTTGAGACCAATGGCTTTGAAGGTACTGTGTGCTCTGAAAAGTATAATAATGCTAACATGCTATTGACAGATCCCTCTATGTCGTGGCCACCCCCAGACCCTGACCGGATGCCAAGGCTTAGCAATCGGCCACCTTACGAACAACCGTTTGTCTACGATGAAGCCTTGTCGACGACTCAAAACAACGTTGATGCATTTCGTAGAAGACAAGAGGAAGACCTAAAGCGATATGACGGAGGAGCCACTACTGCAATTCGGCGCCGACCTTTCCATGAACGCTACAGGAATGGAGGCCATGATGAGGCGTCCTTTGCTTCCCAGCCAGTTGGATCCGATGATTTGGCAGGCGGTGAAGAGGTTTGGCGAGATTCAGAGGGAGACAGGTTGGATGACTTCGGCGTTGACGAGGATGCCGAATTCTATGACGAGGATGACATACCGTTGGCCGAGTTGCTCCGCAGACGACATGAGCCTGCCCATTATAGTGACGGTAATTGAGGAGTCGACAGTTGCCTGGATGAAGACCAAGCCACTTGCGGCCTTAGATACGGAATTGAAGTGCTACGTTGCGGGTGGCAAGCTATCTCATGCCTAAATCATGCGGGGCACGGAAAGCATCAAATCATCTTCGTTACAAACGAAGCTTATGGCCGTTAAGCCTTCACTATTTGCATCATGCGGGGTAGCGACTATGTACTTGTTGGGTAGCATCGATTGCATCGGCAGCAACCCTGACGCACGGACGCTCATGCGTGTCCCCTGCTTATTAGTTCTAGAAGATCAAATGGCTGCCACGCGAGCATGTGCATCGATATGCAGGTCATATACGGACTACTTTAGCCTGTCTCCTTCGTCGATCCGTGCCGAAGCCCGACAAGAGGATGAGTGAAGGCCCGACTGTCTCCGAATAAAATAACACCCCCCGATGCAGGTTGCTCAATCGGTGGATCCAGTCCTCAGACAGCGCTCAACACAATTTTCCGTTTTCTAGCGTGGGGACCGAACAGATAGGCACCTCCTAATTCTTCGGAACGTAGCAGGCACGAGGTCCAATGCTCCCCCAATCAGGGCTTTGAAAGCTTTCAAGTCGGACTGTTTTACTTTTGCCAATTTGCATTGAAGCCCGAATATTTCCCTCCTCGCATGCTCACAGTCTTCAATTGTCCATGATCCCAATTCGTACTTCCGTCGGGTCCAGACCCAGACCATTGGATCTTCTTATGAGTCAAATGACCGACGTTCTCGCGAATGGACGGTGACGGTCAATTCAATTGCCCTGATGGCCACGGCATTTTTGGGGGGGGGGGGATAAAATCAAAGTATTTTTTTCCCCGAGATCACAGCTAGGCACAGGTGACAGGTGGCGTTCCTGCCTCAACAGCGGAAGGTCCCGCCGCAGACCCCCACGCTCGGCCAGTGGTTTCGCCTCATGAGCCCGGCAGAAGGGAGTCGAGAAGCCCATGCGACCCTTGGGCTCTCCCATCTGCGGTGCTATCTCGTATCTCAGTCCCTTTCTTCCGGCAGGATCAATATCTCTTTCAGTGCAAAAAGTAACTTACATGTACCTAGCAGATTCCCAGACTAGCCGATAGTGCGGTACTTTAGTATTCGCCTGGCTTGACAGCTAAGCAGCTCGCAGAGTAAAGTAATAAATGCCCTGGAAATGCAGGAGACTACGAGTAGTAGTTGACGATCAATCACCAAATTCTCCGTTGATGCATTAGCCATTCGAATTCTGGTAAAGCTTAATTCCCACAGCGCCCCTTTCCCGGTGAGAATACTGGAAATATAACCAATCAGGTGAAAAAATTGTGTAGGCTACGTGTGGGATGCATGTGGGGTCCGAAGCGTTCCTGGGATTTCCGTGGAACGGTTGGGAAAAGAAAAGAAAGAAAAAAAAGAAGAGGAAGAAAAGAGAGAAAAAGAAAAGAATTGCTCCCCACAAGACTTTCACCTCACTCACATGTGACAATTGGAATTTAATCGCCTGAAGATCAAGCTGACGTTCCAAGGACTCTGCTCCGAGCTCTCTCTCTCCTCTCCTCTCCTCTCCCTTCCCTTTAATGTGTATCAGCTTATTACTGCATTCCATTTCAATTCCCACCAGACTTCACCTTCTTAGCCTGTTGGACCCCCACTCTATCCTAGGGCTTTATCCTTGTGCTCGGACCTCTTTGCTGATCTCCATAGTCTTTCTCGACCACCAAAAACCTGACCATCGTGTATGGATAATTATGGAACGTCTCTTTAGCTTTGTACATGTCATGGATTCCGATTTCTTCCCCGTCCTTTGCAAATATCTAGTTCCCAATCAACCTCCGCTCCTTTTCTTCACATTTTCGTCTTTTTTCCTTCACCCAAAATGTCTCCTCACAAAACTGCTTCGCCTGCCGGCAGTTGTCATCAAGACGATCTGCAACTTCCTTCTGTCTCTCTTCTTGCCCGACCAGCGACACTGACCCACTCAATTTCTTCCGAATCATCCTACAACCCATCTCCCCGGAGCGCATCTGTTTCCTCGCTGGACGACATGCCCATCATGAATAGACCCTTGAGACCAGGTGTATACGTGCCGACTGTGGCATTTTTCAAGAACAACGAGGATCTCAACCTCGATGCGATAGGAAAACATGCTGTGAGACTCGCCAAGGCTGGTGTGGCTGCGATTGCAACGCAAGGTTCCAACGGCGAAGCAGTACATCTCACCCATCAAGAAAGACAACAGGTCACACGCATCACACGTAAGGCTTTGAACGATGAAGGATTTGACTCCCTGCCAGTCATCGTGGGCTGTGGCTCGCAGTCGACTCGCGAGACGATCGAGCTTTGTCAAGACGCCCTAGCTTCTGGAGGCGACTATGCCCTAGTTCTTCCTCCGTCCTACTACAAGCCATCCCACAAGCCAGACACGATAGTCGGATTCTTCAGAGATGTTGCCAACGCATCTCCCATCCCCATCATCATTTACAACTACCCAGCAGCGGTGGCTGGCATCGACCTCAGCTCGGACGTAATCAGCGAGCTCTCCAAGCATCCCAACATCGTTGGCTGCAAGCTCACATGCGGAAACACCGGCAAGCTGACTCGGATCGCCGCAGCCACAAATGCAGCCACACCTGCAGATGCTGGCTCCAGTTTCATGTGCATGGGCGGTTCTGCAGACTTCACTTTGCAGACGCTGATTGTCGGTGGATCTGGAGTCATCTGCGGGATCGGCAACGTTGCGCCCAAAGCCTGCGTCAAGATTGTGGACCTGTTTGCGGCCGGGAAGCTGGCCGAGGCCAAAAAGCTGCAAGCTGTTGTGGCCCGTGGTGACTGGGCCGCTATTTCTGGAGGCATCGTAGGCACGAAGAGCGCGTTGGATACGTACTTCGGGTATGGAGGCATCGCACGCAGGCCTTTGCCTCGAGTGACCAAGTCAGAGGCTATAAAATTTGCCAGTGATTTCAAGGAGATTGTGGAGTTGGAGAAAAGTCTGTCATGATGAACGTGGGCGGTATTCTGTGTCCTTGTTCTCGCAAGCGCTTTTCGTAAAATGGCGTACGAATGTTTAGCGATAGCCAGCCATGCTTAGATGAACTTGACCTGTCAGACCATGCTGTTTTTTTTTCTTTTTCTTTTCATCATATCAATTCCAAAGTACCTTATCTATTCTAGGATCTGCGAGGAAGTACTCGTAGGTGGTCTGCGCGTAGTCGGTTCGGCCCTGTCAAACTTGCATATTTACCCCAGACTACCTTCTTTTGCCGCAGCTCTTTCACCACTCACTGGGCCGCACACTCACACCACCTTCCCCACCATAATCAATCACCGTCCCCACACTAGTCAGGTACCATCTCCACGCTTGACCACAGCTGTGCGCTTCGATCGAGCTTTCCCGCCCAACAAAGGGATTGATCTATCAAAAGCCCGCCAGGGCTGTCAAGACAGTCTAAAGTTCTCAAGAAGCGCGCCTTCATGACGAGCCCAACCAGAATTGAACGGTTCACAAAGATGCCGCTCGCTTCTAGTGCGTCTTAGCCCTACGCAATATCGAGGCAGCGACTATACACGCCATGCAGCATGAGCGCTGACCCTCTTGCGATGCCCGTCCTAAATTGGTGCAATCTTTCCTGCTGCAGCTTTCTGCGTCGCAGATGCGTACGGCGATGCTATAATCCAGGTCCCACCCTCTTCAAGCACGTGTTTTACAGGAGAATAGAAAGAGTAGGAATACAGTGGAGGACCAGGGTTTCCCGGCAAATTCCGCGAGAATGCGTCACTGGCTCCTACGCGCCGCCCCATTGCTGGCTGCCCTTCTCGGGATATGGGCTCCGCTGTCTTTTGCTACGCCAACGCTTCGCAGTAGCATTGACCCAGCCATTCCTATCGTTTCCCAGCAGCAGCAGCAGCAGCAGCAAAGCGGACCTCAAGCACTTTCACTGTCTCCCGCTTACAGACGTTCTTCTCGATCAGTAACTCCTACTGCCATAGGAAAGCGCGATGGCATCCACATCCAGGAGCTAAGTTCCAGCTTCCTCCTCCATTACCATGTTTTCACGGTAAGTATTCTCTACAGATCTCCTCGTCACAAGACATCCCTTCAGGAAACGAGCGAAGCCACTTGCTCCTTCGTCTTCCCATACATCCAAAGGATGCTGAATACCGAAACTAATTCCTCCAGACATTTGCCCCTTCCTGGCCCACCGCATCCCGGCTCGCAAACTTCTGGTTCCAACTCGGAATCCAGCTCCTCGAGGTCCCGGACCACTATTTCCTCTCAAAGGCTATACAATTCAGCTCGGGACCGCTGAAGCTGGAACTGTTCAATGCGAGTGGTGACACCGGTGGTATTCCGAGGGAATTTATCATTGCGTTGGCGAATGCGATGGTGGGGTATACTGAAAGGGGCTTTTGTGGGATGTTCAATGCGAGGATTAGCAGTAGGGGAAATGAAGAGGGAGGGCCGAGTGAGGTGGCGAAGTTGTGGATTACTTTTAGGATTGTTGAGGGATTGGGGGAGGTGATTGGGGTGTGATGGTGGGGTATGTAAGACAGTGGAGAGGGTTGGCGTTCTTCTGCATATGAAGATCGGCTATTGACGGTTGACAACGGAGGAGATATCTTTGGTAGAGCAGCTTCCTTACCAAGCATTCTCGTATTGTAATCATATTCATCTGAACTTAAGTGCGCTTCAATTTGGACATATTAACCTCCCTTGCCCATTTTCTTGCGCACCTCCAACAGATCCCCAGCTACTCTTCATCTCAGCGATTGATAACCAAAGCCCCACCTTCCGCCTCGTCCAGCTGGCTTCATCCCTCACCATGGGCGGTGGTCCCGACTCGAAGCCCGAGCATCTGCTCGTCATCCTGCCCTTCAAAGAACCGACCGAGATATTCAACAGGATCAGGAAGAACCATCCGAATATCAAGATTACGTTCAAGAGCTTGCTCTTCACCAGCACGCCGTGGATGGGCGAGGAGGATATACCGAAAGGTTTGATTGACCTCCCCCTCTCTTCTCTTCCGCCTCCGCCTCCTGCTCCTCTCAATAGCTGGGTGTGATGGATGATTGCTGAATGCTATGCCCGCTGTAGAAATATACAAGGATGTTACCATCCTCGTCACACTGTCCGCTCTCCCTCCGAGTCCCGAAGCCTGCCCCAACCTCCGACTCATCCATTTCTTCTCCGCCGGCACGAATCACATCGCGAATTCTCCAATCTATACAAGCACCTCGATCCCGTTGACCACCTCATCGGGCATTCACGGCCCCCAAATTGCGGAATGGGTCATCCTGACCGCGCTGGCCCACTCGCATCACTACTCCTTCCTCCACACACTGCAAAAGAATCGCGAATGGGACAGAGCCAAGAACATAAAGGCCTTGCAGAGTTTGAAGGATAAAGCAGGCCAGCGACTAGGCGTCCTCGGCTACGGCAGCATAGGTCGCCAAGTCGCCCGCGTAGCTCGCGGCATGGGCATGGATGTCATCGCGTACACAGCCTCTCCACGCACCACGCCAGAATCGAAACACGACAAAGGTTTCATCGTCCCCGGAACCGGCGACCCAGACGGCTCGATCCCGGAAGCCTGGTTCAGCGGCCTGGATAAGGTTTCCCTACGCAATTTCCTCGCGCAAGACATCGATCACCTCCTCATCAGCGTTCCTTTGACAAAAGAGACAACCCACTTCATCGGCGCCGAAGAATTCGCAATCCTAGGCAAGAAGAAGAACGCGTTCATATCCAACATCTCCCGTGGACAAATCATCGTGCAATCCGACCTCATCGCCTCGCTCAAAGCCTACGACGACAACGACCCATTAGACGGAGGCGATGGCGGAGGCGGATTGCGAGGCGCGGCGCTGGATGTGACGGACCCGGAACCGCTGCCCAAGGACGACCCGTTGTGGGAAGCACCGAACTGTATCATCACGCCGCATATCAGCGGGCTCGGGGAAGCGTATGTGGATCGCGCGTTCCAGGTGTTGGAGGTGAATCTGGACAGGAGGGAGAAGGGGGAAAGGATGATCAACGTCGTTGATAGGAAGAGGGGCTATTGAGGCGGTGTTCTCGGATCAAAATGCGAATCACGGGTGATTGAATGGACTGTAGTGGAAATCATCTAATGAATCATGACTCTCTCTCTCTCTCTCTCATCTACCTACAACGCTCCCCAGAATCCGCGTCCCACAGGCTCACCGCCCCCAGACCATCGCCGTCAACGCCATCCAATCGCCTCGCACACACACACACACGGCAGGGCAACGAAAACTCCACCCCTCTCCTCCAACCACCCGACCCACCATAAAACATCCACGTACATGTCACCATAAAATATTCACATACATGTCACCACAAAACACACACCTACATGTCACCATAAAATACACACGTACATGTCACCATCAAATACACACATACATACATATATCCCACCAAAACCCTACCCCCAACCTGCCACAAGTACGACTTTCCACGCGCGAGGGTTGTAACGGGGGTGTGGAAAACTGGGATACCTCTCCGTGGGGGAAGGGAGGGATGCTAGATTGCTGGTGCCTCCGTCTGAGAAACCAGGGGTGAGGGGACGACGGGACGGGAGCGAGGCGGTTCTTCTTTACGCACGTGGGGGGTTTGGAAGGGGACCTGTCCCGCGGTGTCGGTGGCAATGGGGTTGATTGCCTTCTGTTTGGGAACATCTGAGCTGAGCGGAAGAAGAGCGACAGTTGCCTTCTTTTCCGGGGGTCCAAGGGCAATGGTCCCAAAGCATTGCCACGAATGTGGCCTACTCTTTCTGCACAGTTGGACACTTTCAAGTATTTAAAGGGTGCAAACCCCAAAATGCTATGGCTAACTTGGGTATTTACCGTTCGTACAAGAAGAATACAAGCAGAACGAGCCACCAGCGCCAACCACAACGCTACCTGTTTTGCGTCTTCTTGCGAGCTTTTAGCGTGATTTCACTACTCGCTTTGCGCACTAACTCCCTCCGTGGCTCAAATCGATTGACGTCTTCCTCCGGCGAGCTGACCCGACTAGTCGACCCTTCGCTGTCTGTTTCATCATCATTGGCCGTGTCAAAGGAGAGGAGATCGAAAGGATTGACCTCAAATTCGCGACTCAGGCGGGCCATATTTTCGACAGTAAGCGCAGGGGTTGGGGGCTTGATTCGCATTGATGAGGTAGTTGGAGGCATGGAGATGCTCAGCTGGCGTGGCTTGGGATTGCTGGCTACCATGAGTTTTTGATCGCGAAGGATGATGGCTTGTTCGTTGGGGGCCAGACGCTGCATCATGATTTTGCTCTTTCCAGGATCTGTTGCTTTGGGGTCTTTCGAGACCGCAAGTTTTTGATCATGCTCGCTACTCTCATAAGGATCGATTAGCTCACTGGTAGAGGCAGAGCTGGACGCAGTACAGATGCTATCGTTGTCGATGTGAGGGGTTGGAAACGCTTCTCGGATGCGAGATCTTCGTTTGCCTTCGACAGCCCATTTGAGAAGCATGTCTTCCAGCGTCTTGCCTCTGACAGGCTTAGCAAGGTAGTCATCCTATATCGAGTCTGACATCAGCATCTCTTCTCCGAAGCAAAAGTTTGAGATACAAGACAGGCTTAGGGAACAGAATAAGGTTCTTCCTCGCGATGCAGGTCTTGCGACCCAGACTGCCGTGTCAAGGAGGGGACACCGCGCCTAGATGTGCTTCCAAATGAACATACCATGCCTGCTTGGGTGCACTTTTCCTTGTCGCCTTGAATCGCGGAGGCCGTCATAGCTACTATGGGAAGGGTCCGTATGCTAGCAATCGCTGAGTAAGGGCTATGATGACGGATGAGATGGGTGGTTCGATAGCCGTCGAGGACGGGCATCTGGCAGTCCATGAGGATAATATCCGGTTTTGGGTGAGTCGTGCTGGGAGCTTCTAGCAGATAATCGAGAGCTTCCTTGCCATTCCACACCGCGTTCACGGAGAATCCGAATTTTCTGACTGTCTTGAGAGCGATCTGTTGGTTGATAGCACTGTAACAGGCAAGTAAGCAAATTGATTCATGAACACGATACAGCACGCGCGAGATGGAAATTACAACATACTTGTCCTCGACGACCAAAACATGAACATGCCCACGGTCGATCTCCCGCTGGACTGATTCCTCGTTTGGATCTTCTCCAGGAGGCATCGGTCCTAAGCCAGTGCCAGTCCTGCCATTGAGATGATCTGGTGGAGCCACGTTTTGCTGGAGATCTCCATCGACACTATGCGCGTCAGAAAGGCATCCGGGTATTGACGTATCCGAACGAAAGCTCCCTGGCACAGGTCTTGCATCCCGAAGGGGCGAGCCAAGCGTTGAAGATCGCGGCTTGTTGAATGGTATCCAGAATGTGGTTGTTGTACCTAAGCCAAACTCCGATTTCAAGTTGATATCGCCATGCATCAACTCGACGAGCTAAAACTTGTCAGCGATTTCATGCTTTAGATACCGAGAGCAACATCATTCGTACATTTTTGCTGATGGTCAATCCGAGCCCGGTCCCTCCAAAATTCCGAGCCGTGCTGGAATCGGCTTGACTGAAAGGTTTGAAGAGCCGTTGCTGCACTTCCTTTTCAATTCCAATCCCCGTGTCCTCCACAGTAAAGAGAATCTCAATCAAGTCACTCGTCTCCTTTTGACTTTCGACCGTCAACTTGACGTAACCCTCCGACGTGAACTTGATGCTATTGGTCAGTAGGTTGGTGAGTATCTGCCGTACACGGCCTGGATCTCCCATCACTACCAGATCCTGCTCAATATCTCCTTGAACATCGCTTTCGAAGTGGATGTTTCTTCTCTCCGCGGCAAAAGACAGCATTTTGCATACGTCTTGAACCACGACTGACAGAGAAAAGGGGATGTCTTCGATGTCCAATCTCCCAGACTCGACTTTGGAGAGATCCAAAACGTCGTTGATGACGGTCAAGAGACCATTCGCTGATCGTTGAATGCTCTCAGTAAATTCTCGCTGCTCTTTGTCAAGATATGTATCCAGGAGAAGCTCTGACATGCCGATGACCCCTGCTATTGGTGTCCGGATCTCGTGTGACATGTTGGCCAAGAACTGACTCTTGAGTTTGCTTGCCTCTTTGGCAGCATTTTCAGCGGTGGACAACCTGATATTCTCCGTTCCCTGGGACTGTAGCTTGTTATCTCTTTCCTTGAGTTCGGTAACATCCATGCTGATTGCAATCAGCCCATCAATGTATTTTTCATCGCTTCCTCCGCTGTCTCCCTTCTTCATACCTAGGATCGGGGCAAATTGTGTGCGATACCATCGATTCGTATCGTCTACCTGGTGCTCATCGCTCCACTCCTTGACTCTACCGTCCAAAATTGACCGAATCAAATCCGCAAATATATCCCTATCCTTCTTCTCTTTGTGTTCGCCGAAGTACTGGACGACGTTTTTCCCAATGGCTTCTTTCATAAATTCTGGGCTTTGATCCTGCCACATGAGCTCGCCTTCAAGGAATGTGATAGTACAATCCCGGTCGATCGCCCAAATGGTGACCCTTGAATGTTTGATCACGTTGAGGAATTGTTCTCGGGTTTTCTTTGCTTCCTGACGGGCTTCGACCAGGTCATTGATGTCTGTATAGGATCCGAACCATTTTATGATCTTCCCAGATTTATCCCGCAATGGCGAGCCCCTGGACTGCATCCTGTGAAGTTTTCGGCGTCAGCCTTTCGTTGTTCAGATAAGAGGACCTGGATTTTGGCATCGACGAGAGTCATACGTACCAGCGCCATGCACCATCATGGTTTCTGAGACGGAATTCCATCACGTAATCATGACCTGTTCTTAGGCAATGAACCCACTCTTTGAGGTACTGAGTCAGATCATCTGGATGACACGGGATCCGATCCCCAGGCATCCCAATCGATTGATCCGTGGTCAGACCTGTATAATCGTACCATGAGGGAGAAAAGTAGTCTTATGACGCGTAAGCGCAGGAATCTAACGAAGGGTCTGAATTCCATACCTATAAGTCCCCCTGGAGTGGTAGTCCATAGCTATTGTCAGAGATTAGCATCTTTCTCAAGTACCTAGGCAATAACTAGCTCAGATTACATACCATTTGAGGTAATGTTTCACATATTAGTTGGAATTGCTGTTCGTTCTGTTCATTTTGTTCGCTCTGTGCCTTAAGCAACTCTGTGTACCAAGTCACATCCTTGAATGCACAGACGGCAGCTTGGAAGTCTCCAGTCTTCTCGTCGTAAACGCATCGGCCGACAGTCTCATAGACTTTTTGCCTCGCTTGAGAGTCTATGATTCCAATCCTGAGCCTGCTAAAGGGTTGCTGAGTCCGACAAAGCTTCACAATTGGCCATTCGTGTTGTTCCAATTCTCGATCAAAATCCTCCGTGAAAACGATGTAGCGAGAAAGAACATCACCTGCGTCATCAGAGACTGGATCTGTATCGAAGCGCATCATCCTGGCCACTGCTTTGTTGGGTACGGCTATACTTTGATCTTGCCACAGAGCAATGACAGGTATGTCTGTTGCATCAAGCATAGCATCTTTCATCCGCATGAGCTTGTCGTTTTGGGAAAGACCAGGTGTGAGGTCTGGTTTTCCAGGCGTATCAGGATCGTTGTTGGCAGATACTGGGAGTACTTGCGGTTCAACAGGTCCCAGTTGGGAAAGCAAAGACAGGCGGGAAGTGGACGATAATGGTGGAGCTTCATCCTGAAATGGGACAGTCGAGGAGAGCAGAGCAGCACCACATTGCCAGCAATGAGTGCTTATTGGAAGATGTGCGTCACCATCATGTCGGAAGCCGGTGGGGGTCTGAGCCCAGGTATCAGATCGGCTCCGAGTTCGAGGGAGAACAGGTCGCCCTTCAAGTCCGGCCCCTGACAGAGACGTCTTTAAGGTAGGGTAGGAAAGCAACCCTTCTGAATGCGCAGATGGTGATTTCGGTGGAGATGTAGAGGGAGGGTTCGACGGCATGTCTATGACAGTGGGTGAATGCCTCCTCTGCGGTCTCCAAGAGCCATACAAGGCTGTGCGTAGGTGTATGCTGCCTAGGTAATAGCCAAAGCTTAGTAGCGGGCGTGGTTATGATCGCAGCGCAGCTTAAGGATTGCAGGAAAAAACGAGCGTCTTAAGAAATAGAAAATGTCCCATTACACATCCGTAGTGTCTTCAAGGAAGCTTTTGTGGAAATAGAAAATGTAACCGGCGAAGGGCCGCTACTGCTGTGTTCTCTATACAGCAGTACATATAGCTCCTGCCTGCCATAAGCTCTTACATACTCGGCATTCTCGCTTGATATTAGTTTTAATTCCAAGAATTTGTTGCGGTTTCCTCATAATACCGACAGCTTACCTTATATCCTTAATCTCCGAAGCACTTTATCTTAGCGTGATTTGGCGCGAAAGATCGCGAAGCGCGGACAAACACCAAAAACAAAGTACTCCACTCTGACAGCGACCTGCTTTTCCAACCTGCCTCACCATCTTCAAGGTAGCATATTGCGTGAGTATCTATTCGAGCGTCTGCTAGCCCATCGAGACTAATTTATCAATTAGAGCAAAGTGACCCTCCGTTTCGAGCAAGGAATACTCAGCTATCCACCAAGAGTATGCGGCTTTACGGCACAATCGTCTATCCCTCCGTATGCTGACGATGAACCATAGTGCTTGAAGCACGGTTGGAGCAGGCCAACCTGCTGAAGAAGGTAGGCCATACTTGTCTAGACTCTGAATATATACTCAAGCGGCCTCTAGGTCGTCGACGCCATCAAAGACCTCGTACAAGACTGCAACTTCGACTGCAATGACTCCGGCGTTGCCCTCCAAGCCATGGACAATTCCCACGTCGCCCTCGTCTCCATGATGCTCAAAGCCGAATCCTTCTCTCCTTTCCGCTGCGACCGCAACATCGCGCTAGGCATCAATCTCACCTCGCTCATGAAGGTGCTGCGATGCGCGCAAAACGAGGATATTCTAACATTGAAGGCGGAAGATGCGCCAGATGTCGTAAACTTAGTATTCGAAAGCAGCGAGAGTGATAGGCTGAGCGAGTATGACATTAAGCTTATGGATATCGATCAAGAGCACTTGGGCATACCTGAGACTGAGTATGCGGCTACAATTACGATGCCTTCGGCGGAATTTCAGAGGATCTGTAGGGATCTGATGGCCTTGTCGGAATCAGGTTTGGTGACACTTGCAGCAAGACGTGTGTCATCCTGCTAATTTGTCTCAAAGTTGCCATCGAAGCTACAAAGGACGGCGTCAAATTCTCCTGCTCCGGCGATATTGGCAATGGAGCTGTCACCCTTCGAAGCCATACCAATGTCGATAAACCAGACCTCAATGTCGAGATCGCCCTCTCGGAACCCGTCGCTCTGACCTTCTCCCTCAAGTACCTTGTCAATTTCTGCAAAGCCAGCGGCCTCTCAAGCACTGTCAAGTTGTGTCTGTCCAATGAGGTGCCGTTGCTCGTTGAGTACGGTTTGGCATCCAATAGCTATTTGAGATTCTACCTAGCTCCGAAGGTAAGATACTGTGTCCTACCCACTCCCGGAACCTGCTGATCCGGTGTTTAGATTGGTGACGAGGAGTGAAGGCTGGATCCGGGATGGAAAATAAGACAACGCTGTGGCATAGACTGGACGTCTGCGTGGCCGTATGAGGATGAGGATCCGCCTAGGATAGGTATTTGATGTATCAACAATTTGTGGAGGACTTCTAGTGCATGCAGAGCTAAGGGATGCTGCCTCGCGAATTCAAGTATTCAAATGCACAATCTGACCTTTTAGCCTCACATTTCGCAAAGGAGCAAGAAATCTTGAGTCATCCAAGGCCTCGGGCTCTTTACTTTATTATGCACAGATATTTGAGACCTCCTTGAGCCGTTCGGCACTCTGGGCGGCTGTCTTGGTAGTACCTAGGCGCTTACTCGTACCACCGGCACCACCGGCATATTATCCCTGCTACCAACACCCCCTCGACACTCAATCTGATTCCATTCTGCTGTTTCATGTTTACTATTTCCCATTACGTACGATGCTATCGCATTCTCGACTTACGTCAGTAGGACTAGGGAGCCATGACGGTCAACCAAGGATCCGTACGAGCATGAATTGCTCGCTCATTCCTCTCGAACACTACCTACCGTATTTATTGATGCTGAGAAGCCTGCGGCCTGGGATCACAATAGGGAGCCTCTATGTGCAGTTGTTTCAGATGATCGCTGGTGCCATCGTCGCTCACCAACGCTCCGAATGCCCACCCTATTTCCAGCAGTGAAACAGGACAACATACCAACATCTCCAGGCTAATCGGATAATAGTGCCGAAATGCTTGGGGGTTTCTGGGATATGCTCGTCAACAGATACTCTACCGTAAATGATACCTCCTTTGCACACGCTAGGTTCCGTTCATCTCGGACACGATGAGGCCATGTTTTGCTGGCCCGAGCCGATGGAAGTGTGTATCAGAATAAGTTCTCCTTTGTGTACGCTATAGTTGAAACGAAACCATTAATATTGGTACTCGATGGCATCGCATCTAGACCGCGATTGAAAGGTACACTATACTCATTCGAGGAAAGCATTTACTACCATGGTGCGTTCTAGGAGAGTCAAGGTACTACTGCTGCTCCAACACCTATTGCCGGACTTCCATGGTGCATCCTCACGGCTTGTGGGATCTAAGGATAGTGTGTCAATACGAGCATGTCCATGCCGTCTATATAATCCATTATCCCCCCTGGTGCCTGAGTATGTAGATACACACCCTCAGTGAGGAGATCCCAATCATTCTTTGACAGTCATCAAATATTCCCTTCTTGATCGAAACAGCTAGACGCTGCCATTGACCTCTCACATTCTCTTCTTTCAGACCCCAAAAGCTTGATCATTCTCTCGATATGAAAACTGTTCACCAATTCACCCTGCTACTAGTTGCTCTCGCAGCTCCGTCCCAAGCCTTCGCCGCGCACCGTCTCTCCAACTTGGGTTCCCCTTACCACAATCCTCCAAACGGTCATCCAAATGGTGGCTGGACACCTCATGGCTGGAGCCCCTCCTCAACAACAACAACAACTACCTCAACCCCAACCACATCCACAACCACGACCACGTCATCCACCACCGCTATCGCTGCCGCCACCGCGACCGGCACCTCCCCCGGCGACTCCAGCTGTGACGGCTTCGCTCTCAACTTCTCAGGCGATCTCAGCTACGATTATTGGCTCGGCGGATCCTTTGGAAACGAAACCGGCAGCCTGAGTGACACGAGCAGTTTCTGCTTCCCGAACGGAAACTCGGGTGGCAGGGTCAACATCGGCCAATTTCCCGACCCTGGCGACGGGGCAATGTTGACCGGCAACAGCCTCGTAGAATGCAACCCGGTGACCGCCGGCACTCCGGGTTGCGACGTCTCTTACGGTACATCCTTCCCTCCGCTTTTCACCCCCTTCCCTTCCCCCTCCCCCTTCTCCAAATCCAACATGCTGCACGCTGACCACAATCTTCGCCCCCCGCAGTCGACGGCTTCTCGGTCGGCATCACCTGCACCATGGCCAACGGCGCCAACTTCCTCGGCGCCCCCGGCCCCATCGGCTGCGCGTCCAACATCCTCGCCGCCTGCCCCCCCGACCAGCAAGACCCCACCTACAACTTCTGCGGCAACCCGGGCTTCGACTCCGACGCCGCGGTCACGGACCCGTGGACGGACTGTCTGGGCTCCCCGACGGGCGGGGCGATCGTGTGGCCGGACGGAGACGGGTATTTCTATCTCGATCCCGACTCGTTCCCCGTCGAGTGTACGGTTCATGGGGCGGGGACGGTGGGGAAGAGGGCGGTGGATGACTCCAACGTTGCCGGGAGAGGTGCGGGGGATGTCGCCGTTCGAGCGAGGGATGGCGCACGTGAGCGTGCGCGTAAGCATGCTGAGGCTCATGTTGAACGGTCGAGGAGATCGGGTGGGCTTGCGAGGGGGCTGATGGATGTAACTGGTGAGACGAAGCTTTGAGAGCTTTTGGACCGGTGTATTTGTGCGAGTTTGTATATATACATGTGATATTTCTTGAAATAGAAGGCTAGGCTGGGCCTTTGGATGTATCCGCTGGGCTGGATCGCTATCTCTACGATGATGAAGATGTTGCAGTCATGGATTAGACGTTTCTGCAATCATCGCATTACCTAGCCTTGGAATTGCTTTCTGCGCCGCGAAAGGTCGCTTTGTCTGCGAATGGCTCGACAAGCTGAATTAGGAATTTTGAGCAGGGTAATATGATCCTTGCATCTTTGGGAACGTCCAATCGCTCGAACGACAACATTAACTTCATTAGCTATGCCACAAAAGCCATATATACCACACCATTGCGCCAACCCCCACATTCAACACGCTTGAGCTGAACTCGTCGTACACGATCATTAGGCCTTTTCTCCGCTTTCGTCTCGAAGGCTCGTCTAACGCAATATCATTCCATGTCCTGTTCACTGCAACTCCTTGCGGACTCTCATCCTCAGCCTCGTCCTCGACGGTAGGAGGCTGATAGCCGTAACCGCTTCCGGGAGTCACATTTCTTGGCCCAGCTGATGGTCTGACTGCAAGGCCATTTTGGGAAGAGGTACTTGATGAGCTGGCGTGGGATGGTGTGTCTTGCTGTTTCGTAGGGGCTGGCTTGATCTTAGAGAGGGGCAGAAGGGAGCCATTGGTGTTACTGGTAGCTGGCGTTGGACCATAGGCGATTCTGACTGCTCGAACGAACAGCACGACGAGCGTAAATGCTAACAACAAACCATAGCGGATGAAAATCGAAAGCTGGTCTGGTAGTAAGCAAAGGTGACTCTGTATCGTAGACGATTTCGAAGCATCCTGGCTGTTAGCCTTCCCCTCCTCATCCACAGGGTTCCATAAGCTCAAGAGCAGGAACCCAGGCTTGCGAACACCCATGGCCCAAGATATCGACTTGACGGTGACTTCTCGTATACCGCCATTTTTTGAGGTGTAGCCTCGATGAATGACATCGCAATAGTCGTGATCGTCTCCCGAGAAAATGTGAGATACGTCTCCTACAAGCTCCACCAGCTCCTTTGATATTTCGTGGGTGAGGACGTTCTGATACTGTACGCCTTGCTGTATAGCGATCGCATTTGCATCATCCTTCTCTGGCGCTTCGCCACTGTCGGTTCTGGATGGAGGATAGCGCTCACGGAGAGGTCCGCAGGGTGTTCCTGGAGCTCGGTATAGTGGTACATGGGTCAGGATGATCGAGGGTATATCTGTGCTCTTCAAGGGGTCAAAGTCCAGGGGTATAGTCCAGGCGCGAGGCTCTTCAAGATCTATGACGTCTTTATTCATGATTTCGTTCTCATTCTTCCCATACCGCACTCTTAGTTCTCGAGCAATGGTTCGAGCTTTCTCCCCTTTAGCAGTATGTAGGAACTGTTCCACGGGGCCCCAGATGTCTTTGTTCGATTCATCTATCCCCTGGCTGCCAGTAGCTGGATCGGGTTGTCCCTTTGCGCTCAGTGAGACGGTGTCCAGAGACACGAATGTGTGGTTCCCAACAATATCTATTCTGTTCCCGTTTCCGAAATAGGCCTGGAATCTCTTTCTCACGGGTAATCGTATACCATTTCCAAGCCCAAGGTCATGATTGCCGGGAAGTCCGGCCACCATCTTTCGACCATTCTGACCCTGTCCACCTCGTAGCCAGGTGTTGAAGAAAATACGGGCGAATCTTTTATACTCCTTCAACCAGAACCTATTGTCGTACTTTCTCCATCTCTTGTCCACGCTCTTCCCCCCCTCGGCTTCACCTGTCGACCACTCTCGTCCTCCATCGAAGAGATCACCTAAAAAGAAGACGGAGCCTGGAGCCAGTATACTCTGGATCTGCTGGAAGGACTTGCGAATGTAGAGATCAGTGTAGCGGACTGTGAGCGTAGAAAGTGGCCAGGGGCGTCCGGGGTAGGTGTGGGGATCGACGAGTTGAGGATCAGCGATGAGCGCGACGTGGTGGGGAGTGGATGTAGCGGGCTAATGATTCGGTCAGCGCCAATTCTTCTGCTCGAATTTTGGGGAAGGAATCTGGCATACCCAGCTTTCCCAGTTGCTCCAGACGCAATTTTCCACGCTGTGCCTGAAGACGACCTCTTCGCCCCACCAAAGCACCACCCACCAGATGATGATCAAGGCAAGTGGTATGCCGAGCAGGTCCCTGGGCCTCCATGACCGTAGCATCCCTACTATTCCCAGCGATCGTCTCCATATTTCGTTCCAATTCACGCGCGTCGGCAGCCTCGAGCTTGAAGGGTGCCCTTGAACGGGACCATTCGGTAAGACGGGTATGTAATTACCCAAAAACGAAGGCAGCTCGTCCGAAGTGCGACGCTTCTTGCCCGCTTGGTTGATCAAACCATTGCGCAACGGGTGCCCGTTCTGGTGGGAGGTCATACTGCAATCCTCGTCGTACGAGTAGTACCGGTCATTGTGAGATTTGAGGCTCACAAAGTGCCTGAAGAAAAGGACTTCGAATTAGATTGCCAGTTCAACGCCCTGTAATTCAATGAGCCCGAGGACACTAAGCTAGATGTTGGTCGCGAGTAAATAGGAAGTCAGCCCTATGAAGCGCCAAATTGTTACTGCCTCCGTCTCAGGGGCATGTCAGATCCTAATACAATACTCGTAGGTGGAGTTCTTGAATTCCAATGGAGATTCGCAGAGGGAATTTCCCTCAGATTGATCGACTACTTAAGAGTGTAGAGTGAGTAAGATGCATGATGCTAATTGAATGAAAGAGCTCGTGAGTCCAGCAAAATGGAATCATAAGTATGTACATCTTCTGAAGCAAAGCAAAACCCCACTTCTAACTCGCCGAAACGATATGATACATCAATGCGAATGATCCTCCTCGTTATGCATGTCGGCCTCGACCGTGCTCGGTGCACAGCACTGACCGCCTTCGTCACATTCATCGCCGCAATCAAGCAGGCAGGCCTCGGGCTCACTACGCATGCTGGCTGCTTTACTGCCACCTTTGCTTCCTGCTTTCGGTTTGGGCGAGCTAGAGTCTTCGTTGTCTGAGTGCTGTGCGGAAGTATGCCGGTGTTCGCTGTCCAAGCAAAACTCTGGTTGTATTGTAGAGGAGTGAATGCCGTATTCATGGAGGCAGCGACGGACTTGCCTGGCAAGCAACATATACCGTTTCGAGCCTTCGCCTTTGAAATCGAATTCGACCTGTACATGTAGCGAGGCGACCACTTTGGCGTCGCTCAACTGCCATACGTGAAGATGGTGACAACTCAAGATTCCCGGAAGCTCTTCAATGTCCTCCTTGATGTTATCGACACTGATGCCTGCCGGGACGGCTTGGAGCAGAATCCGTGATGCCGCTTTACATAGCGGAATGGCTGATCCGAGGATGATAAGGGTGATGATAAGGGAGATGGCTGGATCTGAATAAAATCTCCACGTATAGTCCGTGAGCCAAATGATGAGAGCAGACCCAATAACACCAATATTCCCAAGAGCATCTCCCATGACGTGTAGGAAGACACCACGCATGTTGAGATCTCCATGCGATTGTCCGCCACTACTCGTCTCCTTTGGCTGGTTGTGATTATGGTTATCGTGCCACGAGTCGTGAGGGTCGTCAGATTTGTGCTTGTGAGAATGTCCGTTATTGTCTGCATGCTTGGCCGAGCCGTTGCTCTTAGCTTGCTTAAGAAGTGGCGAGCCCTCTGTCGGCTCGTGCTCATCCTCGTCAACTGCTTCTTCTCCTCCGGACACACTACTCCCCTCCCTGGATTCAATGTCTTCCAATCGACTTTGCGCAATAATGTCCTGCCTGAAGCTCGCAGGATGGATATGAATGTCGTCGACACTGGAAAATCTATTTCTCGATCCTCCGCTGTTCTGACGGCGACGGTGTCGCGTGCTGCTAGCACGTGATTTTCGGGTGGACAGAGGCGACGTGGACCCTTTGACAGTTGAATCGTCCTCATCGCTAGGTGTAAACCCATTGGAGCTTCGGCTTAGCTGATCTTGAGGCCCTTCTCTTGCTGCCCCCGCGGACTTTGGCCACCCAGCAATTGTACTTTGCGGCAATACGTCTGCCACGTTCCCGCTCTCATCTGCTACCGCTTGAGTATGCTTCCCACCAACAGTATGGCTATGTCCTTCCTCAGCAGTAGCAAGCTTATCGGCTCCACCGTGTGAGTGGCCATGACCGCCTCCGTGACTGTGACCATGCTCATGGAAGAGGAACAAGCCGAGGATATTGGATAGGAGGCCAAAGCAACCAACGATGAGGACTAGTCTGGGATTTGAGACGGTCTGCGGTTCGACAAATCTCTGAATGGCTTCCAGGAAGATAGATAGACACAGAGCGACAAGGAAGACTCCATTTACAAGAGCACCTAGTGTTTCGGCACGTTGCCACTGAACACCTGTCAGATGCTTTGTAGAACAAAGGCCAATGGAGCTAACCATACCCCATATGTGTACATCTTCGAGCTTGCTTTTTGATGTGCCACTTTGACCGCCCACAATCCGACACAAAGCGAGAGGACATCGTTGAGCTGCAGCACCTCGTAGATTAGTGAAAGGTTCCGTACGTAATGTGAACATGATAAAAGTTGTAGCATGACCGACCATATGAAAGGAATCTGCAACGAGGGCCAGTGAGTGTACGGCATAGCCTAAGACTTCATTAGCTTTGCCATAAGCAGAAGCGCCCGATTTCGCCAGGACCCAAGCTCACCAACGATGAGCTCCAACAGGAAGAAAGCGGAGTCGATTGCCAGCAGTATGATGATTCTTGTAGACTTTGATAAAGCCATGGTGACAGATGCCGTTCGCCAAAAGGCGCCTTACTCAGGTCTGAATAGGTTCTGGCGGCAGTGACTTGTCGCTCCTCTCAATACGGTCTCAGCGTGCTCGTAATCTTGTGTCCGGTGCGCGAGGCACTGAAATCATATCACGTACACGCTGTCGCAACCAAAATATGATGGCTGGCTGATTGAATGGAAATTTGATGACGAAGGTTGGTGTTTTACAGGAGAGCCTCACATTGCGCTAGGAAAATACTCCGCTTTTAGAGTTTAGACACAAACATCCCTGTCTCGCGTAGCTCTGTACAGAACACAATCACTTTCCTGGACCTGCAGCATTCATCACCCTCTCTTTGCCCACAGGCGTCAACCGACTTAGACGAAGACAATGGCTTCTTCTCCGCCAGCTTCGCCCCTGGAGCAGTGCCTGGAGCACGGAGGCGACTCGAATCGAGAAGCCACCGAGATGGGAGACTATGCCGAAGTGTTGCGCAGAAGCAGTGTCTACATTAATTCTTCTGTACAAGGGCAAGGTGCTGGTGATACTATACCGAACGGGGCCTACTTTCCGTCTACGCGGAGATCACTGGCAAAGCTGTGGCAGCGACAAGTCAGCGCCACCGTGCCACACGACGCATGTAGAGATCATCTTGGTACGCATATCTTTTCTTTCGCCAGGCTCGAGGCCAGTCGCTCAATAATCAAAGAGCTTTGACATGTACATATCGTAAGATTACGCGTCTACCAGTACTCGTCGAAGTTGTCATGTCGCTTCCTTCGCAATCTGCTTTCAACAAGCGTTTGGTGGAAACGTCGGCCAAAAATTTACTTACTACCCCCTTCACCAGCCCTCGAACGCACTTTTCTTGGATACCTGAGAACCTCGTTGGCTCTGTCAATGATTTCTGTGATCATTGCTCAGCTTTTCAGGCTTGAACACGCGCAGAATCCAAATAAAATATTTGGTTACTTTACTTTGAGTCTTCCTTTGGCATGTGTCTGCATTGGAGCAGCAATCGTTGTCCTGCTACTGGGAGCATATAGATTCTGGCGGCAGCAGAACGCTATCCTGCGGGGGAAGGTGCATGCGGGAGGTTGGGAGTTGAATGCGATTGGCTTGACGATAGCTTTGGTATGACTGCCCCTCGGCCGCGGCAGCAGGTGACTGATACGATCCTTAGCTCGTGCTCACCTTGTTCGTGCTTCTTGTCGCTGTCGACTCAAGGAAGGATTCTCTGGATGCAACTTGACTAGGTGCATTCAAGCGAGCGATTGCCGGCTTACGAGGTACTCCGCGCGTGTGCCTATATTCAAAGCCATCACAACACACGCTGCCCCGCATTATGCAAGTGGTGATGTCTCGTACCAATGGCGATCCCCGAAGAAGTCCGAATACGGCTCATTCAGACCAGACTCCTCCGTCTTTCTGGCCATGTTGAAGACGGAACAGACGAAGAATAGAGAGGCCTTCAAGTTGCCTTCGATGACGGCGAATTTTATTCTTGCATGGCGGAAGCATGGGAAACAAGGCCATTGCTGCCAGGACACGCCTGAATGAAGCCGCATGCAGATGCAGGTACAGGCAGCTAGCGTGTAGAAAATCGGAGGTATTGTGGGGCATCATTAGTGAGGCTTGCATTTACTTAGATCAATTTGACTCCACCGAGCATTCATTGGTACTAAGGGACGAGAATTAACTGTGAGGGTCGTGTTCCGCGTTTATGACAAGTCCGAAATGAATCTCAAAATCCGTAAGGATGTCAAAATGACCAGATAGTATGGATTTGGAAGGCATGTTGCCGAAGTCTTGTCATTGCTACTCAATGTTGACCTTTCACCGATGGTGCATCCGTTCTGAATTCTTTCATCCAAGACCTCAAGATGTCCAAGACGTGCAATAAAATATATTCATGCCTTACATCAAGACAAATGACAGCATATAACAATGGCCTTCAATAGTATATTCATTGTCATTGCGATATGTCTAGCATCTCTTGCAAATGCCGTGGCAATCACCGGCCCTCCCGGCGGCGTCAACAATTCCACCGGGCAGAGACCATTTCGACAAGAGTTTTCTACCTTTAAGGAATCAGGCCCAGCATTTGACCTCTATATTCTCTCTCTACAAAAGTTTCAGCAGCAAAACCAATCTGCTCTCCTGTCTTACTATCAAGTCGGAGGTAACATAACCTCTACCATTGTCCTACGTACGAATACTGACTTGTATTCAAGGCGTTCATGGACGCCCCTACATCGCATGGGATGGCGTTCAAGGTCCCTATCAAACAGGTTACTGCACACACAGCTCTATCCTGTTCCCATCATGGCATCGACCCTACATGGCACTCTTCGAGGTAGCATTTCATCATTCCGTCCAATATCTCAGCTCTGTAACTGACGCAAAATAGCAAATCCTTTGGAAATACGCGCAGCAGATCGCCACAACGTACCCAACAGCCCAGCGAAGCACGTATCAAGCCGCCGCCACCACCCTCAGGGTCCCATACTGGGACTGGGTTCTCAACGCTACGATGCCCGATCCAGTCAATAGTCCTATGATCAGTGTGAACTCTCCGCATGGTGTCACGAACATTGTCAATCCATTGTACAATTACACCTTTCATCCTCAGCCTTCTGCTGTAGATTTTCCGCCCAGTGACGGCATGATCGCGGAGTATCACAGCACCGTGCGCTATCCAAGTTCCAGTGGGCAGAGTCAACCAGGTCTAGCCAACCTGCAGCTCGAGGCCAATGCTCAAGCCATTCACGACGCGACTTATCAATTGATCGCCGACCAGTCCAACTACCCACCGTTCTCGAACACCGGATACACCGACGGCCGAGGCGGATCCTACAACTCCCTCGAGAACATGCACAACGCTATCCACAGCCTGGTCGGAAACGGAGGACACATGGGTTATATCCCATACGCAGGCTTTGACCCCATCTTCTGGCTGCACCATGCAAACGTCGACAGGCTCTTTGCCATCTGGCAAGCAATGTACCCCGATTCCTACACAACAGCCGAGGCCGACGCCGAAGGCACTTTCACCAACGCTCCTGGCGAGACCGAAGACGTCAACACGTCACTGACACCCTTCCACTCCGACAGCGCGGGCACACTCTACACATCCGCCTCGGTGCGATCGACTCGTCCGTTCGGGTACACCTACCCCGAAGTCGTCGACTGGGGCGTCAACGCCAGCCAGCTCTCCTCCAACACCAGAACAGCTTTCAACAAACTCTACAACCCATCCGGCAGTCTTCCAACACGATCCCTACTCGACAAGCGAGACGACCCCACAGCGCCCCACACGAACGCCACAGAGTATGAATACTCCATCAACATCCGCGTCCCAAAGTCAGTCCGACCCCCTTCCTTCCCTCCCTCCCTCCCCCCCCATCACCACCATCCTTCACAACCTCAACCGCATCCATCCGCTAACCAAGGCGATCCTCCTCCTTCACCCCAAACAGAGCAGCCCTCAACCGCCCCTTCTTCATCCACTTCTTCCTCGGCCCCGTGCCCCCAACCCCCCTCACCTGGTCCTTCGCCCCCACCCTCATCGCCTCCCAATCCATCCTCTACCACCCCCTCACCACCACCACCACCACCACCACCCTCTCCTACGGCCAAATCCCCCTCACCCGCGCCCTCCGGCGCTCCCACCGCACGGCCCCGCTCGACCCGCGCGCCGTCGTCCCGCTGCTCGGGCGCGGGCTCCGGTGGGCCGTGCAGGATTTCGAGGACCGGGTTGTGCCGACGGTGGAGGTGGGGGGGTTGAGGGTTTTTGTGGTCGGGAGGGCGGTGGTGGGGAGGAGGGGGGAGGGGGCGGATGGGTTGACTGGGTATGGGCCGTATACGATTTATAGGGCCGCGACGAGGGGGAAGGTTGGGGGGTTGCCGGATGGGGAGGGGATGTGAATGGTGCTAGGCTTGTACCTTGCTTACGGAATGGGAGTGGAGGATGAGGACGGGAGTGGAGGATATGGCTTTGTGACGAGACGCTCATTATTATATTTCTGACCTTTTACATATGATAAATGATAACCAAAGTGCTCCCTTCCTCCTTTTTTCGGTCCCGACCCAAATGCAAGACCCCGAGCCCAGGATCAGGATACTCGTGCCAGTACGCTTCCAAGCCCGTAACGCCGTGTTATGCCATGCGATTTGTGGTACAATGCAGCGCTGGATGATGATGGAAATGCAGATGCCCAAAACGCAGAACGCTATATGATCCCCTTCGCCTATGCCCTGTTATGGTCGCATCTAGAAGAGGCCCCATTTCTTCTTCCCTTTCTCGTCCCCGCTCTTTTTACTTGTGTTCGACGGTGTCTGGAACGAGGATGTGGACGAGCCACCGGAGGCTGCCGCTTGTATAGCTGCGAGTCTATGCTTCGCCCGCTCGTCGCCCGAGTCGGCGGCTTTGACGTACCACTTGTTGGACTCAAGAGGATCGCGTCGGCAGCCGATACCCATCTCTGTGAAGTAGCCGACGGCGTATTCGGCTTTTGGTAGGCCTGCTTAATGTCAGTAACAGACGCGGGGTAGATACATGCAAAGCGGTAAGAACCGAGGGCTCTGGTTCGAGAGATAAAATCGAATCGCGCTCACCAGTCTCAGCGGCTTTCCTAGCCCACTCATACGCTTCGTTCTCATCCTTCTCTAGCACCGGTTCCGCGCCGACCATGTACCATGCACAAAGCGCCATCATTGCCAATGGATGCCCTCTTTGCGCAGCACCTGTATAAAAGTGCACGCTAAGTGCCGGATCTTTCGGACAACTTAGTTTCCCATGCTCGTATGAATCTCCAAGCCTGTAGTTTGCCTCCACATGTGCTAAGTCCGCTGACTGGGTGAAAAGCTGCGCCGCGTACGACTCGTCCTTGAATATATCATCACCAAATCCTGTTTCGTGTAAAAGCCCGAGTTCGTAAGGTGCGGAGTTGTATTGGAAGTCTGCGGATTCCGCAGCGCGTTTGAGCCATTTCACCCCCTCACGGTAGCGGTTACCTAGGCCCATCTCACCAGTCAAGCAGGCTTTTCCTAATCGTGACATTGCACCCGGGTGATTCTTTGAGGCAGATTGCCGAAAGAATTGAACGGCTTTTTGTGCATCTTTTCGAGAGCCCCAGCCGAACTCGTAGCATAGTGCAGCTCGATAGCCAGCTTCTGCGTGACCATGCTTGCTGGCGGCCACAAAGAGTGGGAATGCGCGGTCGTTGTCTTCGACGCCTTTATTGAAGAGACCTGAGGCGTATCCGTCGGCTAGGTAATACTGAGCGTATGGATAGCTTCGATCGGAGAGCTTCTGTAGTATTTGTCTGGCTTCGCGGAGGAGGTCCGCCTGCGACCCGCCAGGTGTCGAATTGTCGCGGTGTGGACTCTCCCCATCTCGATTTGGTCTCAGACTAGAGTGTCTCTGACTGTCATTATCCCTCTCGCTGGTCGCAGACTCTTGAGCAGCATTGATCATAAACACAGCGAACTCGTACTGTATAGTAGGGTCGTTCGTTTTCTTCACGTTGGCGCGATACATCTCCAGAGTCTTCTTAGTACTGAGCAACGATGCGTTGTCGCCGATAGCTGAGCGCAGATGTGCATTGTCAAGATTCGATGGAGCTGGAGGAGGTTGTGGGTAGGGGACGTTCAGTAGGTCGACGTACGACATGGGCCGGGAGTCCGGCGAAAGTCTGGAAGGGGACGGCGTCCGAGCATATTGAGGCGAGTGTGTTCGTCCTGAGGCCCCAAGTTCAGACCCTGAGGAGTACGCAGAGGACGGCCGTGGGAGATTCGCACCCAGCCGCGTACTGCTTCCCATAGGCGAGAGATGATGATGATGAGACGGAATTGGAGGCGCATCGTCAGAAAATCGTTGAGTCTTTTTGTTTGAAGCGCTGCTGTCCGCGGAACCCCTGCCATCGCCTGTCTGAAAAGGGTGATGATGGTATTGTAAGGGCTGAAAGGCGTCTTCGGGACCTGAAGCGCTCACATAGCTTCCTCCTGATGTATGTCTTGAATCTGAGCCACTACCATTCACGGTTGAGATTATCCCACTCTGCGGTTGCTGCAATGACTGAGATGCTTCCGTAGTAAGCAATTGCCGGTACGGTATTGACTGTGTAAATGGTGCTGATTCACTATCCCTTTCATCTTGTTTTGTAGCAAAGTCTTCTAAAGGCTCCCAATTCTCGGATTCTCGGGCAGGCTTTCTCATGTACACATCATCGCCGGCCTCGTATGATGACCTTCGCGGAGGAGGAGTTCGCGTGGCGCTGTCAGAAGTATTGTCCATGGAAAATTGCGAGCCTTGAGATCTGCCAGTATTCGGCGACGAAGAAGAGAGCGGTCTTCTCTGTGTCTGCGTAGAGGGACTCGACGGGCCTCCTCTTTCAAAGCCTTTGGGGGAGTAGCGAGGGGGTGGGCTTGCAACTGGCGGCTGCGGTGGGGCGAAGGACGGGACTGGAGGTGTCCTGTCTCGGTTTGTGGGTGAGAGAGCAGGCCTCGAATAATTTATCGCAGCGTCCGTGGCCATCACTGGGAGATGTAGCTGTTGAGCCGAAGTAATCGTTTCCTTTTGGAGGCAGGAATCCTGTGGTCTACCGACTGCCCCTGTGTTTCCAGCACTTGCAGAAGTGCGTGTGTATGCCTTTGGCTTGGATTTGATTGGGCGTGGACTGCTGTGGCTGCTTAGTGATGAGGGATGAGACTGGACTAGAAATGACTGTCGAAAGCGTCCACTCTATGAAGTAATGAAGGCAGCTGAGACGACGATTGGAGCAGCATTGTTGACTGGGAAGGTGGGTCTTAATGTCGTGGTGGTGTATGCGTTAAGTTTTGAGGGGTGTGAGAATGAGTGGTGATGGTGGTGACTGGTTGATCGATCCAACACCTGTGCCTCGGGAGGTCCGGCCTCCGAGTCCGGGGCGGTCAAATTGGCGAGCACCTGAGTCAACAAAGAGGGGCCGAACACACTAGATCTCACGCAGCCATGAAAGGTTGCGCAGCTACACATGCTCGTCACCAATCATTTTTTTGTCATTTTTCCACCAGTGACATCATCAGAGCCCAGCAGAGTAATTACTACGAGTACAGTTCCGCTGCAATGTTTACATATGCATGTGGGATATCTACGCGCGAAGGGCGTCTATTCTGTTCCGCCAACTTTTCAGACTAAGATTGAAGGGTGAAGATCTACAGGGGGAAATGCATGATGCATAATGGAGAAGAAAGGGGGGTGAGACATATTGCGTTCGAGGTACTTACTTACTTACTCTTTACTCATCAGTGGATAAAACACCCTTTTCTCAGGAGTGTGATGAGGACGAGCAAAGCTGGATTTTCAATGGGTGAAGCATGTGGGAGAGATACGTTGCCTAGCGACGATTTTTACTACTTTATTTTACGAAAACCCGTGTTCGGCTCTCCGGTAGCTCTAAAGCCGAGCAGGGGTATTGCCGCCTTGCAGCTCCTAAAGTATCTTACTTTAGCCTCCTTGGGTTTTGGTATTTTGGTAACGTGTGGCCCAATCAGGTGCTAAGAAGCGAAGCTGACCTTTTTGAGTATCGAGAGATCTTGTGAAGAACTGATTTCCATGCTAACATTATTGTAGCAGTAGTCGTAGGGGAAGCTCAAGGAATTCTTATGAATAAATGATTTCACAGCTGGCAGATCAATCGCAGATGAATAGTACCTAGATCAATCGAAGCATTCATGTAATGCTGACCCCACGGTTTAAGGATTATCGTATCCATGCGGCCAGGCAAGCTAGGTAACAGTAACGCCACTCTCGGGAAACAGTGATGCTAAATTTAACCCCTAAGCTAAGTACTTAGCTGCTGGGACTAAGGTGTACCGTATTTTTTAGGTAACTTAAGCAAGAATCAAAACACCAACCATGAAGCAGTAAGAATTCCATCACTCGCTCTGCTCACACAAGATCTGTTGGAAACAGTACTGCGACTGGTCTTTCGATTGTCATTGCTTTGTCCTTCTTGGCGCGAGCCGCTTCTCCCCTTACTTCGTTCCTTCGAGGAAGCCTCGTCACTGTCGTTTGATTCCATTCACTCGCTTCTCCGTCTTTGTTGTTGACGCCTCAGCCCCCACTCCCCTTGCCAGATCTCAACGCCGACCTTCATTCCTATGGAAAGACACGTCTCCTTCGGGTCCTCCGCTTGCTAGCATTGCGCTTGCGCTGTAATACCATCTAACAACCGTCATCTGTTTGGTGGATTTTCGCATAGCGCTCGGGAGTAAGGACCGATTCCGGCGCCGAAGTCGTGAGTAAAAAACGCAGAGGCGAGGATCCTCGTCAGTGTCGGACGTGTTTCAAATCACCGTGAAACTAAGCTCGCTATAGCACCATGTCTCTCCCACGGAGGCCTGCTGCGACCTCGCCCAAGAGAGAAAACAGGGGCTCCCCATACAAAGAATCACCATCAAGACGGGCTCGTCCCAACGACATAGAGGCAGCTCCATACCGTGATGCACCCGGACCCCGAACCCCAAAACACCGACCCAAGCAGCAAGCCTACATGCACGCGGAGCCTTCACCTTCGAGAACACTGAACGACGACCAGCATGATGGGGCAGGGGCCGATGTCCATAGGAAACGCAGTCTCATTCGACCTGAGCGAGGTCGTATAGACCGAGATCATCCCAACTTTCACTATCGCCAGCACGCTCAGAACATGACCGTTTACCCTTCAACCACTGGTAATGACCCGATTGTTGAGGACGATGATGACGAGGATGAGGCCGAAACCCTGATGACCGATGGGAGAGATGGCAAGAGACTGGCTCGGGACGAGGCAACTGTGGCGGCATCTCCAGAAAGCCCTCAACGTGGACGTACACGAGAACTCGCTCCCGTCGTTGGGAACGGCAATAGGAAATTGAGGCGGAAGTTTGCGCGGAAGGAGACGAAAGTCATGACCGAGGAAGAAAAGAGGATGCAGAAAGAGCTGGATGCTGTGCGGCCACCGAGTCTTTGGAACGTCTACTGCGCAATGGTGACGTTTTGGTGCCCAGGCTTCATCCTCAAGTGTTTTGGAAAACCTGCAAAGGCTCAACAAAGAGCTTGGAGAGAAAAGATGGGACTCATAAGCATCATCTTACAAATCTGCGGCTTTGTCGGATTCCTCACTTTTGGCTTTACGGAAGCTGTGTGTGGCACACAGAGTGTTATGCTCCGAGTCAACCATGTCGACAATGGGTTCATGATCTTCCATGGGAGTGCATACAATCTCGATAATTCCAGGCATCCAGCTGCTCGCGGGATCCTCCTCAATCAGAACGTGCTTTACGATCTGCCAGAGAAATATGGAGGCATGGACGGGAGCTTCATGTTCCAAAATGTGAACGGGGCGTGTAAAGGTCTCATTACACTGGCGCCAGGTTCTGATGTGCCGACAAACTCGCAGGGAGATCTAGCTTGGTACTTCCCGTGCAATGCCTACAATCAAGATGGGTCCAGCAAGCCAAATGACACGATCCCCTACTATCTTGGCTATGGCTGCCATACGACGGTCAATGGCAGAAAGGCTTTCTACAACCTACGCAGTTCTGGAGAAGTATTCTACACCTGGGAAGATATCAAGAATCAGACTCGAAATTTGATGGTTTACTCTGGCAACGTCTTGGACCTGGACCTCCTTGAATGGTTCAATACCACTCAAGTCCAATATCCGGCGAAGTTTGATCAAATTAGAAACAATCCTGCGGTCAGAGGCGTCGATGTTACGCACGCTTTCCAGTCTAGCACTGACAAGCAGCTTGGACAGTGTCTATCACAAATCATCAAGGTCGGATCGATCGATACAGCGACAGTGGGCTGTATTGCGTCAAAGGTCGTTCTCTACGTGTCCCTCGTCTTTATTCTATCAATTGTGATTGCGAAGTTTGTTCTAGCGCTATCATTTCAATGGTTCTTTAGCAGGCGGTTTGCGGCATCCAAGACCGATCTGGATTCGAAACAGCGGAATCAGCAGATAGAGGATTGGAGCGACGACATCTACCGTCCTCCCCCAAAGATGACGGATTTAGGCGTTGCTCCTTCGGACAAAAGCAACAGACGGAGCAGTGCCTTCCTGCCAACGACCTCACGTTTTACCAGCCCTTACACTTCTGCTGCTCTGTCGAAGAACCGCCCCGCTCCAACCACTATGGCGAGTCAGAGCTCGACAACTAGATTGATTCGACCGACTTCGATGTACCAACTTGGTGATGGAAGCGAACTCACCCTACCAAGCTTTGACCCAACAACAAGACATAGCTACGCGGGGAGCCGCTCAAGTCTAATGATGTCCGGGCAGAACCAAAGACTTTCCAGTGTGATGGCAGATCTTGACACCACGGGACCTGCAGGATTCATACACGAAGCAGTTGTGCCTCAGCCGCCTCCTGAATGGGAACCCTACGGTTATCCATTGGCCCATGCAATTTGCCTGGTCACGGCCTACTCAGAGGGCTATGAAGGACTCCGGACTACCCTTGATTCAATTGCCATGACGGAGTATCCAAACAGCCACAAGGCAATCTTGGTAGTCTGTGACGGATTGATCAAAGGTGAAGGGGAGGATCTCACCACACCAGAAATCGCCCTGAGTATGATGGGAGACCATGCAATTTTGCCAGAAGAGGTTCAAGCCTTCTCGTACGTTGCCGTCGCTAGCGGGTCGAAACGGCACAACATGGCCAAGGTCTACTCTGGGTTCTACGACTACGGAGAAGGATCTCGGGTACCGTTGAGCAAACAGCAGCGAGTCCCTATGATGGTGGTTGTCAAATGCGGTACGCCAGACGAAGCCAAGGCTCGCAAGCCCGGAAATCGTGGTAAAAGAGACAGCCAGATCATCCTGATGTCTTTCCTGCAGAAGGTCATGTTCGACGAGCGTATGACTGAGTTGGAATTCGAAATGTTCAACGGGCTTTGGAGAGTGACTGGGATCTCGCCCGACTTCTACGAAATCGTGCTTATGGTAGACGCCGATACGAAAGTCTTCCCAGACAGCCTGACTCACATGGTCTCTGCAATGGTCAAGGATCCGGAAATTATGGGTCTCTGTGGAGAAACGAAGATTGCAAACAAGCGCGCAAGCTGGGTATCAATGATCCAGGTCTTTGAATATTTCATCTCGCATCACCTTTCGAAATCGTTTGAATCCGTGTTCGGAGGTGTCACCTGCTTGCCCGGTTGCTTCTGCATGTATAGAATCAAAGCACCGAAAGGTGGCCAACACTACTGGGTTCCCATCCTGGCCAATCCGGATGTCGTCGAGCACTACTCAGAGAACGTGGTCGATACCTTGCACAAGAAAAACCTGCTCCTCCTTGGTGAAGATCGCTACCTCTCAACACTAATGTTGAAAACCTTCCCCAAGCGAAAACAGGTATTTGTTCCACAGGCTGTGTGCAAGACCACGGTGCCGGAACAATTCTCCGTGCTATTGTCTCAGCGACGACGATGGATCAACAGTACTGTCCACAACCTCATGGAGCTTGTATTGGTCCGAGATCTGTGCGGCACTTTCTGCTTCAGTATGCAATTCGTCGTTTTCATCGAGCTTGTCGGTACCTTGGTCCTACCCGCCGCCATCACTTTTACCTTCTACGTTATTATCATCGCGATCGTTAGAAAGCCTGTGCCTGTCATCCCACTTGTGCTCTTGGGGTTAATTTTAGGTCTACCGGCTGTGCTCATCGTCTTGACCGCACACCGATGGTCCTACGTTCTGTGGATGATGATCTACCTGCTCTCGCTCCCAATATGGAACTTCGTCCTTCCCACTTATGCCTACTGGAAATTCGATGATTTTAGCTGGGGCGATACCAGAAAGACAGCTGGTGAGAAGACCAAGAAGGCCGGCATCGAGTACGAGGGTGAATTCGACAGCAGCAAGATTACGATGAAGAGATGGGGGGACTTTGAGAAAGGTGAGAATGCCTGCTCCTCGGTCAAAGGTTGAGGCAGCTAACAAAGCGGCAGAGCGACGAGCAAAAGCTCCAAACTCGAATTGGTCACAGTCACAGCGACCTAATTCTGTGGGATGGCCATCTCAGCATCGAGATTACGAGAAGCACCAAGGCTATGAGCAGTATTCGGACATTTAGGCCTCGTTCCGTGTGGGGATCTTTGTCTCTTTTTTTTTCGATAGTGGGAAAAAGGGAGCTGCATTGCTGGGCGTTTCATCGCATTGAACACTAATGAACTTGCATACAGCATTGGGGGTACTTGACGATGCAGGCCAAAGGAGAGGCGTCTTAACGGCAATTTCTTGCCTGCCCCATTCATTGGATTTGTACAATTAAAATTGGAAAAGCGGCGCTGCCGGAATTGAATGGACAGGCCTTTTGTTGTCTATTAGACTTGTATACTTTTATACAGACATTATTTTTATAGGTCGAACATGGAGAGTATTCAATTGTGACTTGTGAGGGGGTATCAAAGGTCGCAGATTGGGCCAGTGGAGCGGTGGCGCAAGCACATCCTACTCTACAGGGGACGTTCATGGCTCATGCATATATGCATCCCACCGATTGCGGGGTCCCCTCAAGAAAGTGACCTCTCCACCAAGCGACGAAGCGACCAGGCGACGAAGCGTAGCCTCGCCCATCATCATCTTCACCTTCATCATCATCAACATCATCATTCGGCAATCTTCCTCCCTTGAACCATTGTAATTGCTACCTCCTGACAGCGACCATTGTCAGCCCATAATCGCTATCGTTCCTCGCGCTCTTTTTTTCACACTGCCGGCAGCTCTACAGGTCACAAAGAGCACTCCCTGCTGCACTTCGGAGCTGCACCCACGCGCCCACATCGCGCCCTCAGATCCAGTAATATCCTCCCGCGGTCCCAGAAATTGCTCCACCCAATAATCTTCCCAGAATTCATTCCTGGAAACGATCGGTTGCAGCGGGCGAACTGCTGAAATCGTTGCTGGGTCCACAAGGCAGCCACACGAACATTTTAATGTTGCAGATCGTAGGCGCATGTGAGATAGGAATAAGAACCATACTTGTTGGAGGATCGTCTGCATTGGGACGCGGGGTTTTCCTGCCAACCGGCGAATCAGGCTCGAGGGTTGCTATGTGACGGAGAGGGGCAGGAGGAAGAAAGGCGACCAGGCTCCTTCCACTTTGGCTTCTTCTCACACTCATCTCGACACCCCAAACGGTCCAGGAATGCTAAGCTATCCAAGTGCTGGATGCTGCACCCTCATACCTCACTCAGGTCTTCCCTAGAGCACTCGCGCTTGACTTCCTCACATCACTATTCTTGTGACACCACAAAGCCACAGATATCTATACTGCCATCTACATCTCCATCTTCCTGGAACGGCTTCCCAAGACAAAAGCCTAGCCACTCGACTGCCAGAGGCTACACCTTCATACCTTATTTGAACCCTCCTTTGCGCGCCAACGAGCCACATCCCTCACATCCCTGCTCTTGCGGTACCATAGTGCCATCGCCATCTACGCTCCCGTTTGCGTGGCAATTCGCATCGGGCTGCCGAATGAACAGAGATCTTGGAGTACATGCAAGATGTCTGCAGAATATGATGTACATGCGGAGACGGAAAGCGAGGATGGAGGAGTACCGTTGGCGAAGGTAAAGTCTGATGAAATAGACATAGACACTGGATCGGACACGACGCCTACCTCGCAAGAATCCGGTGGATCTTCTTCCTCGTCAACGAATGCATGGGGCGAGACGCTCCCTTTGTCCTTCGGTGAACTCACCGAGCATGAGGATCACACCGCCGAATATCAACATACTCCAGCTTCCTTGAATGGCATCTTCCATGGCTCGGTGACTCCGCCTTTCAGTGTACCACAAGCTGCTTTGAGCACGACATCGCCTCCGATCTCCGAGACACCACACAACCTTGAGACTAGCTTCACGGTCGTCGATGCGGGGTCTAGCGTACTAGACACAGTCCAGTATCTTCATTCGACCAATGGAGATTCGCATGAAGAATGGGCGGATCAACCAAATTGGTCGGCGTTCGACTTCTTACTGTCCAATGAAATGCAACCACCCGACCCGTTATCAACACACATTTGGTCTGCACCTCTTCCAGCATCTACCGATCCTCTGCCCGCAGGCGCGGACGACGTCACCCCGATAGAGCATTCAGAGCCACCAGCGGGTACTTCTGGGGATGAGACAGCACAGGGCGCCAATCAAAATTTTACAGGAGATCATCCCATCTCAGCTGGAATGGATCATACTGATGGCTCAGACGAGGACTGGCTGGAGCTGTCCGAGGACCCGTACAACATTTTCGACTCTGATATCGCTCAAGTTAACGGCACATTACACACATTGAGCCAGGCAAGCAATATGGTCTCTTACTATGATAATGACGATCTTGAAGATAACAGCAATTTCTTTTCGGTGTCGTTCTTCTTATATTATTGGAAGCAGATGTACATGAACAGGAAGCCTGATTACCCACCCATAAGCCAGCTCGCAAATGACCGTGCAAAGGTACGGCGACCTGACAAGACCACCGCTAACGACCGAGAACAAGGCGACTATCAAGGCATACATTGGTCCAGATATCAGACAACCAAGCAAGAAGCTCGAGAAGTGCGAAGGATGACCTACAGGAATTTGAGAAACATCGGCCCCCCTGAACAAAACTTTGCTACCAAAGCGTTCAAAGCAAATTTTCCTGGTGCCGTCATTCCTAGTTCAGCTTGCTACTTTGATTTCAACCAAATGGACATGAAGAGGAGACCAGACTTCTCCCATTTTCAACTCCGGCACAACCTGTCTGCTACCTCGAAGAATGCCGTTTTCTACACCAATATGCCTCCACACCATGATGCCGTTTCGGTCTGGGATGTCCGGAAATCACAACATAAGACAATTTCGTGTTTCAATCCAGAGACTGGGACAGAAGAATGTGTCATGGACGTCAAGAAGAGATACAACAAGGATGATCCGAAGATCAGCAAGATTCACACTCTGACAGCTGGAAATGGGGTGCTGGTAGCTGGAAGCTTCGAAGGAACCTATGCCATGAAGTCTCTATCAGCCGATTTCGAAAGCGCACCCGTCACTGGCACAATTGCTACTGGTGGCGATGTGAGCACGAACCACGTTCATACTCATCTCGACCGTCAAAGTGGACTGCCTCGAGTGGTATTTGATTCTAACGACATGAGTGTAAGAATCCTGGACTGTACTACAAGCAATTGGGTCACATGCCACAAGTACCCCTATCAAGTCAATTGCTCAGTCACAAGCCCTGACGGACGTCTAAGGCTGCTCAACGGTGACGACTGCATGCCCATCATTGCGAATGCGGAGACTGGGGAGACGCTCGCCAAGCTACCAGGTCACAATGATTTTGGCTTTGCATGCGATTGGGCAGCAGATGGTATCACAATGGCAACAGGTCATCAAGACGGCCTAGTGAAGGTTTGGGATGCTCGCAAATTAAATCAATCCATCCAAACCATAGCCATGGAACAGGCGGGCTGTCGGTCCTTGCAGTTCTCGCCACTTGGAAGCGGCAAGCGCGTGCTTGTGCTGGCTGAACCCGCTGACTTTGTTCACATTGTTGATGCTCAGACTTTCAAAAGCAAGCAGACCGTTGAATTCTTCGGTGAAATCTCTGGGATCTCCATGCCACCGGATGGATCGAAGTTGTACATTGCCAACGCTGATGCCAAGTATGGTGGGCTTATGGAGTTTGAAAGGTCCTGGGACAGCAGAGAATACAACATACGGCCATTCCGAGTCCCAGACCTTGAGGATGAGCACGAGGAGATGGTAGACTGCATCGTGGATGGGGTGCCGCCAGCGCAACGGTTGCCAAAACTTGGAGACCAGCTCTACCAGCATGTGGAACCAGTCATGCATGGACAGGGCTTGCCTTTCGTTGCTCAACCGATGATTGAGGACACCATCATTGATTGCCAACGCCTGTTCTTCAGATGCTTAAACATGGGTGGCGGTCAAAGAGTCACGGCATCAGGAGAATGGTCGACCGTTGCGCGGACGTTGGGCATTCCCTGGGAAGAAGCTGTGTCTTTCGGGCAACAGCTCTATGAATATTGGCAAGATAATCTCGCGCCATATGAAACGTCCCTGCCCTTTGCGCCCATGATGCAGGAATGGCAGCGAGCGACTGGAAGGGAAGTCAGGGGAAGGGTCGCGAGCCAGGGAGTACGTGGAAGTGAAGCCTTGAAACAGCAAATGTTTTTGCATTGTGGCGAAGAGCGCCAGTATCGCAGAGATTACGACGATCCTAGAAGAAAAGACTTCAAGATCGGTAGGAAGAGTGAGAATCTGGACTGGCTGTCCGAGTCGGATATGGAGGATGATGCTCGGGTGATGCTTCCTCAGGGGCAGCGTGGGCGTCAATGGGCGTGGAGGCCTGAGGTTGATGATGATGGTTTGCCGGTTTGGTTGAAGATATGATGTGGAACAGGGTGGCGTGGCGTGAGGGTTTGCTTTAGGGGTTGGGAGACGATGTGGTCATGACTTTCTATGAGGCTATGAGACATGGAAGAAAATGAGGAAGGGGGGACTTTCGGTGACTTCTGCATAGCAATTGCGGGTAAAGGGTTGTTTGTGCTTTGAAGATGGAGGATGTTTTTGGGGGGGGTGGCATTCTAGAAATACTCTTCCAATTCCCCCTTTCTAGCTAGCTTTGCTACCTACGACTCACGAGTTTGGGAAAGGAATATCCCCTTCAATTCCTTTCAATTCAGTTCAACTCAATTCAATTCCAATTGAATCTCTCGTCGTGAAGTAAGGAGCGCAATCAAGTTCACAATCACCCCAAGAGACCCCGTCAAAACATTGACGCTTTTTCTTCCGCCCCCACCACCCAAAGGCCCCACTTTCGGCGTCATCCCGCACTTCCCTTGGCTCATACCCTACCTTCCATCACCAAACCTTCTCCACCTTCCCTTTCTTCCACAATCACCACCTCAATCATACAAATTCTCTTGATACCTCTTATTCATAAAACAAAACATCTCCAAAGCCCCCACACGTACACCCACACCCCCTCCTTCCCCGACTCCACCTCCCACAATGTCCTACAACGACGACTACAACGACGAATACAAAGGCGGCGGCGGTGGCCGCGACGAGTACGGCAACCAAGGCGGTGGCGGCGGCTACGGAGGCGGCGGCGGGCGTGACGACTACGGCGGGCAGCAGCAGGGCGGAGGAGGCGGCGGCTACGGTGGTGGAGGAGGAGGAGGCATGGGTGAAGAAGGCCGCGGGGGCCATCACACGCAACATCGTAGGGAGGAAGGGGAGGGGTACGGGGGCGGTGGTGGGATGGGTGGTGGAGACGGATATGGTGGGCAGGGTGGTGGGATGGGCGGGGGAGATGGGTATGGTGGGCAGGGAGGTGGGATGGGCGGGAGAGATGAATATGGTGGGCAGGGTGGCATGGGAGGAGGACGTCAGGAGCAAGGATACGGCGGCGGAGGCTACGGCGACCAAGCCTCCGGCCGCCTCCCCGGCGCCGGCGGCGACGGCCAGGGATACCCGGGCGCCCAAACCTCGTACGGCGGCGGCGACGAGGGCCAGTTCGGCGGCACCCTGGCGCACGCGCAGCTGCACGCCGGCGGCTCCGGCGACCCGGCCCTGTTCCAGAACGCCGTGGGCCATCTGCAGAGCAACCACCAGTCGTACGGCGGACAGGGCGTCGACGAGGGCGCGGCGGTCAATGCGCATCAGGCCATGTACGGCGGCGGCGGCGGCGGGCAGCAGCAAGGCGGGGCGGGGCATAGCAGCCAGACGGTCGGGGCGGGGGCGGCGATGCAGGCGTTGAAGATGTTCACGGGCGGCGGCGGTGGTGGTGGTGGAGGAGGAGGAGGGGGTATGATGGGCGGGGGCGGTGGTGGTGGTGGTGCGGGCATGGGGGCCGGTAGCCAGGGGCAGGGCGGGGGCGGGGGGCAGAACCAGTTCGTCGGCATGGCCATGGCGCAGGCGAGTAAGCTCTTCGATCAGCAGTCCGGCCAGGGCAACCTGCAGCAGGGCGCCAGCAAGCAGAGCGCCGTCACCCAGGCGGGCGAGATGGCCTTGAAGATGTACATGGGCGGCGGTGGGGGCGGGGGCGGGGGCATGGGTGGCTTGATGGGCATGGCGAGTAAATTCCTGTGAAGGGGGGATGCGTGCATGGTGGGATGAAAAGCTGGCATGGGCATGGATGATGATTAGAGTCTAGCAAATACATCCATGCTATGAAGGTCCACTTTCTCTCTCTCTCTCTCTCCCCGAACACTTCTCTCTCCCGTCGACGTCGCCGCGCACGGTACTAGCACGGAAAGAACTAACGTCTGATCTGTGAACCTGAACGTTACGTACACTAATTGTCTCATACAAATCCACAGTTCGCTGTTCGATTCGCCTCCTTAAGGGCTTTCTTTGCTCGAGTTTGATTCGGTCAGATTACGAGAGTGCGATTCGGTCGGATCGCGAGAGAGAGTGCGATCGGAGCAATCGATCAATCAATCAATCATCGGAAGGTCGGGTGGTCGTCGAGGGTATAGGGATAGTATTCGTTGTTATGTGTTGTTATGTGTTGTGAAAGGATAGGGTAGGGTAGGATAGGGTAGGAGTGTTGGCGGATGTTGGGTTTTATATATACTTCAGTCGTTTTTTTGAAAAGGAGGCTTTGCGTGGAGGCTTTTCTGAATCACTGGGGCTTTTTTAATTCATCTAACTTAGTTGATCGAGTTTACGAATGTAATCTTTCAACCTTCCTTTATAGTCGTCGTCCTCTTTAAAAGCCCCCCCCCCCTCCATCCATCATCCATCCACCACCCACTCACTCCCCAAAAACGTGCCCGCACCCCCAACTCCCCTCGACCCCAAACTCCCCCTCGTCCCTCCACCCCTCGTCCCCGAACCCCAACACCACGCTCCGGCCCCCGGCCCCCTCGGCCATGACGCCCGCGACCGCCATCCACTGCTCCAGGTAGCCCGGCACGGCGGCCCCGTTCGGGCGGCCGCGGCTCGGCCACCCGGTCTCCAGGCACACGGCCGGCAGGCCCGGGCACACGGCCGCGAGGCGGGCGAGCTCGGACCGGACGTAGGCGCCGGCGGCGGAGGCGGGCACGGAGGGGTGGAAGAAGGGCTGGATGGTGGCGGCGGCGAGGTCGAGGGCCGGGCAGAGGGTGCCGCGGTGCTGGGCGAGGATGGAGAGGGGTTCGGTGGTCGTGACGGGGCCGGCGTAGCCGGCTGCGCGGAGGGTGGCGCGGGAGGTGGTGATGAAGGTTGCGAGGGCGGGGGCGGTGGCGTGGGTGTTGAAGATGGCTTCGTTGCCGACGACGATGAGTTCGATCAGTGACCATTGGTTGTCGGCGGGGGTGCCGGCCCAGGCGATTAGTTCGGAGAGTTGGGTTTCGGCGTCGGCGAGGCCGTCGTCGATGGGGATGCCGATGATCAGTTTCAGGCCGTGCGTGCGGGCGGCGTGGCCGACGTGGCGGAGCGCGGAGCAGTCGATCGAGTAGAGGCGGATGGAGGTGAAGCCTTTGCGGGCTATGGTGGCGACGTCGGAACGGATGGAGGAGGCGGAGAGGCAGGATAGGGTGCTGGTGTAAGGGGTGTAGGCTATGGCCCATTGGGAGGAGGCGGAGCCGATTGTGAAGTTGGATTTTTGGGGCTGGGATGGGTGAAGGGTGGTATCATGGGTGGAGGGGCTTTGGCCTGGGTTCTGGGATGGTGTGTCGTGGGGTCGAGGAGAGTTGGAGGCGAATCTTTGGGCTGGTATCGCGGCTTCGATGTGTTCGGTTGATTCTGCTACAGTACTGGCGGCTTTGTTAAGTCCCTTTGCGGGCTGCAAGATGACCTGGTCTTGGTCATCGTAGTCGTCATGATTCGTGGGAAGGAAAGCAGCAACGGATCTGAGCAGTGCGACGGCTGCTCCAAGGTATATTATGCCCTTCATTATGTGTATTATATTAATCATTAAGAGAGTGTATGTGTAGCATATGTGGGATAGTCTGTGTTATTATTGTTGCATTTTTCTTTGTTCATATGCCCTTGAAAGGAAAGAACGGTAAGCAGCAGCAGCACCGCGCGCGCAGGAGAACGAGTGATAGGTTATGTACCCTCATGACAAGTGAGGGGTGAAAATGGCATATATAGAGAAGTGGGAGAGCACAGCAGATTGCAAGAGCCACAGACAAGATGAAATACGCAATACGATGCCATTGACCTTAGGGCGTGAAAGAGATGAGGATATGCGTATTTGGCACACTTGGCGTGCGATCCAGCCGACCCTTGCATTCTTAGTACATATCCATACTCCTTACAAGGCTGTAGCACGGCACAGGCGATGTCTATGAGTATGCGAAGATATGAAAAGACAAAGACAAGCGAATAATAGAAGAGGCTTAAAAGCCACTATTCACGACTTGATGCGTGCTTGTGGCAAGACCGTGATACGATTGAGCGAAAAATGGTAGTGGGACAAAGGAACGTCGCATCGTTCGGTACCATCGCTCGCTAAAGAATCTTACCTGAATGACCTAACCGCCATGGGCTTGGTAGGATCTTTGGCCTGAGTACCCCTTAACGCCAAAGTTGCGCCATCCCGGGGAAGGCCAAGACTCAAATCTTGACAGTCCAGAGATCGGACAGCCGTGAAGTTAGATGACAGTGCGCGGAATGGGAAAGAGGTACGGTAGATACTTGCTACAGTACCTTCGCAGGCTTGTCAGGCCGACGAGACAGTAGTGATTTGGGAGCAACGAGCTTAGATCCTCGAATAGCTTTGCTGTTGTTGGACGAGTCTTACAAGATCGTCCAATGTATTAGCGTCGAGGCGTACATGCGCCAGCCGTAGGCGTGGAGGTTCAAGAGCTCGAGTCTTGCCGAGTCCAGTTGGCTAATATCCACTATCTCACTGAGAAATTTCAAGGATGTTGCTGGTTCTCTGCTCACTGCAGAGGTTGTCTGCCACGCAATCATTACTTTGGGGCGGTTCAGCGAGCATCGTCTCTTCCACGCACACTTTGTAGGAAAGGCATATACTCTGCCCAATTGAAAACTTATGAATGCGGGCCTGCCAGCCACGTTCCAGAAATGCCCTACAGAGATGTTTGAGACACTTCTTAGGTCAATGAGATTTTGGAAGGAGATCTGCTTTGGCTTTCGAAGAAAGCCACCAACTGGGATTCTGATGGCATGGCCTTGGCCCTCAAGGTGTTCGATTACAGCAGAGGTCAATGTCTCGGCAGACAGATTGTCGTGAATACAAGTCACATCAACGGCGCCGCAAGACCATATAGCGGCGAAGAAGCCGTGGGTTGTTAGACTGGTTGAGCGAGTCCTTCCGATGCTTCCTGCATGTCGAGATTTTCACTACTAGCTCGTAGGTATTTCATCTCTGTTTCGGGCCCGGTAGAGTTCTTGACGCCGTAGGCGCATGCTGTAGACTTGTTGCTTCTGGTACGTGGCCAGGTCCAAACTCGGTCCATAGCAATTCAAGTTACACAGCGGCGCGATCGTGCATCATTCGACCTGTCTCTTCGAACAACCGGATGAGCCCCGAATCAACCCCCAATCATTGATGTAGCCAGCCATTCCACTTTATTTTGTTGAGGCTTGGTACCATCAATCGACACACCATCGCTGAGTCCTTGGCACCGTCTCCCTCATACACACATAGTGACCCCAAATCATCATCGTAATAAGGTCCTCCGTCAGTAAAATATCGAATTGGTTTCCAGCAGCCTCAATGGCCTCTTTAGCCTCCTCGTTCGTGGCCATTTGATGGATCTCTGATGCAAGTTCCTCGAGCGCTGTTGTTTGGGATAAGAATGACGATGATAATGATGAATGCTCATCGAGACCATTCTCTATGGCAGCTAGGTTCCGCAAGGCGACAGAATCAGAGGCGAGTTGGGCGGAAAAGGCAGCGGCGACCGCGAACCAGGCCTGCGTTGATGTCTTTAAGGGGACGATGTTGATGTGGAGCTTTGCATGGGTTTTTTTGACTGCGGTTTCTTCATCTTCTGCTTCAGCTCCAGCTTCTGCTCCTTCTTCGGGTTCGACTTCAACGATGAGTCCGACCGATACTTGGGCTTTGCTGCCCGGTGGCCGTGGGAACTGAGAATCTGGATATATAACCCATAAATTTCTACCTTCCTCTACTATTTCGGCCAGCGTCTTGTCCGTCAGAAATCTGTCTTGCTCAACCGGGAGGTTGCGACGCATGAGATACCATGACCCGGAATCGTCTTTCATGAATAGCGTGTTCGGTTTCATCAGCTGCGAGGTACCTTTGCGACGAGATGGCAGGCCCTTGGCACGTGAGGCTAATGATAAGCGAAAGCCGTGAAGGCGGACGAGGAGACCGTCCGAAGCGGTCAAGATGCCTTGTTCGTTCTCGCTTTCGCTCGATTGGATGCCTATGTTGGCATCATTGTCAATCAGCAATGTGGCAGGAGCCCATTTGAGTCCAGGCTCCGCCAGTCTTGGTCCTATACGGAATAAGAGATTGCTTGGTATCCTATGCCTTGTTGAAGGTATCATTCGCCAAAGCCGATTTATGCGTAACGCATCTGCGGCGTCACCGCCATTGAGGATTGGGGCTGAGTCAATGCCGAGTAAGTTTCCGATCAGCAGAGGCTCGTCTGAAGGTACGCTGACTGAGCGGTGGTGTAGAGCCTCGATCACCTTCCCGAGATCGGCTCCAGGACGCTCGGAATTGTCCTTTACGAAAATATTGGCGAAGCTGCCCATTCGTTTGAGTATATCGCCCGCGAGACCGCTTCGGCTTATGCTCGAGAAGTACTTTTCGTGTGCGTTCATTCGAAATTCGCGAAGGTTGAGAGCTGTGTGGGTCAGTTGGAACCAGAGCCGGTTGGTCACTGCGGGCAAGGCTCCTTCTTGCAATGTCCAGAGTCGACGCATCCATGGTGAGGTAAGTATTCTCATGCTCACTTCATCTATGTCTAAGCTCTCGACATTATATTGCATGAGGGATGCATCCAAAACGAGAACATGCGTTGCGTTTCGATAAGTCCGGTACATATACTCCAAGGCCAAATGTTTGGCTTTTTTCGGCTGGACCGGGCAGCAGAGCGTGTCGCACCACAAGAGAAGTTCTTCTTCTTCCTCGTGTTCTTCTTCCGCATCTTTTACTTTGGCGCGATGGTCTCGGGTATCTCGAGAATGGGCTGCTATATCTAATTCTTGGACAAGCTTTCTTAGATTGGATAGCTGGCAACGAGGCAACGCGTTGGCATCAGGGTTCCCAAGCCCATCAGCCCAGACATGGGATAATGCCACATAACGAGACGTTGGTTGTGACGCAACAAGGTCAATGGAGAGCTCTCCCAGCGTTTGGCTCGGCCTCACCCGGATCAAAGGGAGAGCTTTGGTCTTCAAAATATCGTATAAAGCTTCCGCATCTATTGACAGTTCCTCGCAATCACATTCTTTGCTAATGTGTCGTGTCTGATATCCTTCCAGGTCATTCTGGTAGGCCGTACATTGCCGTGTATCACATCCTTGGTGGCTGTGCTCCGAATTGGTTTTATCAAGGCAGGCGAGAAAGTGTAGTGTTTGCAAGGACAACGTAGTATCCAAGATAAGCTTTACCTCAGTCACGCACCATCCATGTGCTAGTAAGCGTCCATTCCAGTAATCATCGTCGATCAGCCGGCGCCATGTTGAAGGACACTTGTTGTTCTTGACTATGTCTGTAATATTGAACGCTTTGTTCGCAGCGTACGTGAAAGTCTGGCCTAACGAGGCAAGGGAGAGCTTGATGTTTGGATCGAAATGGGAGCGGAACGCCTGAATTGACAGCGCGGCGTGAGTCAGGCATAAACATTGGGCAACATGCGCGTATGTTACTGATGGGTCTACCCTGCCGGCCTGAACACGAGCAACCCACTCGTCGAGAGCAGGGGCGAGCATTGACGTGGAAACCGCCTTGGTGTGACCATGTTGGTCCTCGCACGTGTAGATGAGATCTTCGGGTACGTAGAAGCTGCCCAATATCTCATGGATCAACCCGAAGAAAAGCCAGGTTTGATAGAAGGATCCAATCTCCTGTTTCGATAGCGAGGCCAGTTGCATTTGGTGAGAGTCTAGTAGCTGGCCCGGAAAAGGGCCAACTGTGTGAAGATTTGGCAAGCTACCCCTTCTCCTACTAGGATAAGTCATGAAATCTCCACCGTCATAGTCTTCCTGACAGACATATGGCACAACTGTTTTCTTCCTGCCATTCGCAGATCCTGGATAAGGAAGATGATCCATGTTGGATGATAAAGCAACGCTAATAACTTGTTGCTGAGTCTTCGAGTAGCCAATCAATTTGCTAGATGAATTCCTCGAGATCTATCTATCTAGATTGACAATCTCCGCCGCGCAAGTATGAAAAGATGCGAGGATTGTTATGCCCAAAAGATCCGCATGCGTTGTCCAGGACAAGCAGAAAGCGAGCAGGAGCGAGCAGAACAGGACTCAGTAGTGCATTGCCCCATAAGCCAGAAGGCCTGTCTCAGTATTTTCTATATGTACGTATGACTGGCACGTTTGCAGGTCAATGCGAGCAAAGAACCGCAGCTCCATGTGGTTCGCAGGATGCGGTGGCTTCAGGTTCTTCATGGAAGTCGTGCGAGGTGACTGCGGGGCACCTCTAGCGGCTGAGCAAAGTGGTGGCTACTGACCCATCCGTTGTAAACAAGTTAATTGATTGCTTGCAAAGAGTGACAGATCAATATTGTACTTGGGAGAATACGAGGGCGGAAGCTTAGGAGATTGAGTACTCTACGCTGACGTAGTGGGTACTTCACGGTATCACTCATGCAGAACTCGCTGATCACAGTGGCTTTGTATAAGGATCACTACTTATGATACCAATCTATCTACCCAACGAACAATTGCATCCTCTCAGCCTCAGGCGACCCATGATGCGATTGCTCGAACCAATTCCGAGCTCCCAGATCAGCGAAGGGGCCAATGTACGGTCCGTAAGTTGCTGGTGCGCTCCAAGCGGAATTTGAAGGGGACATCATTTCTGAAGCCGAGGAGATGGTTTCTGGGGGTGGTATGGGCACGGATTGCGCCTCGGATCCATCTTCCATGAACTCGTCGTCGTCTTCTTGTTGTGGTGGAATCAATCTCGTAAGGGGAAGTACAGGCGCTGGGGGCACCTGTCGCACGTCGAGTTCCTCGATCTTGGGTTTCATTGGCATATCTTTCAGTAGACCTGTAGACGATTCCAGCGATTCGATGGCGAAGTTCAAGAAGCCGGCGCTCCGGGCGCTGACCGAAAGCGTCCACCCATACTCCGCCAACCTGGCTTGGTAGAAATCTGCTTCCTCTTGGCAAGGTGCCGTGGCGAGGAGGAGACTACCAAAAGTTGCGATGAGGGCGAAGTTGACCCGGGAGGGAAAGTACCAGAAGGCAGTCAGGTGGCTCGGTCGCAGGCGGTTGACGAAGTCCATGGCGGATATCAGGCGAGCTTTGGCGGCCGAGCGGCAGACGTGGGTAAGGTAGATATCGGTAGGAGTGGTACTCAGGGAGCGGATGATGCAGCGGTGAAGGGTTATCTCGGTGGCGAAGTAGGCCAAATGTAGATGTCCTATGAGCGTCAATTACGAATCGTTTTGTCGAGCTAGGGACAACCTACCAATTGTTGCAGGCGCCTGGCCGTTGTCCATCTTCAGGTCCTTCGGTAGGCGTGTGAACCATTCTTTGAGCGAGACCTGGATTGGTTTCGCCCGCTCAAGGATCAGTCGTGTCGCATTCGCCCCAGCAGCGTCAAATTCTTGCATGGCTTTCTGAGTGTAGAGGGTGTTCAAGATGCTTGATAGGATTCCGGTCAGAATGACCATCTGGGAAAAGCACTCTTGCCCCAACCTGGATTCTTCCAGGACCTCCTCTTCGGCGGAAGGATTCACTTCCTCGAAATCATCATCAGAAAGATCTTGTACCGCCCAGTGCTCTTTTGATATCAATGATGGTCGCCCATGCGTCAAGGAGCACCATTGGTCTTCCATGTATAACGCCCATGCTAACCGTTTCCGCAAACCACGTTCCACAGGAGATATGGTCCAATTCGAGCTGTCGAGATGGAGGCCAAGCTCAAAGGCAGCGCCGATCAACTGGGTGTTTAGGAACTTTGAATCAACGTTTGACCTTTGCATCAAAAGCAATCCAGCCTGGAGAGTCGGCAATGTAGGATTCGTGAGACCACCTTCCAACAAGTGGAACGCTAGATCCTCCAGCTGAGTGACATCGGTCTGTTGCCATGTCACATTTCCCAGATTATGGGCGGCCGATGACGCGGAAACGAGGTAGACTGCACATAAGAGAGCAGGGTCCAAGCTGTTCTTCCGACGGCCATTGTATGTCTCGAAGAAGGTATCCTCGACGATTGGTAGGTTGCGATTGATCGTACGAAAATGCTGTACAAGAGAAGGACCGTGTGATCCGATGAGCTTATCGATGGCCTGAATCAAGTTGGTCTGGGGCTCCGCATACCGAGGGAGATCCGACTGATGTATGAGAAATGCGTTGCGACCGTCAGGCTTCTGATATCCGGATCCTCCTGCAGGGGAGACGTCAAATAAGATGGGATCTAGCTCAGTTGTGTAGCCCATATGTGTGCCTTGATATTGCCAGCTGTTGGTTGCCGTTTCGGAGCGTGATGCTGCTGATCCTCCTGACTCCTCCCGCTTGACTTTGATTGTACCGCGGGACTGGCCCTCGGATTGCGAGTCCGCAACGGACCTGGAGGCGCTGTCAGCAAGCGCGACCATACAGCGTACCGATCTTGACCGTTGTTGACCTTCGCTTCCCACTATCTGCAATTTTGCCTTCCGACTCAAGCCTTCTCTTTCGCGGCCGAGGATCCTCTAGGAATGTACATTGATTCCCATGCGTATTGCAGGCTACACAGCAGTTGGTCTGACCCTCATTCATCACACATCTGCTCTTCTTCCTTCGACATGCGTCACAGGGACGGTCTCTTCGGCCTCGGGAGGCCTTGGCATTCGCAGCCTGCGTTGGCTTCGTTTCTGAGCGCAGACTCTCCGTTGATGGCTGGGACGAAAGGGCAGGGACCGACATAGTGGTTGAAGCTGTTGGTAAAAATGGCTGGCGAAAAGCGACTGCTGCAGCCATGTTCGCGCAGGAACGAAGCGTACACTTCCCAGTAGGATGCCGCTCGTGAGAAAGCAGATGGGTAGAGTGGCAATACGATTTGAGGGTCTGAAAAAGCAATGATTCGCTTCCACCTTCCTGTCAGCGTTGCTCACAGGCAGCCACAGATTGCAGTAAGATGACACAGTCTCGAGACCATGCAGTCCTGGGGTTTGGGGATCCGAACGAGCTCGCCACCGACCATGGGCCCACACGGGTGCTCAAAGTGACACTGAAGGACTTGTTGGAGGTTGATATAGAAAGAAAGGTAGGTGGATTTTGCCGCTGCGTGAGCGGATATTCCGGAAGGAATCATGTCGGAAAAGATCTAGAGAGGTCTGGTGGTTGATAACGTCAACTGGTAGGCTCTGTAGGCTTTTCAGACCTCGGTGATCGGTTCAAATTATTGGGGGTCCTGGGAACTCCGTGGGATATAGACACGTAAGGAGAATAGGGTCGTGTGCCCAAGGTGCATGGTGCATCATTCATGCAAGGGCAAATTATAGAACATGTAAGAAGGGGTGATGAAGTTGCAGTGGGAAGAGGGAGACGTTGATAGGTTAGCAAGGGCGTTTGACATTTCCCAGGGTCCAGGGTTCGCAAACTAAGGGTAGCTTTGAAGATAAGCATCATGCTTCTGTATGGGTACAGGGATTTTACCTTACCTAAATCTTATGTCATGGCTTGCTCTAGGACATGAAACCTCCAACACTTTAGTGATTATGGAGCTGTGCCAGGGTATATGGAAATATCTTCGGCATCTGCGAGATGCGGGAGGAAAAAATGAGAAACGAGAAATGGGAAAATGGGAAAATGGGGAAATGGAAAATTCACTTGCTCACGCGACTCGAAAGCAAAAAGGCTCGTCGTTAATGCAAAAAGTCCGAAGCGGAGAGCGGATAATGTTTAAGAAGGCTACCGTACATTAGTCAGCAGACTTGGCAATGAAAGCTGTCCGACTTCGGAGACATACTCCCTCTGGAGCAAGCAACACGGATAATTGCAGTATTTGCTTGACTCAAAAGCTCTCTTCGTGCGTCACGTTGGATGTATAAGGGCCTCTGACGCGAGGTCGCACCGGAGCAATGGTTCCACCAATATTCCAGAGCCAGCCGAGATTCTCCCCAAATCGTCCAAACATTACCACCGAGACTTTCACTGCATCTAAGCAATGCCGGTACCCGAGGCTCAGAGCTCTCCGCAGGAGTCCAGCAACAATGCAGCTCAAGCATTAAAGCCGAACTTCGATGGTCGAGGCCCAGACCACTGGACCGCCAAGGCCTACTCTGCCTCCGCCTCCTTCGTGCCCTTCCTCACACAAGAGATCGTCCAGTGGCTTGATCCTCAACCCCACGACATAATTCTCGACCTTGGTTGCGGCGACGGCGTACTGACGGCGAAGATACGCTCCAGCTGCTCTCGTGTCGCTGGCTTCGATGCCTCTGCGAACCTCATCAAGGCGGCTGAGAATACCTACGGCACCAATGAAAATCTCACCTGGAACGTGCTCGACTGCCGATACCTTGAAAATTGCAACTCTGTCAAAGAGGCGGAGTATACCAAGATCTTCTCGAATGCCGCACTACATTGGATCCTTCGGGATGCGGCAACGCGAATGTCTGTCTTCCGAGGTGCATACAGAGCGCTACAGCCAGGTGGCACCTTCGTGTTCGAGATGGGTGGAGCCGGGAATATTGCAGATGTCCATACCGCGCTTTTGGCCGCTCTAGTACACCAAGGTGTGGGTATTGAGAAGGCTAGGGAGGCATGTCCGTGGTTCTTCCCCTCCGAGAAAATGATGACGGGGATGCTGGAGGAGGCGGGGTTCCGAGTGGAAAAGATGAAGTTGGTGTATAGACCTACGGAGCTGACTGCGGAGAAGGAAGGGGGCTTGAAGGGATGGTTGAGATTGATGGGAGCGAACTTCCTCGATGTGCTGCCTACGAAGGACAAGAAGGAGGCTGTGGTCAGGGAGGTTTGTGATGTGCTCCAGACAGTTCTTACTCACGAGGCAGATGAAAGCATGTGGCTTGGATATGTGAGGCTGAAGGTAGTTGCGAGGAAGTGATCTTACGAGAACGCAGTCGTGACATGGTGGTTCGCCAAGACGTGAAGGCGTAACACTTGGGAGAACTCGCAATCTTGAAGAGCTAATTGTGCAAATCACCTTTATTGTGACAGAATCTAGCGTAGATGCACCGTGCCAGTGCTTTGGGCAGATAGCCGCTATGAACCTGATCCTTCTTTCGCTCTTGATCTCCGACGACGGCACAATGACGAGGAGCTCCTTTACAGCCACTGCTGCCGTAGGGCCACCCATGCATAACGCCGGCATCACCCGTTCGTCACCCGCAGGCCATGCACGAATCTCCTCAGTACTGCAACGATCACTGCGGAAAATTTCTCCGGTCAGAGGACCTGATTGCTCATCCGGGAGCCTCTTGAATACCTTCACCCTATCCGTCCGGGTAGGTATCTAGCACCGTCGAACGGACCGACCTGGGTCGCCCTCTTTCGAACCCACACACACCCGGGCGGCTTCTCCGTTGAACCAGGACGGCGGAGCTTCGCAAACGTACCCGTCGGCGAGGCGTCTGCGGAGGCATGAATTCTGAAGAGCGGTGGTTGAATGCGTGAGCCATCGTGTACGATCCGGGAGGCTTGCCCCGTTTTTGAAGATCTTCGTCATGGGGACGGTCTTGGGGTCGCCGATGTCGAGTTTGTCGGCGAGCGCGTATAGCTTCACGGGCTTTAGGGTTCTCTCACTTTGAGCCTTGGCTTCTTCGGTTTGGGTGGTATCTCGTAGCGCTGGTGAGAGAGCCATCGTACGAACGGTTTGAATGTATCTTCGTCTTCTTCGGGGAGGTCCATTTTCTATTCGGAGCTCTCCCGGAAACGGCCTTCGAATGCTGCTTTAAAGAAGGGCGAGGCTTTGCATAGCTGGTCTCGATGGATTAGGAAGGGTTTTTTGTTCTTGGCGATGAAGATGTGGACGGTGGGAGCTTTACAGAGTCTATATGCTTTTGACATCTGTGAGATAGGAGAAGGGGTATCTTGTTGACTCCGACTTACTTGGTTGTGGGTGGATCCGTGGAAGGCATCGTGGGGCTTTCATTATCCTTGGGTGAGTGTGAGGTCGGGAGGTCGAAAGATGTTGTGAGCAAGTTAATATCAAACTGGATTCAACACCTGCAAATTGGAGTCAACATCTCGGACAAGCCGCGGCTACTTCGAAGTATTTAACGAGTGTCATATGTCTAGCACTGTCTAGACAGCTGTGCGTGAACACAGATTTGTATCATAGAGTCACTATGATGCAAGATGATGAGCTTCGAGGTTTGCAAAGAAGCTAAATAGCTTGCGCATCCGATTCCACCGCCAATCACAACGACTTTCTCTCCATCCATAGCTGAAGCAGAGCGAGAGCCGGAGGAGGCGAGTACCTGGCGAGTCTTTTCAATCTATGCACAATGTTAGCTTTGCTTGATGCTCTATTTGCAGGCTATGAACTTACCCGTCAATCCTTGATGAAGCTCTTCGGATTGGCGATGGAGTGCTCATTCTTGCAGCCCTGGGCCCTCCTTGTCTTTGTACTCCTCTGGCATATCTCCCGCGAAAGGATTGTGGATCTGCTTATGCCTCCACTTAAGATTCTTGGCAAAACTGAGCACCACGTCTGGCGCAAAATCGGGTTGCTGTCGCAGGAACGCATCAATATCTTGGAATTCATACCACCCGAGATCAATATTCCAGGCATACCAGTCTGCTAACAACTTGCGGAGACCTGACCCTTGAGTGGTATGATTGTACGCGTAAGCAATTGCGCGGTGGCCGGGTCCCCTCAGGGGTCCACGACCATCGACGAAAAGAGTTTCAATAACGAGGTTTTTCAGCTTGCAGACGTTGTATTTGTCTGCAAACACAAACAATCGGAAAGGCTGCAGGAACCTCTCATCCGTGTTGTCGCCCCCGTCGTCCTCATGATCCCCGTCGTCAGGTAACATTTCATAGCGCTGGCAGTAAAGCCAGTCTACGAAAAGCTCGAACGTGCTCTCGTCATCTTCCGGGAGCTGCATGTGCTTTTCGGAGCTCTCTTTGGACTTTCCTGCGAGTGCTGCCTTGAAGAACGGGGAGGCATCGCATAGAAGGTTGACGTGAACGTGGAAAGGCTTCTTGCTCTTGCCGACCAGGAGAGTGACCGTAGAGACCTCACAGAATCTATACATTATCAGCAATTACTTCGCGAAGATTCAAAGTTCTTGAAAAAGTCATCTCACTTGCGCTTCGCTGGCGTCACGGTTTTGGGTGACGTTGATGGAGCCATCTTCGAACGCGGAGGATATGAGCGTCGACGGAAGACTTTTAGATCAAGTTGGTAGTTGATACATGTCCAGGATTTGAGTGCCGATATAAGATGAGAAGTCGAAATACTTTGAGATTAGATTGATAGCTGATGAACGTCGAGAATTTGAGTGTTGACGACGGATATGGAGTCGAAGTACTTCGAGTTCAAGTTGATAGCTGATAAACTTTCAGAATCCAAGCGTCCTATCAAGGTGTAAAGACTTTAAGAATGAGTTGATGGTTGATGAAACTCGCTTGCTTCACAGTAACACACCACGACTACATTGCCACACTGTACTAGTACGAGTGAGTTAATGGCTCTCCCAGATATTTCAGTCATTAAAGTCGCAAGAATGCATCAGATTGCTTCGCGAAATTTATCATCTTACGAATTGGCCTTAACAAAATCCTATCAGCTCCTTTCGTCCTGATCCACCGCAACCCCCATACCCTCCTCAATCCCTCTTTACACCATCCTCCCCATCCCACTGCTCGCCCCCCCAGGCGCCGGTCCATTGACCGCAATAAACAACCCCTTCATATTCCCCACCAGCGACAGTCCCCCCAGACTCGTCTTCGACATCGGCACGCAGTCGTCCAAGATCCTCTGCGCCGCCACTATCACCTCCACCAATCGGAACTCGTCCACCGCGTCCGGTACCCCCGTCGTCAGCAAGATCTGACACCGAAGGTCGTGCCAGTCGGCGGGGATCCAGAAGCTGCCGGGTTCGCGCCCGTGCCAGGAGTAGGTGTGGGGCGTCATGACGCCGCGGGGGTCGTGGAGGATGAGATCGATGGCTTTTAGGCAGTCTTCAGGGTCGAGAGGGTAGGCGAGGTGGCTGGTGGTGTTGAAACAGTCGAGGTCGGGGACGGATGGTAAAGGGTTCGGGTGGGGGGTGGTTTGGTTGGGTTGGGGAAGGGTGGTGTTGAGGTTGATGTTGGATTGTGAGAGGATTGGGGGGTAGATGGAGGGATGAGGGTATGAGTAGATAGCGGAGACGAGCGAAGCCAGGGAACAGAGATAGATGACGAGAGTGAGGTGGAAAGGAACAAGTTTTGGGTATCTCATCCTCGCGTTCATTGCGCAAAGGCTCAAGCTTGATCCGGAAGGAGATATCGTGATAGATGCGAGATGGAGGGAATTAAGAAATTCGCATTTTTGCCGCACCGCATTATATTAGTACTGCGGATCTATGGTCCACAAGCGATTCGATCGCGTGTCACTCTTGGTCGCGCCGGGAATTTCCAACATGAAAGCTAAACTAACCGCTGTCCAGGTCTGATATGGATTCCATTCTGGTGGACTCTCACATTGACAACGACAGGGCTTTCAAAGAACGAGATATATCTTATACCGTTCAACCTGACCTAGCCTCCAGCGAATAAATACATAGATCAGAGATAAGTAACAGCTGCCCATATCACAGAGATGGGCCATGCTCAGAGAGGCGCGGGGCTTTGAAAAGCCTAGATTTAGCTGCGAAAGGTGATCATGTGGACAAGGCGCGCTTGGTAACTGGGCGCAAGTAGAACCAACCATTATTCATTACCCTGCTATCGCTAGCTCGTATCCTATCCTGCTAGCTCAACTAAGTAGGCACTGCACAACCCGGAATGTGAGAATTCTGCTTCGAAACATAGTGAGGATCCTGACCATTGATTCAAAACATGCAACTTACCCCAGATACTAGACGAGTTGTCTTGTTGAGGCTGTTGTGCCTCTATCTCGATACCTGCTAGGCATGACCTTCATCGGTCTTCTTGAGTGGCGCCTCATGATAGACGGAACTGGGTAGAGTGAATGGGCTACGTCGCTCCGGGTACTTCTGTCTCACGCCCAGTGCCACAACCAGATCGATGGTAAATTCCTGGGAGACTTCTGCAAGCGCGGCCTTGGTGTTATCAAAGTCGTACCACTCGAGGTCGATGCGGTAGGCATACCAAGCAACCAGCAGCTTCCGGAAAGACGATCCTTCGGTGGTGTTATTGAAGACATACGCGACGACGGATATCTGTGGCGCCTTGAAGCCCCTTGGTGGCTTTGTGAGGTCGAAGAGCTCATCGACGATCTGATTCTTCAAAAGATAGATATCGTACTTGTCGGCCAACGTGTTCAACTTGGCCAGTTGCATATAGCATTCTCCCGAAGTCTCTGAGGAGACCGGAAATGTCAGCTCAAATTTTCTGGTATAGAGCCACTGGATCATGCGCCCGACCGAGTCTTTGTCGTGGTCGGGAAGCGACATCGATCGCTCAGAGGCTTCCCGGAAATTGCCAGAGAACGCAGCCTTGAACACAGTTGAGGCATCGCATAGGAGGTTCTGGTGGACTTGAAAGACAGCCTTGTCTGGGCCAACTTCAAACGTAACAACCGTGACGCCTTCGAGCCTGTGAGAAGAAGGAATTCAAGTTAGCTTTACAACATTACTCTTAGCCATAAGTATCATTCGACGGCCACTTACTTGAGGTGTGCAGGAGCTTCGGCCATCGTGTGGGGTAGAACTTGTTTGGTGATTGGCGGACAGCCGCGCGCGCTTGAATTTGGGTAGGGAAGGTGAGCCGAGGGAGAAGTCAAAGCATCATCAGTCTTGAATCTGAGAATAGGTAGCTTCAAACTTGAAAGGTGTGGGCAATTCACGGCGTATAATAATCATCTTTGGTGCTTGGATGAGGTCTTATATAGTGCGAAATGGCCGGGTGTTGACAAAACACGACACTCTGTCAAGCAGCTTCATTCACTTGCCGCCCAACACAAAACCGCATCGCGTCACATATCAGCCCTGGCGCGTTCTCTCGAGTAACTCTGCCGGTGGTGCCGGAGAGATGAAACGCAAGGCTACGGACTCAGGCACAGTATCAAAGGCAAAACGTCAAAAAGAGCCCGAAGCAGACTACTGTGATGTGATATCGCGGAAGGATGGCCATGGAAACGCGATATGGCCCGCATCCGAGGAGTCTATCGAACGTGCCAGACTATTTATTAAAGAGTGGTAAGTACTTCCTCGGGGGTTATCAAGCGGGCTGTTTAGTTTCGTTACAGTGCTGCCTCCCGGAGCAAGACGCTCATCGTCCCGGACAAGGACGCAGATGGCCTTGACGCCGGCGTGATTATCCGCACGACGCTCATTGCATTGGGGATGTCTTCAGATCTTATTGGTGTCCATCTAATCAGTAAGAATGCTACTGTACACGATGAAGCGGAGAGAGCAGCCATGCTAGCAAAAGATCCAAAGTACATCATCATCGTGGATCAAGGAAGTCGCGCTGCGCCGGCAGTCGTGGACTCCCTGAACACCAAATCTCTGATCATTGATCATCATCTGAGTGACGAGTTCCCGGAGAATGCTACTGTGAGGCATTCCCTTCTCCCAAATCAACCCAACCAGTTAATGGATTTCTAGGTTGTTTCCGCCTGTCATTGTCCTCCTGTGGCGACGTCTGCTCTCCTGACCTACGAGATTTGTAAGCCCCTCGACCAAACCATTGCTTCTGCTTGTGGCTTCTTATGCGCTATGGGTACGCATGGCGATCTCGGCAACACCCTCAAATGGAAGCCTCCATTCCCAGATATGACGGACGTCTTCAAAACGCACACGAAGAAGGCGATCAATGACGCTGTGGCGCTGATAAATGCTCGTCAGTCTGCTCAAGGCATGCGTTGCCTTCCATTGCTGACGAAGAACAGCTAGGAGAACATCGAAATTTGACGTAATTTCGGCATGGGAAGCACTACTCGCTGCAAACGGTCCGAAAGACATCTTGGACAACGAACGGTTGCTCAATGCTCGAGCTGAGATCAACGAAGAGGTCGAGAAGCAGACTCACACGCCGCCGAAGTTTAGCAAAGATGGAAAGATTGCAGTTTTGCGAATCAACAGCGAGATGCAAGTTCACGGTGTCATCGCAACAAGATGGGTAAGCCTCCCTGGCTTTTGCTCGTTCCATCTTGGCTTACAGTCGTTTTCAGGCTGGATATCTCAACTCCAAGGCTCTGGAAATCATCATGGTGGCCAATTCCGGCTATCGCCCTGGTTACGTCAACTTCTCCTGTCGCATTGCCCGCTCCGCTCGCTCCAAACATCCCCCAGTCAACATTATTGAATCCTTGAAGGCCGGAGCTGACCTCGATACTGGCGATCTGGTGGAGAGAATGGGCGAAAGCTTTGCTAGAGGGCATAAAGAGGCATCTGGAGGCATCATCCCGGCAGCTGAGTTCGAGGAGCTGATGGCCCTGATGAAAATTGGGGAGAAGCCAGATCCGAAGCCTGAGGATGGTGCGAAGAAGGTCAAGACATCGCCACAGAAGAATAACCTGATGAACTACTTCACCAAAAAGTGAACCGCCCGAGTCACTGGTTTGCTGAGTCTTGCAAAAACTGGCGCGCGAGACTGCAGGAGTCTCCTCTTGAGGCCTCAAGGCGCCCCTCCTCCCAGATTGGAACGATTTTGCTGGGTCTCGAAACACAGTGATTTTCGAAATGACTGCATTCTCTGGAATGTAGTGGGCGACTCGAAGCTCAATTCAACATGGCCAATTGAACTATAACAACCTTGCCGCCTGGTGATACGGCATATGATTGAACATATGAACAGTATAAATGCCCGTTCAGCCAAAATTCCCAAACCTCACTTCACTTCTATTAGTGATATGCCCGCTAAGAACGGCTACTTTTCACGGGCACTACTCTCACTTTCTCACATCATTCCCCTCATTACAAGTTCCAATCAACACTTCGGTCGCTTTTCGAGAGTACCTATTCAATTTTTCAACAAGTGTGCGAATCCAAGGCATGTTTTCTGAGCTTTAATCATCAAGGCGGTGAGTCTCTCTCTGGACCGAGTCTGATGACAAGGCCCTTCCAGCTGACGATCTTTGATTCTAAGTCACAAGCTCCTCGCAACACAACCTCATCATGGCAAGTCAGACTCAGACAGGAGCAGACCGCTCTGCCGCTGCACTTGGCTTGGGCTACAAGCAGTGGACTCGCAAAGATCTAGCCGTTATTCTCAGCCACTACGGCGGACCTTTCGGAGAAAGAGATAGCAACAATGTGTTGATAGGCTTGTTGAATGAGCTCGCTGCGCAGCGTGGATTGACACGTGAAGATCGCTTGACCATCATCAACGCTCATAAAGCCGGTACACGCCTCCCCTCTCGTAAGCCTGTAATTCGAGCTCCGACAGTTCGATCCACTATCACTCAGCCTGTTGTCGCTCATCCTGCCATCGCTCAAACGGAGGAACACTCTTGAGGCACCAGTGATGGTAGCGACGACGAAATGTCTGAGGACGAGCTTGCGGAAGAATTGCCATCCCTGTCTGAGGAAGAGCGGGATCTGCCGGAATACACTGCTACAATGAGTATGCCAAACAGCACTGGACAACGTCGGACTCGTGGGCTACGTTTAACCGCATCTGAGGTTGCCAACCGCCCACTGCTTGTGAACCGCCCTGTGGTGGGAAATCGACCGGCCACTGTCAACAGCAGAGCTCCAATTCGTCGCTCAAATCCAGCATCTGCCAATCGCCAAAGATCTACGACTCATCCGGAATTGAACCACCGTGCTCGTCCACGAGCTACCAGAGCAGCCACAACCATTCCACCGAGAAGCGGGCCAGCAACCCCACGAGCCATAAAGGCTTTAAACCATGAGTGTCTCATATGCTACGATTCATTCGACCCAGTCAAGACTCTTATACGCCAGCCTACTTTATCTTGTGTGCATGAGGTGAACATTTGCAGACCATGCCTGGCTGCTTCGATCTCTTCGCAACTGGAGACCAAATTGTGGACCCACGTCGGCTGCCCTACCCCGGCTTGTGAAGAGCTTCTTGAATATGGTGATGTCCAGAAGTTTGCAGAGCCTCACATATTTTCAAGGTGAGCATCAGTAGTGTACCGAATTGGTGACACTCTAGCTAATGCGAGGACTGATTAGATACTTTGAGTTCACCTTCCAGGCAGCGCAAGTTGACAGCCACTTTCAGCGCTGCCGTACACCGGGCTGCAAGTCCGGCCAGCAATGCTTCCCGGAGGATACCATCATGAATTGTCAAGAATGCCATCGCAAAACCTGTATTACTTGCGATACTGAAATGCATCCCGGTATCTCATGCGGCAACAAAGAAAAGGAGCGCCAAGCTGCCCAGCAAACCCACGAAGAAGCTACCACAGGATACCTAAAGACGCAAGCTAAGATGTGCCCGGGGTGTCAGGCTCCTACTCAACAAACAGGAGGATGTGATCATATGACCTGTAAGGCTTTGAAATTAAGATCTGCGTAATAGCACTGTGCTGACCTCTGTGGTAGGTAAGACTTGTGGTTATGAGTACTGTTGGCGCTGCCTTGCGGATCACGGACCGATCGACGAAGAAGTGAACCACCATCATGCCCCATATTGTAGACACCACTCCAACAATCTATGAGCAGCGCCTGAATGAGTCGGGTCATGGTTTTGTGAAGTCATAGCCAACATGGCAGTCCAGGTACCTTGGATCGCCAGACGTCCCAAAACTCCTGTTACAGTCTTCCCTTTTTCTTATTCAACGCCGGATGAATCCATGGTTTTTTCCGGTTCCGCTGTACGAACTGGACTCTTCCCTGTTATGTTCCGCACTTCGGTGTTCACTATACCGTTCATGAGATGTATCGGAAGCTGCCGAGAGAAGCACTGTCACAGCGTGGACGAGCTTCCTCACCAGTTGTACCTACAGAAACCGTGTTATCCCATCGTCTGGCGCCTTGGAGGTAAAATGTCTTGGCAGAACATTAAAATACCATACTTTCGCAGCCCAATAACTTTCTAATGACAACCTTTACAGTAAAACTTTCAGTTGCGAAGTTCAAGATCTGCTTAAGAAAAACAAATGCGAAACTATAAACTTTTCTATGAAGGTCCTCGTTATTGAGTTATGATGAGTTGCAAGACGGGACTTTTTGATGTTCGGTCAGAACCCCTGAATTTTACCCCCTGCCAGACGATGGGATAGCACTCCTGCACCTCAATGTATCTAAGACCAGAGCGAAAAGTGTCGTCTTCGCAAAAGCATAGTGTCATAGCCTACTTAGCAAATACATGAACGCTGTGAGCCATTGCCACACCTGCCTTCTTCGAAAGCCAATAGTGGAGCAGTGCAATTGTCATCCCATTCACGCACGGGCAGATTTTGTAGCCGCGCTCTCCACTGTCCCTATCGTCCGAGACCTCCCCCGTAAACACGCCCGCACTGACGGCGAACGGTAGCCGCCAGCGGATGGCGGAGTCCACCTTTCTAAGTAGATTGTTTTAGCTGACTAGTGTCGTTAGCTGAGGTTGACGTACGGTACAGGTTCAGCCGAATCGGAACCAGTACGCAATAGGGACGCCGATATAGTTGGTCAGGAATGTGCGTCCAAAGAATCTTCCCCGATGGTTTGTCCTTTGAGACCTGCGCTGCTCATGCAATTGAAGTGAGCAACATTGATGCCGTTGATGACTCTGGCGCGGATCTGCCATTTGCCGTTCTGCGCCGACGCCTGGATCGCACAACCCAAGGTGCACCACAAACAGCCAAGCTGAAGGCCGTGAATGCGACTAATACTGTTAGCGAGCCAGCGGGCAAGGAATCCTCCCTAGGATGATCCAAAGTGATAAACGGCGACGATGCCCTTGAGTTTGGATTGACGTGTCATGACTGATGCGTTTCCTGCAGACAGTCCCATGAGGTTAATATAGATGGGGGCTGACATTGACGCTAGCAATGAAGCCTTGACTGTAGCCTTCAAAGAAGATGGCGAGAGGGTTTGTCAGATGGATGAGCAGAAGAAGGAGGTGGTGGCCTGGAACCCGAGTCCACGCTTTGGTGCGTAAGAAAGCCATGCTCAGATACTACCGCTTGCGTTCAAAAGAGCACACGAGCCTTAGAAAGGTGATTGGATGCTTTTTGGGCTCAGAAAGAGTGTTCCTGCAGAGAGTGCGGGAGGGAACGCGATCTGACAGAAAGATAAAGAGAAGGAATACAAGAGCTTCAGTTGAAGCTTCCACACAAAGTTTTGACGCGGATCTACTGAATGGCATAGCACGAGTTTATCAAGATCTGCGCGAATCAATTGTCACTCTCTCCGCGGGCACAGCATGTTTGAAGGCGTAAAATTGGGGATCTTTGGGGCAGTAGGGCCGTTTCCGGCGAAGCCCCACCTTGCATATCGCACGGCGACGGGCATGAGAGAAACCCGAGGCCTGGGGATCTGGTTCAGATCGGAGACTAAGCAATAGGATGATACTCTGCTGTGAGAAGTTGCGAGCGACCATGCTGGTCAAAAATTGGTGGGCTGAGGTGTGAATCTCAGGCCACGCCATTGAGGCTAAAAGCGACTCGAGCAGGGCAAGATTCATACTCGCATCGTTATGGCTTAGCATCCCAGTAGCTCACCATTGCGTACTTCCCATGCCGCGTCCAACCCTCCTCAAAGTTCGCGTCCTGACCTGGCTTGAGTCCTACACAGACATCGGCCTTGGCGGTCCGCAGCACCAAACTTCTAACCCCTTGGCCGCCGTGTTTCTTGGCAAGAGGTCCGAGGGCTTCGCTGAACGGTGTTGAATGTGGCCACATGCCGTCGTAGGTGAGCTTCCTGTAGTTGAGATCCCCTTTGTATACCACAAGATCAGCATCAGCAAGGTCCTCGAACAAAGCAGGTTCCACAACGGGCATTCGCCCGAAGGGATGTTGCGTAGTCCAGAATAGCTCGGCTCGGAATTCCATTTTCCCCGACTGGATCAGGCCTCGCCAGTATTTCCCAGCTTCCTGGAGCTCCTCTTTGTCTGGAGACTTGATGTCCTCGTAAATCGTGCCATTGGCAAAGCCCTCGATCAAGTACTTCAAGTCTTCTGGGTTGACGTCTGACACGAACCATGGCATTCGTTTGCCGTGGAGCACAATCTTCTTAGCGTAGCCACTTTCGATAAGATATCCGGCGAGGACCAAGTCCGTAAGCAACTCAAAGCCAGCATTGTCTAGGACTATGTGCATGTCTCTAGGAGACCCCAATGATCGTAGCCTTGACAAAAGACTCCAGACTTGCTCCGTATCGTCAACAACGATGTTTTCCTTATTGCTGTCTCTGACCGCTTTCCCTTGTCGACTGTTCAGCTCCTCCACTGAGAGAGATGTAAGCAATGCCAGGTCTGTAGCATTTCCCCAAAGACTGATCTGTACCATCTCTTCGAATATCGCCTTCTGCGTCTCTTCATCCACAGCTTGCTTTTCAGCGATAGTTTGAAGCACTGCCCGGAATCTCTTGACCAGCTCAATAGTTCCTTTCTTGCTGCCAATGAGGGACGATCTTTTGCTGGTCGCAAACAAGTCGAACGAATGCCAAAACGGAGTGGAGAGCGTAAAGTATGTGTGGATGAGGCGGTACATATAGCACTCTGTGTATAGCCAAGGCGCAGCTAGCCATTTGAGGTCTTTGAATGTTTTGAACTCCTCGTTGTAGGCTTCAGTATCGGGTCTCCCATCTCGTGGTATTGGCTCCAGCACAGCATTTCCCAGCATACTTGTCTTCAACGACGTCAGCTTGGCCTGTATAGCCCTCCCAGCTTCCACATCCTCCTTCGATAAGCCATTATGTCCAGATATCGTGGAGGCGATCTCATCGATCGCTGAGGAGAGGATCTTCGGCCAACGCTCGCGTGCAGTGGAGTAGGCGAATGACTCTGGGTCGCCGCTGTTCGAAGTTGCTGTCCACCGTGAGCTCTTGCATTGCTGTGGGGAAAGAAGACTCTACCAATCGATGGGTCTGTGGATTGAAAAAAAGCCATTACACACGAGAATGCAGGTGTGCGGTGACACTCACTTGGATGAGTCGACTTCAAGCAGTATTTTCGAGACTTCAGCGGTGACCTGTGATCCCGTACATCACCATGGCCGTTGTCAAGACTTCAGGGAATGACTTTGCACCCGTTGTATGCCCGATGGCCGTATAGGTCAACAAATGAGAGCATGTCACGTATCAAGGTAAATTATCGTCAAGCGCACTAGTGCTCGCGTAGTACGATGGTGGGTCCGTGGGATGATCTGCGGACTGGGGAAGGCTTGGCGCGGAGAAAGCTGTCCGACTCCGCGGCTCTGGTGACTCTTTTCCAACTTTCCATTCTCTTTCCTCATCTTCAACGTCAGTGATCATCCCAGGCAAATTAATCTGCTTCACGTCCCTCTTAGGATTGACCAGTAATCATGAGAGCAGCTAGTTCGGTAGGAGCCGATCCGTCGGCAGCAGGATCTGCGGCCTGCCAGCCGAGCCAGCCTCCATGAGCTACGAATAGCTCCTCGGGTCTTTGATTAGACATTTTTCCTACAATCTACCATCAGTCCCTGTGTGATACTGACAAGAACCTCTCGTCGGCCAGCCCATTTGGTCCCTCAGTTAGGGATCACAACTCGAAAGCATTTGACAAGCTCAAGGGTGTCTGTCGACGGGCTCTAACGGCATTAATGGCACACGTGATCGAAATTCTCTGGACATGGTCGTGCTTGGGCTGAACAGTGGAACTGCTGAGGACGGCATGGATTGTGCCATTTGTCACTCCAAGCAGCAGTCTCCAAGCTCTCCCCTTGAATTGAAGATTCTCCAAGTATGACGCCGATGTTTCAAGTTGCACAAAAGACTGACGTGTGCTTCGCAGTACGACGAGCTACCTGTACCAGAAAATTTGAAGAATTAAGTGCTTCGAATGCTTCGAGAAGCTGCTACAACCCCGTCCGCGATGGCACAGATCAATATTCAATTGGGTGAAATGTTCGGCCAGGCCATATTAGACTTCTGCGAAGAACACAACATTGACATCAATATGCTGGATTTGATGGGTAGTCATGGTCCGGCGATCTGACTGTTGCTTATGCTCAAGGCTTCAAGATCATCTTCATCGGCGAGAGAGCTATCATCAGCGGTATGACATGGATCACTACAGTCACCGAATTCAGGACTTGCGAACAGGCTGTCGGGAGACAAGGCGCAACTCTAGTCGCCTTATTGGACGATATTCTTTTACACCACCCTACGAAGTGGCAGAAATATCAGAACATCGGAGGCATTGCCAATGTCTGCTTCATCCCTCCAGACAGTGAAGGCGGCATACACAAGATGATTGACTGGGATTGCGGACATTGAAATATGTTTATCGATGCCGCCGTTAGGTGTTTTTACGAATGGTCAGCTGAAACATGGCAAGGACGCCGAATGGGCACGTCAAGGCAATGTCGATCAAGTGGTGGTTGACAAATTTTGGGACAACCATCGCTGTATCAACCACGCGCTGCCAGAGATGACGGGCTGCGAAGTGTTCGGAGATAGAGAAGCTCAAGCTTTGATTGACGAGTGTCTCCAAAGGCGGGTCAAAGTATGACACTGTTGCTACCATCACCCGCATCACAGCCCAGGACATCGTACGACAATACCACACCTTTGGTCCAAAGATAGCCTTCGAGAGATCCGTGGACATCCACATCTGTGGCGGAGGCTCTCTCAACCCTGCAATCATTCATTCATTCACTCTTGAGACTTGACCGCCGTCATCGTCTTGCACCATTTTGCCTTCTTACACCCTCCACCTTCTTTACATCCTCCACCTTCTTTACATCCTCCACCTTCCCACATCCTTCGTCCACATCGGTGAGAGGTTGAGGCTTGACAGGCCGTAGTTTATCACCAAGGACTTTGAAGCAAAATTCTGGGACTGACAGGCTCCTTGTCCAAGAGATACCCCACTCCTGACATTAGATGACGGTGCTTCTCTTCAGTCTTGGCTTTCTGGACAACAGAAATTCGCAGTTCACGCGCTTATGATAACCGAAGTGAATCGATTACTTGTTTTCCAAACATATCCTTAACATGACCGCTTGGAAGTCCTCGCGTGTAGCTTTCTGCAATGCTTTTGGCACTATTCCTTTGTTGACTGGAGACTCACCCATACTTTGCTTGCCGCTGAATAGGTTGCCGATCGCTTCTCTTAAGGACACTTCTAATCGAGGGCCCTGATTATTGGACAGAATTGTAATAGACTCTTCGAGATCCAGAAGCGCCTTTTCCTGCCTTCGGATCAGAAGAAGGCAAAGGTCCAGATTTGGGCTGATCCAGGCTTGTGAGACGGCTGCGCTGGGGTTACGGTGAAAGACGTACACAGCCGATAACCAGTGTCATGAATGAAAATTGCTCTGGCGCCTTTTTTGCATCGAGAGCGCTACGTCTCGATATCCCATCGTTCTTTCGCCAGGGTCGTACAGTCTGTCGAGTCCGGCTGGATCAAATGCTGCCGTGTATGGCCTGAGAATTTGCCTCCTCAAGTCAGAAACAAAGACCCCACATTGTATTGCATTGCTCAATTCGAGTCATTGAGTTGTCAAGTACAACCAATCAGGATGCCAGAGTGACTATGGATGGGTGGACAAATCCGACCTGACAGAATTATCAGCGGCCAGCCTGAACAGACAGTTGGATAGACAAAGAAGGCTACTCAAGTGGCCTGGCACGAATTGGAATACCCTAGATCTGGGTCAAGTCCTATCAACGGCGTCAATGGTTACAAAACAGAGGGGGGGGGGGGAAAAAAAAAATTTTTTTTCCTTTCCTTTTGGAAGGAAGAAGACCTTTGAGGATCTTCTGAGTCGTGAAGCTGCTGAACCTTCTAAGCGTGGAGCTCGCGCTTGATTTTGCATTTACACAAAGCGAGATTATGGCAGGTATGCACCCTGCTCTAACACTGCATTCAGTGTGAGGGCAGTACATACATATCTTGATGGAACGAGGAAGGGACTTGCGATTGAAGCGTTTGGAGGTTATACTGCTTAATACGTTAGATACCCTTAAACCATATCAACACTTCCAATAAGCCGAGACCGTCGGATATTCTAATCTCTCGGTGTCGACTTATCGTCGGTGAAGTTGACAATCGTGGCACATCGCCTTCTTAATCATCAAACGTTGGTTCAACTAAGTCTCGCAGGGACTCACGGTGTAACAGCTTCACGTGAGAAACTCCTTCCACAACTTGCGATTTATGTCAACTCGAGGGCCGGTCTACTTGACTGCTTTGACCGATCTAAGCGTGTTCAAAGTCTACTAAGTCTTCTTAAAGGTCTCGTGGGGAGTGTACTTCTTCATGCGGCTGTAACACCAATGCTCATTAATAGCATGTACCTTCCCCTGAAAACATCTTCATGCTCATAAGGGTGAAAGAAGATGACAATCAATTGCCACAACTTTAATACCCCCCCAACCCTTTGCCTGTCCCCGTGCTTAACTTCCTGCAGCATCACGTCGCTGTCGCTTTTTCTGACAGTCAGGAATGTTGTTCTGATTCTTTCCATACTCCGGAGGTGGTAGCCTCCAGTTACCTTTCGGAGGCCGTGATACGCTCGGGAGCTTGATCCTTGCGACTGTCCAGCATGAGATGACAAGCCCATGATCCACAGACTACCTGCAGGCTGAGCTCCCAAATAGCAGTCTCCCCTCTCTCGAAGAATCCGGCGTTCCTTCGTCAGGAAAGGAGGTGGTGGCTTTCGCCTTGCAGGGAATGGAGGCGGTACTAGTACTTGGAAGACCGGTCGCTGTACCCATCGACTCTGATATCTTGACGCCGCCGTTGGTCGCTGGAAAAGTTGCGCCGGGGAACGAGTGGAGGCGGTTGATGACAAGAGCGTGGGGCTTTGGTAATGGAAGGATCTGCCGATGGTTGAGGAACTAGACTTGGCGGAGAAGTACTTCATGTGAAAGCTTGGGCACTGCTACTCTTTGAATGGGCAAATATTGATCAAATATTGTTACAGATTTCCGATGTTAGACTCTTTGATCAGGATCCTGTCCTTAATACCTCGAAAGCTCCAGCTGTTTGGGGAAAGACGCAGTCTCCCTCATCACGCCACCGATTTTGAGACACATGGTAAGCGATTGAAGGCGACGTTTCTGTTCTTTCGGCACTCAGGGCTCGTCTCATTTTCACTTCTCGATCATTATTCACTAATACTTTTCGCCTTTGATACATCACAATCCCCAATCAGTCTCTGATCTCTTTCAACATTTCATAGTCGTGACCTAGTAGTGCGGCTCACTCGAAACTCTTTCCGGAAGATCAAGGTTCAACTCACTTATCCATCATTCTCATTGGGTTTTAAGCTCGAATCTTACGCCGAAGCAAGACTCATTACATCTATGCATACTGGTTCCGAACCGTCAGTTTATTGAGTATACACCCTGTTACGCATGCGAATTTCTTCAAGCTGACCCTTGGCAGGCTATCTTCTCGAGGTATAGGCGCTGTCCTGTCAACCTTATCAAGAAGCGCCGGCATCCACAATCATCATGACAACTGCGGACGAATACCGTCGCTTGGGTGTCCCGACCACCCTGCTTGGCTTGAGCCACCATTCTTGGACAAGGACCCACATCCGGCTCATACTAAACCATTACAAATGGACATACGAGGCGATTCCTCAAAGGAAGCTGAACTTGATGCACCAGCTTCACCTGCTCGTTCAAGAGCATGACCTTGACAGATTGGATCGGACGGAGATTTTCAACGCTCACAACAGTGGCGAATTACTTCCACCACTCAAGCCTAGAGTCCGAACAGTCCCACGTCCGACCTTTCCAAACCGGGGGGCTATAGCTCGCAGAGACATTTCCCGGAGTCAAACCCAAGCCGGGACAACATCCCAGCATACGCTAGCTACTACGGCACAAGCGCGTAATGACGCTCTTATTACGACTCCCATGCCTAACGTTGCCAACGCTTTGCCCCGGGACTGTGTCGTGTGCTTCGAGACCCTCAGCCTAAAGAACACACCAAAGCGAAAGGTCACATCTTCCTGCAACCACGAGCCTGAAGTTTGCAGATCCTGTATTACTACGTCGATTTCAACACAGTTCAACAGCAAGGTCTGGGATCAGATCGATTGTCCAACTTGCGGTCAGCGTCTAGATTTCCAGGACGTGAAAGCGTTCGCGGATTCAGTAGTATTCGGAAGGTCAAAGCCAAAATGAGGATTGAATTAGAAAAAAGCTAATGTATTAAAACAGATACGACAATCACTCGCTACAAGCATGTCTTTCCGGTGCTCAATTCCAGCGCTGTCGCCACCCAAATTGTCAATCCGGTCAACAGTGCTTTCCAGAAGAAGACAACTATATGATCTGCGTGGAATGCCGAGGGCGCACATGTATCACATGCGATATCATCTGGCATCCTTCAGAAACCTGTCCAGATATTGCAGCAAGACGTGCGGAGGCCCAAAGCGCGGAGGAGGCCGCTGCTACGCAATATCTTACGACCAATGTTAAGCTTTGTCCTCAATGCAACGTCCGCGGTGAAAAGGTGTCGGGCTGTGACCATATGAAATGTAAGACTTACTCCAGCGGTGTTAATCTCTGTTGATGCTGACGTATGCATTTGCCACTAGGTCCCCAATGTCGCTACCAGTACTGTTGGGTCTGCCTTGTGGATTATGCTGAGATACGCCGGCATGGTAATACTGGACATCAAAAGGATTGCCGCTATCACAGCAACAATCTTCCAAGTGCTCCTGGTCATGAAGCATGGGTCGCAGCTCAAGCCGCCATTGCCGCACCAGCAACCGCGGCACCATAAGCTGCAGCTCCTCGGATTTGAATCGCGGGAGGCCAGGCCGTCCAGAACATGATGGTGGAAGATCGAGCTGGGGAGGTCGGGCGACTGCTGGTCAAATCGTTCAGGCTTAGGATACCGTAAATCAAAGCGCTGAGGAACGCGTTCCTGAGACTCAACATGCCGTATTACAGAGGCGTGTTGATCTTCTCTTGGACCAACGTCAAGCTTTGCGAACAGCACAACTCCAAGTTGGGCTTTTGACCGCGGGATACTCTTTTTTCTCGCTGCGGTGGAACTTGCGATTTCCGTGCATAAATGGTATGGCGGCATAGTGGAGCCGCAAAACCGTTTTCTTTTCTCTGCATCTCTCCTCCCTAACAACGTGCTGTTGGGTAGAATTATTTAGAGCTACATTGCTATCTTGCGTTCTAATTGAACTACGGCGTCTTTGCTAGAATTTTTCATCTCATATAGAAAAAGATCCTTGAAACATTCACTCTTCGGTTCTCATTATCGCTCGTCATTAACCCTATTGTCCCATAGCCCGGAATCAACGCCATTTAAGAGATTCTACATGAATCTTTTCTCGGGGCAGTTCCAAAACACGAAGCATAGCATCGCGAGCGCGGCACTTTCTCATTCATGGCAATGTTCGTAGGGTTGAAGTCACGCAGAACTCGACTACTGTTCCCTCACTCGGCGTCAGTTGTTTGCTGTCAGAATCCCTCCCGCGTTACGACATCTCCAAGCGGAAACGGCTGAAGACTTCTCTGCTTGTTGTTCCAGCTTCATGTGGAATCTCAAGGCATCTGAAACTTACTTACTTTCTTGGAGTCCTTTGACCTCCAAATATTGATTGCAAGCTCCAAAGATGACTGCGTGGACGGATTCTCCCAAAGGTTCCATCGTGAAGCACATCTCCGGCTTATATGTGTCGTAGGCACCAACATGAATCGTATCATGTGGTATATGTGGTACACAGGAATGGGCTTTCAAGGTATCAACGTCTACTTCGTTCGTGGTGATCCTTTGACCTTCTACTGATCGAAGTTGTAGAGCTTACTGTCTGGATAAGCGCATTCCGGAAACACGTTGAATGCCTTGTCTCCTGAATAGGTGCAGAGTAAGCACCTGCATGAACTAGTATGGATGTTCCTCAATGAGAGCTTTTCGTGGTAGACAAAGATGCATCAGAAACATCTCGAAAGAGACAGCGACTGGATCCCTGCACGGCACAAAAATGCGAAACATAATCATCGCCGGATCTCTTGGAAATTAGGTGCTTCCACCCTCCGAACAGGAAAACTAGCACTTTTCACGGCAGTCGTCATCTACCACCATCTCTCTTGCATCATAATGTCTGAAATTGGACTGGAAGTCTTCAGCACAAATACAGATGGGACATACGAAAGAGAAAAAATGTTTGTCTATGCGCTTCATGGCGATAGGGTGAAAACACGGAGTAAGAAAGGGGTTCGTGGCCCCGAGATCTTCTCCCAGATGACATTTCAGATGCGAGAATCATGACATGGGGTTATCCCGCCTGCATCGTTAATGTTACCGTCTTGACGAGTCAAAACGGCATCTTCGGTCATGCAGAAAGTCTCCTGCTAGACTTGGACCGCTATGGAATGAGTGAGGACGGTAAGTCTCGGCCAATCACCTTTGCCGCACATAGCTTGGGCGGCATTGTGGTCAACAAGGTATGCAGTGCTCCGATCAATCATCCGGCAACCACATCTAGAGAGCTAACTAACGAAAGTGATCTCTCCCAAGGCATCGACCAGAGCTGTTGTGTATGACAATTATGGACACCATCCTGAAGCAGCACGGGTATTTGCGTGAACCAAAGGCATAATCTTCATAGGTACGCCACACGGAGGGAGCGAAAAGAGCAACATCACGGATTTCGCTGTCAAAATCGCCGGTTGGATGTGGAGGAGCCGAACGTAAAGCTATTTCGAACTCTTAACCAAGAGTCCGACGTACTTGAGCACCAGCAAATATTGTTCTCCAACATTAGCAATGAATTCCGCATTGTCTGCTTCTACGAGGATGCAGATTGGCTTCCCCCATCCGGCGGGGTAAGTAGTCAATGTTCTTCGTCAAGGCTCGCCATTTATACTCAGTACAGATCTGCTTGATATGCATCCTAAGTTGCAGTCAATGAGGAACTTAGCATCCAAAATCGAGTGAAGATGTGCATGAACTACAGGTCCTCGTCATCTTTTTAGTGTCTCGTTACACAGATCGTACCACGGTACTCAGCTGTCACGGACTCTCGTTCAACAAACAAAGGTAAAGGCCCGTGTTTATCAATTTATTGACGCTCTCGATGAATGTGCAGATTGCGGAGGATACGATACCGTTATCATCTCTTTCAAAGGAGTAGCGATTTCCTTCGAGGACAAGCAGTTCCGCATTATGGTCTGTATCTCAAGTTGGGCGTTGCCCGACTTCAAACACCGCTCCAAATCGTACCCGAACATCAGTGTTGACGCATTGATTGATGGGAACACCAAACGTTACGTTCGAAATACCCTTTATCGATCGATCAACCTTGAATACAACTCCGGTGCGAAGGTAGAGTTCACGTTTAGCCGGCATTATCATACTTAGTGTCTCTCGCGAGGTGGTATGTAGTCACGAACGTCCGAGAGTTAGGAACAAGTAGTATTCAGACCTCAAAAATCGACAGGGTTCAGCCCGCTTTCCTGGCATATTAGGTGCCATGCAAGGGACATCTTCTAATCAGGACACGCTGTGGCCCCTTGATTCATTAAATCCGAAAAAGTTCCCAGATGAAATGGAAAATCCTCCACCTTCTTAACCAATGTCACCCTCTCACCCCACCACACAGATCAAAACCCCATGGCGCTGGCTCACCACCAAGACTCAGAAGAAAAACAGTGACAACAACAATAACAACAACAATAAAAAGCGCGCCACAGCCACCCCCCAGCCCACCAGTACCAAAAGAACTTCCTTCACCAACCACACAAACCTCCCTAAACCCCAAGCGGCCGTCCATAGACTGCAGGAGCTCAAAAGCCCGCCTCCGAATCCCATACCACAGTCGCAGTCTTCGACGGGTCCCGACGGCCTGGGCTTCAAATCTCGACCCCTGTACAGACGAACTCGATCTTGTCCTGCGACGACGGCTGAAGACGACGGGACCGCGGACGGTGCGCGTGGTGGGAAGATGGCGCGGGCGGAGGCGGTGATGGGGGAGGCGGGGGAGGCGTCTGGTGCGGGTCGTGCTGGGCTGAAAGGTGAGGGTGGGGGATGGAGGGTGGATTTCGCAAGAGGGAGGGCCGGTGAGGGTGGAGGAGATGCTGGTGGTGGTGGTGGTGGTGGTGGTGGAGGGAGTTCTGGGGGCGGAGGAGAGGGCTCTAGGGCTGGAAGAGGGGGCTCTTCTGGTGGTGGCTGTGGATAGGGACCCTCGGAGGTGAGTTCTTGGCTGGGCTCACTTTCAGTCTTGCTACGAAGTAAGCTTGGAGAGTGCTGTGGATGGTTCCGTGTCACTGAATTTGGTTTCGAGGCCGCTTTTACTGTATGTGACGAGCGTCACCCGGTGGCCTTTAGAAGATACTCTATCCGCAGGTTAGCATTGAGAGAGGCGACAGACTGTTGGCGTATGGGCTCGATCTAGTAAAGAGATGCACGGTGGAGTCGTAGCAGACGTTTAATCAGGTATAGAACGTTGATCCTTTTTCGGAAGGATCTGAACTGCGAAAAAGACGGACTTCGTTTCATTCATTTCAGAGCGGCGATGTCTATTTCTATAGCTCTCCGCGTCACTAGCGACTTTTTCTTCTCTTTGGCCTACACTGGCTTATGCTTCAGCATTATCGTCGTATATCTGTGTCTCGAGTGTTAGCATGGAATATCCGATTGCCGTGCCAGTGGTAGACGAAGCACACTAGATCGTCGAAACGAAGAACTAGCAAATGCACTTACGTGATTATTCCAACAATAGCAAGCAGAAACCCAACAACGCTCCCATCAGCCGCCGTATTACCACCAATAACCCAACCAAGCGTAACAATGGAGACAGTCTTGACGTGCCCGACCACTGTACTGCTCACAGCGCCAGCCTCGTTGATGATGTAGAACTGCGATATGTTGATCACGCACGCACAGAGTCCGCTCTATTTCCGCCATCAGCCCTCCTCATCGCCAGAAATTCCGCATTTGCAAGCAAAGCTCACCAGAAGCACCAACATCCACCCATTCAGCGGCACTTCCTGGAAGACGGGAAAGCTGTCGGTCCAAGGGATGATGTACAGCAGCAGCGCCGATCCGATCGGCGCCTGGTTCGACAGCAGCTGCATGCTGTTCATGCCGAACTTGGCATGGTACACGCCCACCCAGACCGTGTAGACGGCGCTGCTCAGGACGCCGCCGAAGGCGAACACCACCCCGGGCAACGACGTCGTTTGGCCGTCGTCGCCCTCGCGGGCCCTCGCGTTGAAGTACGTCGCCATGCCCACGCCGGCGCAGATGGGCAGGAGCGCGAGGACGGCGGTCCGGGGCAGCGTCTTCTGGTACAAGAAGAAGTTGAGCGCGGCGACGGTGGGCGTGAGGAGGACGCGGCAGATTTGGTAGAAGGGGATGGAGGAGTAGGCGAGGGAGAAGTTTTGCAGTATCACGTTCAGGCACATGGCGGCGGCCAGGGGAAGCATTTCGAGGATCTTGGCCCGTTTGGGCTCGAAGAAGCCGAAGCGGGGGCGGGAGAGGAGGTAGAGGAGCGTGGCGGTCATGAAGAAGTGGTAGGATGCGAAGGTTAGTTGGGCGTGTTTGAAGAGGGTTGACGTGAAGAGGGATTTGTTGGTGAAGACCTGGGATCCCGATTAGAAATGAATTGCTCTGCGATCGATTGCGGTGTGGGAACAATACGGTTCCCCTGCTGTACATACAATACCAATGGTAGCGAGGGCGTTTGCCAGCATCCATAAAAGCAATTTGGCCCGGCTAGCGCTGGGTGGATGCTGATCTTCTTGTTGACTCGGCGGGCTCGGTGGGAGTAAAGCTTCTTCGTCGCCGGGTTTCTCATTTGCAGCTGTTTCAAACGAGGATCGGGGTTCAGAGCCTGATGACGAAAAGGGCAGATCTTTGGGGTCAGCCAAGTCTTCAGGTTGGATCGTGATTGTCGCCATGATTTGTAAAAACTTAGATTCAAGAGCTGCGAGTGTTGCTGAGATGTTGTAGAAGATGTGGTCACTTCAATTGCTTTCAGTTTCCGCCAATCATTGAGGTATGTGGCGATGAGCAAGGGACCCCCAGGGATCATCCCTTCCTCTTTCATTTTCACTCAGCCAATCACGGTGCAATGCAATTCGTGCATAAGTGAGGGGCAGTGTGCAGGTAGAAAAATCTGGAAACCAATCAGTCTCGGCTTCGATGACTGATCGTCGGAGATAAGCTGTTCAGTGGCTCAGTGTGGGTGCTCAAGGTGAAATGGCGCAGAGAGAAGATACCTTTGAACTTCCCAAGCAACCTCTTAAGAATTCACCAAATGTCCTTACGTTAAAGTGGTTACAATTGAATCCTGAACGTGGCCCTTTCTGGTGTGACTCGTCACTCGTTGACACCTGGTGCTGGTGGTGTCGAAGGTTGTTGGCTCGTGAGCTGAATAAGTCTGTTCGACGCACGGCGGTCCTAAAATCCTGTAATCGTCTCTGTTGGTCAATGAGATAATGTAGGTAGAAGTGTGTGCAGGATCGAATGCGCGACTTTGTGTCTTAGTGCCGCTTATTCTGCTCGACGATGTAAGCTGCAATTGAGATACCGATAACGGATTTCGGTTTCGCTTCAAACTTTGGCTGCATCGTTAGTTCGCAGAATCGATTGTGTAGAGTGTGAAGAGCGGGTACTATTCTCTCTTATATCTCTATGTTGTACAGTAACGCAAGCCTCGTGACGCCGAAAATGAACAATGCGAAGAAGATTGGGGGACTTGATTCTGGTACATGGTGGATCCACTTTCTGGTTTTGCTGTTTTACAGTGTTTGTGAGTATACTCAAATGTTGTTGTGGATTATGCAGCCTTGCAGAATGAGTGGCGAACGAATCCAGAGTACGACCTGCAAGAACCAACCAAGATCCTTGCCGAAGTCCCCAAATCCAGCTTGGTCTGGGAGCTCGAGAACCCCCAAGCAGTGCTTCTGTTAAGGTGTATAAGCGTTTCGGCGAATGAATCTCGTTTGCATGATAAGACCCTCGTCAACTTGTCTGGGCGAACGACCTATGACAAGGGCAAATCAGAGACACCCAACTTCTTGAACCCCCAAAGAAGAGCTCATGTACCGTTAGTAGGAGCCTGATGTTCCCAGCTTAGCAAGTGTCACTCAGCCTGTAATTTCACAGCTAGCCAAGAGCTCATTGGCGCCCCTTGCCATTGTTAGGAACCCCTGAGGTCACGATTCATTATGCAGGCTTGCATATTCGATCTTTGTTAACAACAGCAAATGCGTCACGAGGACAAATCAAAGAGATAATTGGAAGCGGAAGCGGAAGACCACGCCAAACTGTATCAAAAGCTTGGTTTTGCTTTACCCTAATCAAGGCTTCTGACGCTACTCTCTTGAGTCGTTACCTTCATACAGCTCTACAACATCAACATCGTGTCAGCATACTATGGCTGATTACCCTTTGATGTTTTCCTTCTTTATCTCTGGTATCTGCAAACGCTTTCGGTGATGAAGGGGGCGCTTATCCTGGACATGATAGCTACTGCGTCTCCGTCCACGTCACGTCTCGCAAGAGGGGGGACATGTGAGATGCTCCTTCAGCGCCTTCCGCATTCAAGTGCGGACTGAAAAGGCAGTGATTGTTCATAAATAGGGCATGTCGATGTGACCAGCATTTGAGATGATACAAAAGAATCAAAGGGACAAGCCCCAGCCAGAGGAGCCGGCATTGGGTTTTGCGCTATTGATATGGAGGTATGAGTGGATGTCCTTCCCCGAGAACGCAGGCTATTACGGCATCTGTGCGGTGACCAAGAAGTATGTGAAAAGATGCAGTGGATGAGTGTGGGGGAAGTTAACGAAGATCACGATGGCGCGGTCATCCGACCTATTCATCCGAACCGTCCAAAGATCCCTCCAGATTGTATTGGCTGAAGGCTTTGAGCTTAAGAACGTTCCCGCAGCCCCTAAGTGTTTGTAATTTGGTTTCATAGTCTTTTCATCAGCGATACAAGCATTCACACGAACCCTCTTCCAAAGGCCGCGTTGACTATGGAACTCCCGGCTGTTGAGGGTATTAACGTGGCTGCCAACACTCGCAGGTAGTTTCTGCAACATACATTGGACGGTTGCAGTTCCCAATTTTCTAGATGGGACACACATCCCAGCTACTGCTACCGCAGCACCCCAAACTTTATACCTTGTAAATGGAGCGGGCGGTCCGTCTATTAGCAGTGCAATGGAACAGTCTCCACTAGCTGTGGGTACAGGCAGTCTCGTCAGTATGTCGGCAGCTTTGGAGTTGGTTTGAAGGGGCAGCTTACCGGACGAGGGGCGCTGTGTAAGGGGTACTTCAACGCCAGGAGCTCCGCGCTCTCCGAAGATCTGAGATGATGTCGTCGTGAGCATTTCATCCAGTAGGATCTGACAAGCTTTAGCATTCAAGGCTCTACTTCGCCTCGAGGGAAGCCAGCACTCTACTGTGGGTTAATAGTGCTGCATTGTTACTGTGAGTCTGCCTTGTGCACCTAGACGTGATCAGCTGCTGCTCAGGATGAAAATCCCCCCTTTCGACTTACCTAAACCAGCTGCAATTCCTCCGTGGTGTACACCCTCTGGCTCAAATACACAATCGAAGATAATCAGCTCTGCCATCCTCCCTATTTCTTTGTACGTCTCGAGGTCGGGTTTTCCACGCCTCCGACGTAGTCGATATCAATGATACAATCTCCGTCAGCTATGGTCGCATTAGTGTGTCTTGTACATGAAAAGACCTCATAGAAAACAGCAGCACAGAGCTGTGGCTTACAGCTTATATACCTATAAGGAAGCCCATGGGCCCCTTGTATTGCTGTGCCCCTATTGCCGAAGGTCTGAAGACTTGTACTTTTAGGTCTGTTTTCCAATGCACCAGCACAGCTCATGAGCTCTGGACTTTCGTATTGATGCCAGGCGCCTGTTTCACAGTGGATGGAAGCGCGTTTTGTTCAGACTGATTCGCGATTGCGGTGAGGTTCAGACCTGACGCACTGAATAGTGAATTTAGGGATGAGTTGGCCGTTGCCATTGTTAGATCTTGGGGAGCACTCAAGATCAGTGCTGAAGCAGCAGGCAACCAGAAGAAGATTCCGAGCCGGCGAGTGAAAGGCATTGTGTTTCGTACAGATGAAATAGTGTGTTACTGTGGAAGGCAGATATGGAGATCGTGAAATGGAGTCGCAAGGACTGAAAGCTGCTCTTGTCGCTAAGATTTGATATGTTACTGCCGACGCGAGTTAAGCTCAGACTTTGGAGGCCATCGGCAGAGAACCAAGGTGTTGGAGTTTCTGTGGGTTCGCCAGTCGAAGTCAAAGCGTTTCTTGCGTTGTTTGCTGCTTAGTGTTGGTTTGCTACCGCCAATAATTGTCAAAATTTTGAAAGCCACTTGCGGAAAACCATGGCAGCAGTGAAGCTGCCACTAGCAATTTTGATGTGAACTAAACGGTGTACTTGGGCTATAGGAAGCACATCAGGGGACTTCCTTTATTCATGAAAGCGGGAAGAAGAATGGAAAAGGTACTCGTATCTTCGTCCCTATCCCATAATTAGGCACTTGTACGATAGTCCTATGCCATGAAAACCCCATGATTACCGTTGATGTAGCTATGATGAGATAATATCTCGGAGATCGGGTCTTTCAGTCGGCCCAGTGGAGCATCCTTCAACTTCCATATTTGCTTTCGTTCAGCCCATAAACATTACCATCATGCCTCGAAGTTGATAACCTCTGTAAGACGCAGAGCGGCAAATTTTGGGGACACAGGGGTCCGAAGCAATGTGAATACTTTTCTGTGGTGTATCAAGGTAGATTACCCTCCATATATTACATCCAGGGTGCAAATGCCTCATAGACCACATTTCCCTAGGTTCTGAATCCGAGTACTTCTGTGACTTTCTAAAACCCATCTCGGCGGTTCTGTGTCTTTTGATTTGTTGCAATCCCACCAAGATCCTTCTCCAAGTATGGAGATGGGTTTTTGTTGCATTCTCGGGACGATGTATCTTTGTTGTTGTGAGGTGACGAAGGTCGAGATGGATGTTCGACTTCACTTATGGTTCGTAGGCCACTAACACAGTATTAATCTGAAGCCCATCGCCCACTTTTCATTACGTCCGTGAAGGACTGATGTGACGCTCTGTGTTTGTGCCTCAAACGCAGTACACTAGGTAGAGATTTTGCAATTTCCAATCTTGACGGATTGCTGCAAACCCGTTTCACTACTGAAAAAAAGCTCGCAGACTCAAGAAATCCTCTCGAGACTGACGCTGATGTTGCAATGCTGGAGGTGAATCAATCTAAGGTAAGGTCTGGTCAGCATTGGTGATTGGTAAACAGTTTATTGCTGACTAAACACAGTTGCCAAGACAGCTAAAGACCATTTTATTCTGCCCCCCAACTTTTTTTTTTTTTTTTGGTTTCCTCTTATATTTTTTTTTGGTTATTGGTAATTAGCCCAGCTAAAGACCGACTCGGCCGAGCTCCAGGAGCCAGGCAAGCAGAATCATTCACTTCTTCAACCTTTCCACCATGGCATCACTCCTTGAGACATGCTACCATGTTCGCCCGTCCTACTCGCATCCTCACCATCATACTAGCAGCATCCGGCCTCTTCATCACCATCACCTTCCTCCACCGCCTCCTCAATGGCAGCCATCGACTCTCCGTCTTCACCATCTCTCCATCTGAAGCCAACCCACCCACACCTCAAATACTCGCATTTTGGGAAACATGGGCTAAGGTCATTGATACTGCAAGGCCAAATATTCCAGCTATAGAGTTGAAAGAGGTAGCGCAGCCAGCGGGCATAGAGCCAGAGAATGAAAGAGAAAGGAAGCCTTTCAACTTCACCATTGGTATATCGGACAAGGACATCGAGTCGCTACGCCAATCGCACGAGAAGTTAGTCGGGCACGCAAACTTCTCAAGGATCAACGACCAAGCCACCCGCCTGTTCTCAGGCACAGGAATAGTGACAGTAGCAGGAGGCTTCTATTTTGCCCCCGCCATCCTCAGCATACGCATGCTTCGCAAGACCAACTCCACTTTACCGGTGCAAGTATTTCTACGGGACAAGTCAGAGTACGAGAAGAAGATATGTCAAGAAGTGCTGCCTGCGCTTAATGCTGAATGCTTCGTCATTCAAGACCACCTACGAAAAGACAACCCTGTTCAAGTGGAGCACTACCAGCTGAAAGTCCTCGCCATCCTCTTTTCATCCTTCGAATCAGTTCTGTACCTTGACAGCGACTGCATGGCCCTGCTTGACCCAGCCGAGCTATTCCTTTCCGAGCCCTTCCTTTCGACGGGGCTCGTGTCATGGCCGGACTATTGGATCGCGACCGAAGATCCCGTATTTTACAAAATTGCAGGCCTGCCATCCTTCCCAAAGGGGTTGCCAGCGAGGTCTAGCGAAGCAGGCCAGCTCCTGATATCTAAGCAGACGCATCTCACTACCCTTCTACTAGCAGCTTACTACAACATCTACGGTCCGGGTGTATATTACCCGATCCTCAGTCAAGGTGCTGCAGGAGAAGGTGATAAAGAGACGTTCCTTGCGGCTGCGGTCGTCCTGGAAAACCCCGATTATAGAGTTCGCCATCGTTTAGGCACCGTAGGTTATCATGAAGCGGACCGGAAGTTCCATGGCACTGCTATGATGCAGTACCATCCAGGAGATGATTATGCTCCTCGAGACCCCACATCCCTGAAGCAGACGCGCCCACTCTTTTTGCATGCTCATTCGCCAAAAATGAACATTGCGCATCTGCTCGCTGACGATAGGGTGTTCTACCAAGGTACTGAGGACAGATTACGGCTATGGGGTCCCAAGGAGTCTATGAGCAGGATGGTTGGATATGACATCGAAGAAATAGTCTGGGGAGAGATCGTGGACATGGCCTGCCAGCTCGACAATACCTTGAAGGATTTTCGCGGGGCGTGGCAGATTTGCGAGAGAGCGCAACGACATTATAGAAAAACTTTCCAGCCACATGCCACGGCGCTTCCCACCTGAGTGGCTCAATGAAAATTGACACGGTCTAAAACTTCTGGCAGCAGCAGACATAGAAAAGTCAACCGAACGAGCGGCTGCACACTTAAATCTGCAGGATATTCAAGTAACCTTTCCAGGAAATTCTGAATGAGGAAGATCCAGGATGATAGGGTTTGATGGCACGGGCTGGGGGGGATGTAAACGGCACAGAAGAGGCAAGCAGTGGTTGTAGAGGTCACAAGAAGCCCGCGAAAATTGGGCAACATAGGAAGATGAACTGTGAAGAATGACGATAATGTATATGTAGGCAACGATAGCATGATAGAGGAATAACACCTTGTAGCAGGGTCACGACAGCGAACTAGTTCCCGCAAACTCCAGCATGGCCTTTCTCCCTTTCTACAGATCCATCAATCTCAGTGGCTTCTTCATCCGCTTAGATCTTTTCACCTTGCTTGCCTCTTGCCTCCTACGCCAATTTGCCCACCAATCACCATCAACGCTCGTCATGTGAGGGAACAGCGTACCTAGCCTCATCCGGCGGCGCCGCGTAGGGGGCAAGGAGAGCGAGATGAATGAAGGGTTATGCGGATAGGTGGATAGGTGACCGGCTGGGGGTTTGTTTGTGTGTGTGTGTGTATGATCCAGGGTTATGTAGATGCAGCGCAGCAGTATGGCATAGGAGAGGGCGAAACGATCGGAATCCGGAGTCGGCTTTGAGTAGGCGAGGGGTGAGCGGATTGAGGATGGAGGATGAGATGAGAAGGGAGGCAGTGGGAGAGTGTGTTTGGGCAGGGTGTTCCGATCAAGGAAAAAGAGACAAGGTTTGGCCGAGGAAGGGAGCCGGAATAGGCTGGCTTTGAGGGTGCGAATGAGTGGGATGTTAAGGGCTTGCGGTAGAGCTTTCTGAGGATGCTATGCTAAATCTGTCGTGGAGGGTTTTTGGGGCCGTCGATGGGCGCGTTAGGATGAGTCCACCTTAAGCCGGAGACGAAGGGGGCGCAAAGGACGAAGACTCGGGGGTTTGCCCGCCCGCTTACTTAGTCCGAAGGGTACCTACCCAGGGGCTCGAGTGTGGCCATGATGCCAGGGCGGTAGAGAGCCCATGCCCCCATGAATGTCACTTAGTTACAGTGAACACTTAAACACGTAAACATGCACATGAATGATGTATAAGAGATGTATAAGAGATGTATAAGAAATGCGAAACGAATTGCCTCCGTCACATGCTTGAGATGGCCATTAACACGAACCATAATACCGGACACCATGATCTAACAAGGTGGTTCAAGGTAGTAATAAGTTGTGCGGTTTTGAGTCTTTGCTTGGACTTTTTACATTTCCTGAGCCGGAGATACGAGTATGTTGCTAAGACCGCTCGGAAACTTCGGAAACTTCGGATACCTACCGCTTTCAATGGAATCTGATCCATCCAACCCATATTCATCAATCTGTACAATCAAGGAATAACGCATCCTATCCCATCTCCCGTAGAAGCATACTCAACCATCCGTCAGTATATTTCTGTGCCACTGGCGCTGCGGGAATGACAGAAGACGGCATCAGCCTCGCTGATCGACCTCTCAACCGCGGCCATCAAGGACTCATGCCTCAGCCTTCGCCTGTAGTCTGCCCACCGCTGCAATAGAGCGATTACCTGCAGTATGGTGCGAACCGTCATGGCGTACCAAAGGCTCATTAATGCTCCGCCAGTCATTCATTGCCATAGGTCTCCATGTTCAGCGAAAGCAGTGACGACAATGTCCTTCTCCCCCTCCCATGTCACTTCCAAGCCTCATCGTCCGGAACCAAGAACAAATCCTGAAAAGCCTCTTGAACGACCCTCAAGTTACCAATGGATGCTATATCGCTGCCCGACCAGATGCTCGACCACCTGCCACGGCACAGAGTGGTCAGGTGTATACCCTGCCAATATGCCATTCCTCCTTCTGCGATTCCACGGCACATGAAAGACCTACATCACTTCTACTGTGAAAGAAGACAAGCACTGCTGTTGTATGTTGCAGGGTTGGATCTCGCAGACCCCGATTTTTATATTTTTTCATGAAAGCTTGACTTCATAGAATTACGGCGAGCGAGACTGAGTTTCCTGCATATTTAGCGTGGCCTTCGCTAACTTCCCACGGATGATCCTACAGCATATTTGGGCGTATTTTCGCACCACCACCATAATACCAGATTGAAAGATAGAAATATCCCGTCCTAGCTCAGGACAGATTTGTCTGAAAATTCCGATTATTGTATTCAGATGTCGATGTCGTTGTTGACACTGCTTTGGTGAGGCATTTGTTCCAAAGACTAGAATCCCTTCACTTTCCAGTTTCCTTCAACACATTGTCACCATCTGCCACTCTCTTATCAAGCGCGTCACAACAAACCAACAAGACACACATTTACCAAATCTTCAACTCAAGGTGCCATCATCATAACTTCAGTCCAATACCTCTCAATTCCCATCATGGCCGAGATCTGCTCCAACCCCTCCTGTTCGGAACCAGGCTCTCGCAAATGTGGCCGATGCAAGAGCGCCAACTATTGCAGCCAGGACTGTCAAAAGATCCACTGGGGCGCCCACAAAGGGGCCTGTAAAGCAAACAGCCAATCCAACGCCCCAAAAGCCAATTGCTATATCCTCCGCGCCACACCTCAAAATCCAGACGCGCCCGTCCTCGACAACATCGCCAACCAGATCGAGCCCTTCAACCTTTCCAATCTTGGCAACGAGGTCGCAGAAAAGCGCCAGCTCGAACGACATCTCGGCTGGAAACGCTCTATCGAAGCTGGCAAGTTCTATGACCATACGGGCTCCGATAAGTGGTATTACTACGTCTACGGCGATGCACGCGCTTTCAACAATAACTCGGGCTTGCCGGCCAACGAAGCCGCCGGACTGATATGCCACCAGAAAAAGGTCTACGGGGACATTGGCATAGTTAGGTCGGGTCCTGTGGGGTCTGAGTACGCGGAGGAGTTCGAAAAGATGGAGTTGGTCAAGGCCGTGCAGTTCTATAAGACGAATGATAAGGACAAGGTCTTTTCCCAGCGAGAGATGAGCCGGGCTATGCGAGGGTTTGGCATGCCGGGCGCCGGGTTTGGGTCCTCGCATGTCCACGTCTGATGTTGATGTTGAAGATGATGGTGAATGGGTGGCGGCTTCTCTGTTGAGACTGTGTTGCCATGCTGCGAAGATGGGTTCTTGCTTGTCATCAGAGATGTGCGCTTGAAGGGTGCGTTCTTTCGGGGAGCTGTGATTGTTCATGCCATTACTCTACTCTACTCCACTCTACTGAGTGCGGCGATCAGTCCCTTAAACCACTTCAACCCCGCCGGCTGAAATTCTTCGTCAAGCTTCTTTCACAGGCGTAAGCCTATTTCTGTCATTCCAAACCATCTTCCAAGTCCGATAGGTTTTGAATACGCTAATATCGTAAGCATCCCTCTCCACTCCTTTCGCGCCCCCCCCCCACCGCCGCCAAATCTATCTCCTGCCCTTTACCGCTTCAAAAACGTAAAATAAACTAGGCTTCTACTTCGTGCATTATTAGCACCTCCCCGTTCCCGTGGTCCTGTCAATAGAATTGATTAGTTCGGAAGAGAGGTGCGGCTGCCAAGACCTTCTTGCCGGAGACTCGGAGTGATGGGATAGCACTGAGCGCTGACCGTGCGTACGCTCGTCGCATGAAGTAGGCACGTAATGCGTAGAATAGATGTTCCGAACCCGATGGTCAGGATTGGAGAGTGACATACCTACATGCAAGAACGGCATCTGCATATTGGTTTGGGGGCTATGTATAGCAATTTGTGCGACGCTGCCGACGGGTCCGCGAGTGGGGCGGATGGGGGGACGGCGGAAATAGGAGGAGGAAGTTTTATTAGTTAGGGATTGAACTGCAATCGTGATGTTGTTTATCGAGAAGTGGGATGGCATTTCAATTTGTCCATACGCTGTATCAGTAGGTACTTTAAGTCGAGAGCGCCTAGGCGGCAGTTCTCTCGGCATTCATTCTTGTGCTCCAAACTGTTAGACCTCCGCCTCGTTCTCCTCCCTCCCTGTTCTCGAGCTTGCCAATCCACCTACCAAGCCACTCCCAGACATCATGGCCACAGCCCTCCTCGTCATCGACATGCAACACTTCTTCCTCGACATGACCACCACCGCCCTCCCCAACATCCTCACCCTCTGCGCCCACTTCCAATCCTCCCACCTCCCCCTCCTCTTCACCCAGCACGGCCACTCAAAGCAACAGCTCACCCCGCCCTACAAGAACCAACTCGTCCGCAGATGGGGTCCCAACGGCTCAATCGCCACGGGCAGCAAGGACTGGCGGCTGCTGCCGGAGATCGAGCACGTAGCAAAGGATCACGATGTCGTGGCCAAGGACACCTACGATGCGTTCGTCGGCACGGATCTCGGCGCGAGGTTGGAACGGGGTGGGGTCGAGAGGTTGGTGTTGTGTGGCGTCATGACGGATTGCTGCGTCGATACGTCGGCGAGGAGCGCGTTCGACAGGGGCTTTGAGACTTGGCTCGTCAAGGATGCGTGTGGGAGCGCGAATGAGACGCAGCATGAGGCGGGGCTGAGGGGCTTCGGGTTCGCGTTCGGAGAGGTGCTGACGACGGGGGAGGTCGTGAGGAGGCTGAGGTGAAAATGTGAAGGGGCTACTGGCCACGCTTCTGATGTACATGTGTACATGTTTAACGATGTCATGGGGAAAATGTTGGTACGTGCGGGCTATGGGGTCTATAGCGACACAACGCGTACGGATGTACCGCAGCATTGGGACTGCTGGGGGCAATGGCGAAACAGGCGGATTTCGCGCATTTTGCAAGCACGCTACATACATCCTCGCAAGTATGCAAGGTGTCTTCCCCCTAGCCCGCTTACAAATAGAGGGTAGCTTTGCTCAAAGCAATTAACACTCACCGTCCGATCTGTCAGAATTCAGTACTTTGCATGAACTGTTCGATCTCAGGACTCTCCTGGGCCATCTCTGATACCCCACTGAACAAGTGGTTGATTCGACAGCTGGCCGGGAGGATGCTGGGGATCCTTCTATCAACAGATCGAATTACTAGCCTTGGGCCTGCTTCGAGCTCCGGACTGGCTGTTGCCTTCTGCAGACATCAACTGTCACTGATGGTCATGTCCTGTTCTGCCGATAAGATCGTACATAACCATTCCTATTCTGCAAGGAAGCTCGTTGGTTGGTCCCGGTCCTCCATGGCTTACCTTAGAAGTTAGTACGTACTGTTGCAGATTACTTTTCTGCCTTGGTCCCAGACTCTGTTGCGAGGCCCTTTAGATAATCGGCCTGGCTACGAGTACAAAGGGTGAAGGATCAAAGCTACTGAACCTCGCCATGTACTGGTCGCTTGGTTTTCTTCTCACTTTCCGCCTCATCGAATACTTTATCAATGCACCTTTCGCATGCTCCATCCCGGCTCTCATGCACCCAAAACCAGAACTTTTCCATCTCACGCCCCATGGAACCTGCACGAGGTCGATCAATCGACTGCATCACCCTAAATCGGCACCCCGAGGACTGCCAGTCTGTCGGCACCATTCGCGCACTTGCAGATGCATAGTGAACCCTATGGTAAATTGGCAATACTCGTAAAATAGGTATACGATTTCTACTGCCTACGGTAGACTCCACCCTTGTCGTCACCCGCGCATGTGCGAACTCCACCGGTATGACTGCCTCCGTCAGGCCATCACTTGATGTATGCATGATGCATGGAGTTTCGGGTTATGTGCTCCGCTTTGGCCAGACAAGCGCTTTGGCTAGACGGTCAGTGCGTTCGGCGTGCAAGAGCTCAGACCCGCTGCGATCCACGAGTCCATGCTTGAGCCCGGCAAGTTGGGTACAGTCCAGTACTCAGGTTGTAGGTATGTAGGGGTGAAGAGTATGCTGTCAGCTGTTTTGAGAAAATCATCTTATTGAAATGTAATAGCAATGCTGGGAGTGGTCTCAAGGACGGCGCGGATTCGAGGATCTGAAGCGGTCCTTAACTATAAGGTACAGTTCAGGCGAATTTGGTCTGTGTTTTTCAATCATGAATCTCAGAAACTAGTCGGAATTAGCTTGTTGTATCGACTGCTTCCATAAATGACAGAATTGCGATGTAAGTGATCAGCTCGTGGCGACGGTGCCTAAAACGGCGTCGTCCACGTAGAACACCATATACGAACGTCCTTCGTCACCCATTCAAAGTCTGCACCCCTGCTGCTCTACATGGTTCCCTTTTGCTCCTCGGCGTAGAGGTGGCGCGAAAATTGGGTGTCGCAGGCGCGTTTGGCGGGAGCGAGGGCTGCTTGTGATCTGTGTTCGTTCTCGTCAGTGTGAGATTCCTGTGGATGCAGACACTTTGTGATAGAGGCTTCTGCAAAGAGGCGTGTTGGACAGCTGGCCAAGTCCCAGAGCATCGGAATTGAATAGGTATGTTTCGTGTGCCCAGATCAGCGTTCCCGGGCTTCCCTTTTTGATCAACGAGAACAGCCCAACAGCAGCCTTGGGCACACCGGTTGTAACCCGTTGTTTCACAAAAAACTCGCGTAGGCGCTTGTTGAGAGCTCGTCGCTGCTCTAATGTTTGACAGTCTAGCTGGCTGGTCAGATAATTCCAGAGGTAGCCAGATTTGAGGGGTCGGAGGTAGTGATGAGGGAGGATGCCTGGAGATGAAGTCATTGATTAGGGTGCTTGCAGAACAGAGGCTGGTGCGAGGAAGAGCAGAGTGTTTACGGCGACGAGGTACCATCTGTCGGGTCCCGGTGACGAGGGGAATTTGGCTTTGACAGCATCGAAGAGTCGAGGAAATGATTCGGCTTTGGTTGCCATGGCTGGACGACTGAGCTCGGAGACCAGGCGTGTAGAAGCTGCAGCTCTGACGATTTGACCGTGTGTTTGTGGAGCCGTCAGTGAGGCGTTATGGAGACGGATCTGGTCAAAGGAAAAGTGATTGGAACATGAGGACTCGTTTGTTAACAGCAGTCAGACCGTGGCGGTGAAGTTGATGGGGAAGGAAGGTGGAAGTTTTCTGCGATACACTAAAATACAATCCGCTTCGTAAACTTCCTCGGATGCTGCATCATTGTGCATGCAGGATCATTGTAGGGCTTCAAAAGTTTGATGTCTATTCCGGGATTCAACTCTTCCCGTCATCTAGGCCGTCAAGCAGGATCTATCACGTTACACTTGCAGTTTTGAAGACTCAGCGATAGCCCGGATGTCGGTTTAGGAAATCGACGGAGATCGATGTGTCGGAAAGGTGAAATGATCGTACTGTTAGAAGGAGACGAAGTCTCAGCGTAGCACAGCAGTGGTGATAGAAAGCATGTAGATTCAGTGGTGGGGCCATCAGCCATTATGTAGCTGATGGAGAACAAAGCACTGCTATCTATGGCTAGCTACATAAAAGGAATAATAATAAAATATATATAAAAGGATATAGAAGAAACGTATATATAGAATATGAAGGAACTAGATACGCTAATACTCCTCCTATCTAATAATATTTAAATATCTCTATTTTAAGATTAAAATTATATATTATTCTAGTTTATTAGTTTAAATCTTTATTTACTAACTTTATTATCTCGATAAAGTTATTAAATTTTATAATAATTAGTACTTTAATAAGATTATTAATCTTTATATTCTTTATAAATATATATTTATATCTTAGCGTCTAATTAATTATTAATTTATATATAAAATAATAGCTAACGTTAATATAACGTAATCTCTTATAATTTATAGAATTCTTTATTAGATTAATAGCTCTCTTATTATTATATTATATTATAAATAATTTATTTAACTATTATTCTAGCTCTAATAAAATATATTATATTTATATTATATTCTAAATAGTATTAGAAGTAATTATATATTCGATCTTATATATAAATTATATTATAATCTTTTACTTAGTAAATCTCTAATTAATAGATCTATTATTTAGTATTATAATTATTTTAATTATTAATTATACTATAGATATCTTATCGACTTAATTAGTATTTAAATAATTAAATAATTATAGTATTATTATTTTTATAATCTCGAAGACTACTTTATATATTCTAATTTTAACTAAATATTATAATATCTTTTTATATATTTATTAATATTAATAATTTAGATTAAAAGAGAATATAATTAGTTTATTAATAGTAAACGTTATATTTAATTATATCTAAGTAGCTAAGTAATTAATTTCTCTTAAATTATTCTTAAATATAATAACGTTCTTTAGATTAGTTATATATATATTAGATATAGAGATAAGATAATTATTTATATTTAATTTTATTAAGATAAGCGAGATATAATACTTCTTTATATTATAGATTATAAGAATCTTATTAATAAATATAAATTAACTTATTTTAAGTGTTCTTACTAAATAATTTCTCTCGATCTTTATATCTAAATAGTATATATATAAGCCGAGATTTATAATATTAAATTATTTATATAGGAGTCTTTTAGCTTAATTAATTAATAGTTAATTATTAATAATTTTAATATTATTAATATAGATAGCTAGAAAGATAATTTTTTTATTTAATTAATAGAGAAATAGATATAAGTTAAATTATAAGTATATAAATTTAATTTTAAATAGAAACTCTATTAGCGTTTTATATTATTTATAATTAAATTATTTTAATCTATATAATACTCTAAGTAGTAAATAGATTTAATCTCGATTTAATTTAATAAAGTCTTTTAACTATTTTATATAGATCTTATATTTAAGTTTTATATATAGAAATACTATTATAATATCGATTAGATTTATTTTTTAATTATAATATATAGCTAAGATTAAGAGAATCTTTTATATAATTAATTTAATAATATCTAAAAAGATTTTATTATAATTAATATCTTCTTATTAAAGAAAACTTTTAATAATATATCTAGTCTTATAGTATAGAATTTCGTTATCTACCTCTAGCTTCTTCTTATAGACTTATCTTCTTTTAAAAATAGTATAATATATTAATCTTAATACTAGCTTTTATATCTTTATCTTTTATAATAAGTTTTATTACTTTTATATAGTAATTATTTATTAAGATACTTTAAGTTTATTAATTATTTCTTTATAAGTATAAAGCTTAATATTAAATATAAGCGATATAACTTATATTAACTTAATAAATTTCTTTTTTAAAGTATCGAAGTTAGTTTATTTATTATCTTAAATAATATAATAGTTCTTTAATTTATTCTTAATTCGCTATAAGTATCTTAATAAATTAGATATAGATAGATTTAATATATTAAAAATTATTCTCTTCTAATTACTTAGTTTAGATAAATTCGAAATATAGCTAATCTCGAGATTTTCTAGATCTATAAGCGGATTTTAGACTATAGCTCTAAAGTCTTCTTTAAATATATTTATTATTATTTTACTATTTATAATTAATAAAAAAAAAGCTTCTAGAAATAATAAAATTCTTTTAATAATGATAATAATATTTATAATGTTCTTATTCTCTAATATCTTACTTAGTTTATTTTTAATATTATTAAAAGATAAGATAGAAGTCTAAAGAGATCTTTATAAAATATTATATCGTTATACTAGATAAGATTTATTTTAATTTTATAATCGATATTAATTAAATTTCTTATAGCTAAATAAGATATATTTAAATTCTTATTTAGCTATTTTTTTCTTTTATTTATACTTATAATTATAGATATAAATTATTATCTTAAATAGTCTTAGATAAATTATATTTAGCTTCTTTTTAGTAAGAGCCTTATATAATATTATAGCTATCTTTCTTAATAGAATTATAAGTAAATAATTTATATTTAAAATAATTATTTTAATTACTTTAATCTATAGATCTAATAATAGATCTATAACTATTAATTAAATATATATCTTCTAAATAAAAATACTATTAATACGCTTATTAATATTATTTTATTTAGATAAATTAAGTATAGTTAATTTTTATTATATATTTTAAAAAACTAGCTAATCTCAAATTTTCTTATTATTATACTTATTATTATTATTAAAATAAATATACTTAAAAGTAATATAGAATTACGTTTTAATTATAATAATAAAGTTCTATAATAACTTAAATATCTAATTCTTAGTTTTTAAAAAGTCTATTTATCGAAATTAAGTTTTTTAATCGATCTTTATAAAGTAATAGTAATAGTCTTCTTTAAAGCGAAGTAATATTAATTTGCTATTAAAGAGATCTATATAAATACTATTAAAAGTATTTTCTATCTTAATTATTAGTTTATAATCTAAGATCTTCTTCTATTTTTTATAGATATATAGCTTATAAAATTATCTTTTAATATTATTTATAATTTTTATTTTCTCTATTATAGTTAGTAATTTAATAATATTATCGAAATTTAGATAATTTAATACTTAATATTATTTAATAGCTATTATCTTTCAATAATTAGCTTTCTTAATAATCGCGACTATAATAATCTCTTTAATTATTATAATTTTAAATAATATAAGTCTTAGCTTATAAAATATATCTATTAATTCTTTCTTAAGAACGATATTATTATTATTATTATAAATTCTTAAATAATTCTTCTTTCTAGTATAAGTAAGATCGTTATATTAGAATATATTTAGAAATAATAAATTTATAGATAAGTCTTCGATATAGTAGACGTTTATAAGTATAAGTATATATTCTTTATTCTCGTCGTTATTATTCTTAATAAGAGTTTTTAATAGAATATTATCTACGATAGTAATCTCTAATATTCTCTTATTAATAATCTCGATTAAAATAGAGTTTTCGAGGAATATTAGTTTTTTAACGAAATAGATTTCGAAATATATTATATAGAATAAGGCTATATTATCGAAATATTAGTTATTATTATATAATATTATAATAGCCTTCGTATAGATCGTTTTTATTATTTTTAGTTTTTCGATAATTTCGATAGAGGTAGACTTGCTAGTCTTCTTCTTCTTCTTAAATTTCTCGATATAATTCTTATTCTTTTTAATCTACTTAGTAAAGATTTAATCGAGATTAAATAGCTAGTAAGTTCTATTATAATGGCGATTATAGTTATTATATTTAGATTAGAAAGTATAATTATTATAATTATTATAATTCTTACTATTATTCTTTTTATTCTTATTATTTATAAATATAGCTTTATTATTAAAGTTATTAGTATTAATTAATTTCTAATAATATTTTCTATTAAGAAGTTATTTAATAATATAATCGAAATTTAATTTTAATAGTCTTTTATTAGCGTTTTTATCTTAACTATTTAAGATAATTTTTATAAATAATTTATAAGAGAAGAGAAGTCTATAAAGAAAGAATATTATAATTTTCTATATATATTAATAACTTAATTTAGCGAGTTTTATTTTAGTCTTTTTAATTATTTTAATATATTTAATAACTTTTTTATAGTTAGCTAAGCTTATATAACTAATAATTCTTTATAATATTTTATAAAAGATATATCTTTTAAATTTATATATATCTTTAAATATTTTAATTATATTATATATATTATAGATATCTACGATATAAATATAGTTATCTAATTTAATAGATATATATATATTATCTTTAATTTATAAATTAGCGAACTTCTATTTATTATACTCTTTATTCTCTTATAATTAAATTAATATTTTAGCGAGAATTAAATATATTCTAGCTATCTAATAATAATTATATATTATTTAATATTAGCGATTTTAATTAAATATTTCTTTAAGTATAAAGATATTAATTATCGATAAGAATATAATAAATTTAAAGATCTTCTTAGATCGTAATTATTTAGACTTTATCTAATTTACTTTCTAAAATCGTAGATTATATAATTTCTATAATTTCTTTAATAAAGATATAATAGGCTATTAGCCTTTACTATCTTATTATCTTAATTTGCCTATTATGACTAGAAGAACGTGTGTATATATTTTTTGAAATTTGATATAATTGAAATGTTAATGTATTATCAGCATTAATCGAGGGCTCATAACCTCTCAGCGTAGTATAGCAGTGGTGATAGAAAGCATGTAGATTCAGTAGTAGGGCTATCAGCTATTATGTAGCTGATGGAGAACAAAGTACTACTATCTATGGCTAGCTACATGAAAGGAATAATAATGGAATATGTATGGAAGGATGTAGAAGGAACGCATGCATAGAACATGAAGGAACTAGACACGCTGACACGAAGCGCAACTGGCGGTTGCAAAATGGACAGACTGAGGGTGCACGGCAAATGGAATACGTATATTTCTAGACGATATGATTCAATTGGTCTACCATTTCACCACTTCACCACTTGATGTAGGTAGGAATATTTAGAATTGATAGAGATGACTCTAATGGGTCGGAAACCTGAATAGAAAGATTGACTGACGTGCCTATTTTGAAGATGTACTTGTAGGATTTTGCTCGATCACAGGAAATCGTTCATGATCTTCCGCAATCGACATAAGAAACGTTCAATTTGCATGAAGGGTCGACTGGAAGATTCAGTGTTGGCATTGACCCTGGCAGAAACTACTGCGCGTAATTACACGACCAATAGTTTCCCAATACAACAGTAGATATTAGTGAAGCAGTTGCCGCACGAGCGACGGTATTGGCATCGAGTAAGATTAGCCTCTCTTCATAAAAAACAAAAATACTAGCATCGAATCCGAAAACATCTAAAGTAACGGATTCGGTAAATGCAGCGAGAAAAGATAGAGACGAATGATGCCGCCAATGAGAACGACAACTGTCCTACCATCCGAGACAGCATTATAAGACGGTGGAAAGATGGGAAATGATAGTCAAGACTTGTGGCCTATCTATGTTTGCTGAATGTGCGGGAAATTTTCAACTTCCGAAGCTCGAATTGGGCCGATCCTAGTTGTATCATGGCGCCGTTCCGGTGCGCCAACCCACCTTCATGATTGTCTCACACTTGTGGTTTGTAGAGTTTCCCACGAGATCCTCGTCAAGCACCACCTCACCCTTGGGGTAAAGCACAATTACGGTACTCCCTCCGTAGTAGAAGGCACCCAAGCACTGCCCTCTCCTGACATTTGCACCGAACTCAACACCCTCGTTGTACTTGATCGTACCCACGAGCATAGCACCAACGGCTATGATCGCGATTGGAGATCCAGTAGAAGACCTCTTGAGAAGCATCACAGATCTCTTATTCTCGCAGAAGACGTCCAGTGTACCAGGCTCATTGATGGCTTGCGGATTGACGGTGTAGTAGGCGCCGGGGATATCCTTGATGGACTCCACTGTCCCAGAGACCGGTGCGTGCCAGCGATGGTAGTCCTGAGGAGCCAGGCGAGCGATGACGATGGACCCTCCATCAAATAAGTTTGCCAAGGCTGGGTCCCCCAGCAGCCTTGAAATTGTGAAGCCTCGCCCTTTGATCCAGTACTCTGTGGCGAGATCAATGGTCGGGTAAGCGGTCAATCGGCAATCGGCAGGGCTCGAAGTCACAAACTCGTCTTCTGGCTCAGCAATCGGTCGTGCGGACTCCTTGATCTCACGGGCGAAGAAGTCGTTGAAAGTCGCATACTTGGTGGGATCCGGCTGCACCATCTCCACGAGAGAGTCTTGTAGATCGAAGCTCTTGATGAATGGCTCAATGTGTGCCCTACTTTCAGGTGTATCATACTCCCGACCCATCTTCAGACTTTGTTCTTTGAGGAGTTCGAGCGTTCTCTGCCAGTGTAGTGCTTTCTCTTGCTCCGAGCCGTAGTAGAGCAGGTGCATGCCCAGACGAACGTAGATACTCATGGCTTCGAAGCTCTTCTCCCCAGTCTGTCTATCGATAACATAGTTACCCATGTGGAATCGGGTCTCCAAATTGTCGAGGGTTGAGGCAGGTAGAATCTTGCCGAGCCATGTGTGGGCGGATTCATGGTTTGCGGGGCGATGTAGATGGGTAACTGGGGTATTGGGATGGTTTTCGGCGGCGGTAGTAAGGCTGTTGAGTGCCTTTGCACTGGCATCGAAGCCTTCTTGGGTTTCTGACATTATGGATAGCAGCAATCGAAGCTGTGGTCTGTCTGGTTGTTGTTTCAATTTTCAAGGACGTGGGGGGATGAAGACTTGGCAGGCACAAAGAAAAACCTTGGCAGAAACCCCGCACTATCTGTCTAGTAGATCCCGTCCACCGTAGGAAATACGGCAATTCAAGATTGAGTACGGTGCAAGCGATAAGAAACCTGGAGACCTGCAACATTTTTGCACGACCTGCCTGAAGTGGTCGGGATCCCCGCGACCTCGGACGCTCCTTCGTTCTAGAGCCTGTGAATATGCAGTCGCCCGCACGATACGCAGGCGAGGGCCGGATGATGATATCTGACATGTATATCATCATGTCCAGTCCTCGAGTCCTCGAATACAAAATTGGCCCCGCAGCAACGTCCATCCACAAGCATGGCTTCACACGAATTTGCAGAGGAGAAAGGCGGAAAAACGACTGTTATCTCCTCCACTCCCTCCGACTTTGTTCCCTCGGAAACCGAAAGCGCAGAATTCGACACCGCCCCTCCTCCACCTCCCAGCGGTATCCTCGCTCGACTGCGCCATTATGAAGCCCTCTTAGACGATAAGCTTGGTGTGGAAAAAAATGGCCCCGCGAGAATACTGCCAGAGGAGCGCAACCCTCCCAATCAGGCTATTATGGCGCTGATGTGGGCGAGTGGGACGATGAATTTGAGCTGCTTTGCTACAGGGTTCTTGGGGTGGGAGTTTGGGCTGGACTTGAAACAGAGCATCTTGACAGTGATATTTGGGACGTTGCTTGGTAGCATGGTTACGGTGAGGGACCCCAGCTACGGGGAAGATCTACGCGAGCCCAGGTGGTCTGACTGTATGCTGCTCACAGGGTTGGTGCGCAACACTCGGTCCCGGGACTGGTCTCCGTCAAGTTGCCATCACACGCTACAGCTTCGGCTGGTGGCCTTCCAAGATCATCGCTGCCCTTAATGTCGTCGAGCAGTTGGGATGGTCCTCTGTTGGCAGCATCACTGGGGGTCTCGCTCTCTCCGCCGTCTCCGATGGTAGGGTCTCACTCGTCCTGGGCGTCATAATCGTTGCAATCCTTGGTCTGATCTTCAGCTTCATCGGACTTCGAGCCGTCCTTTGGTATGAGTCGTGGGCATGGGCCATCTTCTTCGTCATTTTCATGATCATGTACGGCGAAGCTGCCAGTTTCGCAGACGTCAAAACGCCTTCGGCCCTAAAAGGACAAACGCTCTCAGGTACAGTGATGACTTTACTTGCTATCGTCTATGGCTCGAGCTCCTCATGGTCTTCGATTGTGTCGGACTATTACGTGCATTACCCTGTCAACACATCCAAGACGAAGGTCTTCCTCCTCACAAGCATGGGCATTACCATTCCTACCTGTATCGGTATGGTCATGGGCTGCTGTGTTGGGTCTACAATGGGAGTAAATACCGAGTGGGCGAATGCATACGACGATGGACTCGGATACTTGATTCAGACGATTCTGTTTCCCAGGGGCTTCGCCAAGTTCTTGCTTGTGGTGCTGGTCCTTTCTGGTATTGGCATCAACTGCATAGCCATCTACTCCGCTGCTTTGTCTATCCAGCTCTTTGCAAGACCGCTGCAGGTAGTCCCACGCGCTTTCTGGACTCTCATAATCTTCGTTGGCATTCTGCTCCTCGGAGTCGCTGGCCGCAATCACCTGCTCGCTGTTCTTCAAAACTTCCTGTCACTTCTGGGTTACTGGAATACAGCATTCTTCGTCATACTTTTCACCGAGCACTACATTTTCCGCAAGGGCAGTCTTGAGAATTATAATCTCGAGGTCTGGAACACGGAGTCGAAGATGCCGATCGGAATTGCAGGCTTGATTGCCTTCTTGTTAGGCATCGTTGGATGCATTCTGGGCATGGTGCAGACCTGGTACATTGGTGTAATCGCTGCCATGATTGGAGAGACTGGCGGAGATATTGGGAATCAGTTGGCTTTTGCGTTTACGCTTATCTCTTATTTGCCGTTGCGATACTGGGAAAGGGGTCGATTCCCTGGGCGGTAGAGAGCACATGACCTTGGTTCTTCGGCGTGACTTAAGTCACCATAGTGAACAACAAATGTGAATGAGCTTCGATCTTGTCCATTCACTTCATCATGCTCCATCTTACTTCATACACATATCCCCGCCTCAACTTGATTCATGATTGCACCCACAAAGTCGCAGACTTGGTGTAGCATGGTATGAACGCTGCTTCTCAACACCAAATGTTACATTCGACCTCACATCTTCACCATCGATTCCTTTCACTCCATCAGTCGGGCTCACTTCATCAATCTTCTCAGATCAGCAGTCGTCCCTCAGTATCAGTCAATCCCATTACGCCAGGCATACTCTCACCACAAGCGGGTCTCCCAGAAGCAGTCAGACTCTTCTCATCAGCCCTCTCTCACTTCCGCCGAGTACCACTCCACCTTCGCGTCCTCGCAACCCGCACAAATCGTTACTACTGCCATAAAAAGACAATTGGCTGGGTTCGATACAGCAACGTATTTCGAGGCGGGTGAAGAATTCACCATCAAAGGTGAGATCTCTCCACATCATTTCAAATCCGTCTACCGACACTGTTACACAGGCCTCAAAACCCAATGGAGACTTCTGTACCATCCGCTGAGTGCAAACGGCATTCGCTTAAGGTGAACATCCTAATTGTCCTTATCATTGACGAAGCAATCGAGCTACCTCATCATTGGGTCTCACTGACCAGTACTATACAATAGGCCATGGCTCCATCTTTTCTCTCACTCCCGCCAGAACTGCGCCTTCAGATATACCGATATCTCCTCTGCCACAGCTCATGGATTCAGGCGCGAACATTTGAGACTCCGAGGTGGCCTATTGTCAACCGAGCCCAAAAACTTCTATCCGGCTGTGAGCCGGAGGCGCTAAGGGTGTTCTCGCTGGAGAGCGCCGTCTTACGGACGTGTCGCACGGTCTATTCAGAAGCCAAGCCCGTCCTCTACGGAGAAAACACCTTTCTTTATTCTTGCGTCGCGTCAAAGTTCGTTACGGAATACGGCATGATAGGGTTCCTAGACAAGAGACTGAAACATATACAGCATCTAAAGCTCGAAATTGAAGATATTACCTGGTGTGGAGAGTCCACTGCGGAGAGTGTTGCTCGCGCAATTCAGTACTTCATCGAGCGTGGTTGTGAACTGGGGACTTTTGAGCTTATTTTGAATCAGCTATGGGGCAGACCTGGAGGATATTATGAAGACAGACACCATCTGCTCAGAAAAATTGCTGCCAGCCAGGAAGTCATGGCAGCACTGGTTGAGCTGGAAGTTTCCAAGACCTTGACCGTTTCAGTTTGGTTTCGGCAGGAAGACGAAGCCTCTGAGCACGAGCTTCGAAAGTCATCAGTTGACATGCTCCAGGATTTTGTGGACCGTTTGGCGTCCGAAAAGGGGATGACTGCCACGGGAATTGTTATCGAAGATACTGAGGGAGACGGAGCCGAAGATGACTCCGAAGGGGGATATAATGGTGATGATGATTGGGCTTTCATCCCGTACAAGCTGTCCTGGTGCCTTCGCTCGCAGCGCTCCGAGCAGCAGAGCGCCAAAGTGGCCAGTACAAGCGATTGAAGCGGCGGGAGGTACCTTCTTTTGCTTTGAGGATCGGAGGTCGCGCTCGCTGAGTTGAGGTTTTATCAAGGAATCTCGAGCAGTCTCAGGAAGTAGCAATGGTGGTCTTGATAGGTTTCAAGCCTCAAAAGATACAAGTGGCCACAGTATGCTGCGCTCGCAGATGTTACCCTTGCAATCTGCGACCACTTAGACAGAAGCATAGCTTTAGGTTTTCTCAATCAACTGACACAACCACTTCCGTCGCTTGATCGCACAGCCCTTCGAAGCCATGTTCTCGAAGCGCAGATACCCAGCATAAGGCAGATTAATGGCAAAATACTATTGCATCCGGGAGAATGGGAGCAATGTAATCATGACGGGCATTCAATCAAAATTGTTGTACCAATGGGCGAGTATGTAGTTCTCGCCTAGAAATGTTCTAGCCTTGACGTCTGGGCTTGGGGCACGCCACAGCCTCACTTCTGCGTTCGTAAACCCCTTCTGGGGGGTTAACGTCTCTTTGTGGGATATGCGTCTTCTCATAGTCTGGTGCAGGCCTTGGAGCTGGCCTCTTTTTGCGGAGGTAAATTCGTCGCCTACCATCTGTGACCTTTCCCTCATCAAACCATGTCGGTGGACGGGGCTTTCATCTCATCCAATGCAAGTCAGCGCAAAGGTGGGGGAAGATCGAGTTTCAGTATTCAGGAGAAAATCTGGGGCAGAAACAAGAAAGCATCGCTGCATCAGGTCTCTAGGCAAGGCATTGCATCTAACATTGGCTCTCTAGCGTCAGCTTACAGGTAGCAGGCCATGTCCAAGGAAGAGAATTCACTTTGTTATGCCACGGAAACCTCGGTCACGTGATCTGCATCCACACACCACTTCTATTGTCACTACCCCTCTATTGCTAGCCAGCCTTGGCCTCACTGACCCTAAAAAAAAGCTTTGATTACTGTCCAATCAAACAATATGATTCATCAACGAGGCCACGCTGACTTCTCCCCAAAGAAGTTTTGTGCGTAGCTGTTGGAATTAAATCTATAAGAAATCGATCTAGTTCGGTATGTGGCTAAGTGATAGTGTTATGGAATGATATTATTGGTTGAACCTACATCATGTGATTACTATCAGACCCATAGACCAGTCATCAGCGAGGTGGCCCGAGCGGAGTTGCCCTTGCAAGGATTCTCGTGACAACACAGCCTTTCCTCTGAACAAGCCTTCCAGACTCATCATAATCCGCGAAGAGATCCGGCATTTATACTACATCCATCCCACGATGTCGCTTTGCTGGGTTTGTCAGGAAATACCCGATCATTTTTTCCAACCAAGTCCAAACCCAGTAAGTAACCCTCTGAAGACCCTAAAGATTCCTCATCTTCCAATCTACTATCTGCAGAACTCCGCGGCTTCTGGATGCCCTCTCTGCAAGATTCTTGCCTCGGGTATTGGCGGCGACCTCCCTCTTGAGATCCAAGCCACTCACCCAACTCATCTACGCTTAGCAATAATAGACCCACACCAAGCTTTTGATGTCTGTGTTGATATGGACGACTACAACCATGTGTTTTACTATCATACACCGCCTTCATTCAGTAAATTAGCGAATTCTGTTAACCTTCTGTACCTCCGCCTCACTAACCTTTGTGAGGTCGACATCTTCCGATCGCTCAATCCAATAAACCGATAGACGAATTGATCCTCATAAAAATGTGGTTGCGAGAGTGTCAGGAGACACACCCACTATGTTCAGCATCCCATGAGCCGTTTGCACCAAAAAGACTTCTAGACTTGGGTCCCACCGGAAAGACGTGCGACCTAAAACTGGTCCAATCCCGAGATATTCCGTCAGCGAGGCCAGTATATGTGACGTTGAGCCATTGCTGGGGCTCTTCACCCAATCCATCGGTAAAGACTATGTCATCAAATCTAAAAGAAAGAACAAGAGAGATCTTGTTTGCGAGCCTACCCTTGACCTTCCGAGACGCCGTGAAGATCACTCGGCACTTGAAGGTGCGCTATCTATGGATTGACTCATTGTGTATCATCCAAGATTCGCCTGAAGATTGGGAGGAAGAGATCGCCATCATGGGCCAAGTCTACGCCCGATCACTCATTACGCTTACAGCTTCAATGTCCAGGAACAGCGATGGAGGGTGTCGTGTCGGGAAGCGCCCAGCTGCCGAGAACAATCAGCCTCTGGATATTCTCAAAGGCTCGAAAAGAATTAGGATTTTTGAGAATACTCCGCTCGATTGGAACAACGCGTGGAACAGAGGCCCACTTCGTAAGAGAGCGTGGACATTACAAGAACGGCAACTCTCCACGCGTAGTCTTCACTTCTCCGAGACTTTACTTCTCTGGGAGTGTAAGACTTCTAAAGCTTCGAGCGAGCTACCGTGGATGCAGATGAGAATTGAGGATCCACCGTCTCTTCTGATGCTGAACGATGCTGCTGAGAACATAGAGAATTCCGGTTCACTATCCATGAGAGACCACTGGTTTAGTATTGTGGAAGACTATTCGCAGCGAAGTCTGACCTACGAAGCGGACAAGTTGCCAGCTCTGTCTGGACTGGCCCAAGCTTTGACACAGTCACATGGGACCTATTTTGCTGGTTTGTTTCGGATGGACCTGCCATCTGCCCTTCTTTGGAGGAGTAAAATTGCACAGTCCCCCCACGAGCTTCAACCTCGAAGACCATGCCATTATCGAGCGCCCTCTTGGTCCTGGGCTGCCGTGGAAGGTGCCATAGTTTATGACAGCCAGAGACTTGACGAGGCAGTAGGCAGGAACAGATCTGGGCTCATCGAGCACGACTTCGGGGATTTTTAAATCCTGGATCTTGCTGTAAAACCCGTGGGCAACGACACAACTGGGGCAGTTTCAGGTGGCTCGATACGTTTAGCTGGCCGTCTGGCAGCCAGTACTGCTGATCTACAGGTCTCCGAAGAGGGTAGTATGAGCTTCTACGAAGGGTCGAGGGCATTGTCAAATCGTGAAAGTGAGAGAGTAGGCGTTATCTACCCCGATGTCCTGTCGGAGTTGCAGGGTGGCCAAATTATATTCTGCATGGAAGTGCGGAAGGAAAGGTACTGGTCAAAGGTTCTAATGCCGTCCACGATATACGATCGGAACTCCGAGCCGAAAGACGAGGAAGATTCGAGGGCAACGGTCATGGGCTTGGCACTGGTGAAAGACGACGAGCATACCGGTGGATATAAACGAGTGGGACTGGTGCGCTGGATGAAGAGATCGTGTTTTTCGGATGTGGAAGCCTGCGAAATCACCATTTACTGACGACGCTGGGTGCGATACATTTCATGACTTTGTTGATCCCTTGGTAACCACTCCAGGACAGGTTGCGGGATGCTTAAAAAAGCCTGGGTGAATTTTTACTCATAGCTTCAACATGATCTATAAAGACCCACAGAATTGTTGAGGATGTGAAAAATAGCGGTTCCAGGTGTTTCGCCAGCGGAATTTATCCAGCTACGCTCAGTTATTGCTTCCAACATTATGGGGCTTAGAAATATAGCTGAAGTGGAACGGGCGAGGGTGGTGAGAGATGTGGCACCCTCTGTATATGTCTTGTAGCACTAGTATCTCTCGAGATACAAGCATGAAGCAGCTGGGTTTGAGGGTGCATGAGATTGGGTGGTAGAGAAAAGGGGTAATTGGTCTCTCGTCTCGATACATTGCTGGGTAAGCTTCGGGACATTCGTTGTTGGATTGCGATTTAGCATAAAGAATCGGTTCTTTGCGTTGCGTCCTATCGTTGTTTTGTATATGACGCCCTGAATCTAGAGGCGACTGGTGAAGCCGCTTTTGTCAATCTTGACCAGATACTCCTTTGTTATGTCCTCTACCTTCACCGTCCCCGCTAACCCCATACACAGCCTGAATTCATCGCTCAGCAATCTCAAGCAGAGCTCGACCCCTTCTTGCCCTTTATACGCCAGCCCCCACAGCACCGGCCGACCCACCCACACGAAATCCGCACCCAAGGCCAGTGCCTTGAAGACATCGGTACCGTGCCGTATTCCTCCGTCCACATGTACGGGTATCTTTCCTCTAGCCGCCTCCACGACATCCGGTAGGGCATCCAGCGTCGCCAATGCACCATTGAGTTGTCTTCCCCCGTGATTCGAAACAACGATCCCATCAACGCCGTGATGTACAGCCAAGTGCGCATCTTCTGCCGTAGCAATCCCCTTCACCCACACCTCCATCTCCGGCGAACATTGCTCCTTCAACCAACCGATATCACGCTCCCAGCTCAGTGTCGGATTGGGCGCATGTGTATGGAACGACACCGGCCCTGTAGGCGCTTGCCGTCTCTTGCCATCATGGTATCCCTTTGTGCCGGTGCTTTTCTTTTCCTCTCCCTGCTCTGACTTCGGCGTCGATCCACCCATGACCGTCTCTGACGCAGAGGAACCGGAGTCCTCGGCAAAGTTGGCAAGCTTGTATGGTTTGGGCAATTTGAACTGGTTGCGTATCTCCATGTTTCGGCGGCCTAGCATGGGGGTGTCGACGGTCAGGAAGATTGCCTTGTAGCCGGCTTTCTTGGCGCGTTGTATCAGCTTCCGAGAGTGTTCACGCTCTTCGAAGAGGTAGAGTTGGAAGATCAGAGGATGGCCGTCAATGTTTGAGGCGACGTCTTCGATGGTTGAGGTCGCGAAGGAGGACAGACCCATTGCTATGCCTGCCTCTTTGCACGCTTTGGCCGTGGCGATCTCTCCGTCTGGATGGGCCAAACACTGCATGGCGGTTGGAGCAAGGCCAATGGGTACCGAGTTGCAAGCACCCCATATTGAGACGGAACTGTCGATGAGAGATATGTCCCGCAGGACTCGGGGCCTTATGCGGTACTTGCCGTAGGCGGTGGTGTTTTCTAGGAGAGTGGATCCGGAGTCGGCGCCTTCGTTGTAGTAGTCGCGTGTCTGCTTGTTCATGCGGAGTTCAGCGTGCTTTTCGAGCTCGGCAATGGTGAGGCAGTTTAGGTCGTGAGGCTTTTCGCCTTTCCCTTGGGCGGCCATGGTGGAGGATTCGTGTGCTGTTGCTGGGGCAGGAGGACAAAGAGCATATGGGACCCCAGAGGAAGAGGCAACGTGGGATTGAGAAAGTGCATGACGATTGAGATGATGGTGACTGGTTGCTGATAGTCTATACTATGCCACATTGGTAGATACTAAGCCGATAGTGGCATCATACCTCCAACCATTTCGGAGATGTGGAAGGTGTTTTGCTTTTTTGAGGTGACCCCAGTGTGGGGTTGACACTATACTACTTAGAGAGTAATCTTAGCTCCATTCGCGCTTTGCTGCTCGCCGCGCCAAGTCCAGTGCCAAGCCTTGTCCAATTACTTTCTACTGGAATCAATGATGCTCTACTTGATACACATACTCATATGGTTTGCAAAAGCGCTCTTAGGAGGGCGTTATCTGTCAAGTCAACAGTGCAACACATATCATCGAGATGATTACCATGTCACTTGCGAATAAGTGTATGCGACCATGGGAGCCTCGCTCTATGTCCATGATCATGTCGTTTCTCCTCCTTTCACTCCAAGATTTTGGAACTCCTCCATCCTGGTTAAGCGATAATTTCAGGATCTTAGAACGCGGCGTGCATGCATGCAGGCCGGCCCAACCACCGCCTGTTCTCTTGCTAGCGCATCCGCTTCCTTGGTACACAGGCCAGTCGAGCCGGAACAAGCTCATCGTCTTCGCCAATAGTACTTCTCTGGAGCTCTTCCATTGAACAAAGACACCGTGGGAGCACTACTCATGGGCAAGCAAGTCACCGGGGTTAGTCTATTGAGCGTTGACTTCCATGCCTCCATCAACAGCCCACTCACTACACAATGATACTGTGTCTCGATTGGAAGAGAGACAGAGTGGCAATGAGTTCGATGTTAGATACACCTTGCCAAAAGCAGGTAGCCGCTCCAATTGCGGCGCTGTGCAGGTCAAGTGGGAATAATCGAGACCAGTATTTCCAAAGTCCGTCAACCGTACAGACTTTCTATGCTTTTGTCACGACGTCGCACCCCAATGTGTCCGGGGGCCTTTCAACGACGACAAAAAGGCGAAACAATCCTGTGGCGCGGTCGCGCTTTCTCAATCGTTGAAAGTGATTGTGTCAAAGTCCAGATCTGATAATTTTGCCGAGCTGTACGCACGCATTCTGGGCGCGTCATCTGGGACTATCGACAGGCGTGGCGAAGCCAGGAAAACAGATCTCAAACTCGGATCGCCGGTTCAAGGGCTTGGTCCGTCGAATATCAGTTTAAGCTCAGAAGAGGATGAAATGGACCGGGTTTTGGTGCGAGATCGTGGCTTGTTTCTATCCGTTGCGGACCGTGAATGGCATGGCGAGGAAACCCTGGGTACCGAAGGAGTCGCATCGACAATATCGCTGAAATGGTAGTCCGGTCGTCGGTCTGCATAACGAGGTCTGGCTCTGGAAATCTTTGTCGAGAGCTCAAGGCCAGTGGGATCTGGTGACACTAGATTGCAAGGATACTTCCTTACCGGAGGCCAAGATTTCCCTAAGGGGTGATCTGCAGGTTACCTCAGCACCTGCCGATAACCTCTTTGTAGTGACTTTGCCACTGAGGTTGCCATGGTAGGGTGGGCGAATCGCCCTCCGAGGGGCGATGACCAACATCCCAATCTGTCGTGACTCCAATTCCGTTGTCTTTCCTCATTTCAGACGGGTCATGCTCCCATTCTGCCCTGGGAAGATAATACCTGGACAATGGTCGCCATGAAAAGGTCGGTAGTGGAATCGATGGTGCTCGAACATCTATTGGCAGATCTGAAGAGAACATAAGAAGTGAATCTTTGTGCATTATCTGCCTAGGCGGACTGATATGCGGATACTTTCCTCCTCGAGACGACACATGATTCTTGCGACCCGCTCGCAGAAACTTATTATGTATGCTTGAGTCAACGGTTGATGTCCTGGTCCGAAATGAGCTGAAGATGCTGATCGCTCCCAGCTTGCTGAAAATGGGCTTCATCACTGGCAGGCAGGCGTTAACGATGCCAAGCAGGGCTTCGAGGCATGTTAGAAGGGCAATTATCGCGTACTGCTGCTGCGTATTCTGCGCATTAATGCCCGTTGTTATTATAATCCGGACCACAGTGATGGCGCAGATTCTATACGAGAGATCAGCATGGCATTTCCTCGCTCCCTTAAATCTTTTGTTGAGGGCTACTCACACTACTCCCATCGAGAACATGCCGGTTATGACGAGCTTCTGCCTCATCCGCATTTGAAGACCCCACAGAACGGGCATCGGGAGCGCAACAGTCGTGACGTCCATCATGAGGTTGAATACTCCGATGAACAGATCGAGAGACTTCTGATCACCACAGAAGCCATCGATGGACTGATTCCAGAGAAACGCAAACGGCCGGCATATCAAACAGCAAGCTAGGACTACGGCAACAAAATAGGCCAGATTGATGCCTTGGATCACGTAGCAGGTTGTACGGAAAGACAGCGTCCGGAAAATTCGGATATAGAGAGTCAGGACAGAGGCCCGGATAAATGTCACGGATGTAACCCAGAGGAGCTGTCCCACGAGCAACGCTTTGTCGCCCCAGTTTATGTCGGGGTTGGCTGGGTCTAGGACCGGAAAAATGGTGGAATGCATTGTGAAGATTGTCAATGCTAAGGTAAAGACCTAGTGTCCGATCAGCATTTGGCAGGCACTCGGGTGGTCGAGAGCATACTAAGCCGGCTATGCACAGATAGTCATTCAGCTCCAGCCTAATTTTCTGAAGCTTGCGCGCTGACAATCGGAGAACGACAGAGGTAAGAGCAGCAAACGAGAAGGCGGATAATACGCAGACATGCATGACTCGCGTGGAGTCACACGTGAAACAGTCTGCCATTTCGGATTGTGGATTAGACTATTACCGAGGACTCCTTTCTATTCGTTGAGCATAGGCTTGACAGAGCGCATTGTCAGGGCCTGCAGAATCAAAAGCTGCCTTTGCAGTGTATGAAGACATCAAATAAATGAAGTGGAAGAGTGCGCCATTATAAGAGATCCAGTGGCCCTTCCCCCCAACGCCGTAATCCCGCATCGATGTTTTCGTCTATCACAGCACACCACCTTCGAATGATACCGCCCTTAAAACTGTTCCGTTTTGTGTGGCAAGAGAGGCCTGAAAACATGTCCGATCAATCAATCCGCATTTCAGAACCAATGAACACTGGACGCAGATTTTCTTGGCGATGTGAGTCGCAAGGTGCGACGAATGCGGCCACGCTTACGCCTCATCTCTAGCGTGTGTCAAGATTTCGATGGTGTTGTGGCAAAGAAACGGTAATCACAGTTGATCCTCAAACCTCCACAATTTTACGCATTGCGTGGCCCTGGTCCTTTCCTACGTGCAAAGACATGCGGGTGGATTCTTCGATGGGGCTATGCTTACGGCGGGGGAAGCAGAGCGTCCGCTGACTCAAATACCGGTACGGGCCTCAGGAACGGGTAATTCCCAAGAACGACAATAGAACGTACTTCAGGTAAGATGGGAATAGGGAGTAGACATCTCTTATTGAATGTATATGAGCAGACGGAGGGATTTTCTTGTATGGATCATATTCAGAGGAAAGCAAGTACTACAGGTGTGGATGGAAGAGTTGAAGGAATTCGCCCATGGTGTTCAGAGACCATATAACTTCACCGGTAAATTCAACCGAAAGCGATTGCGTGTAAGGTTTGTAGAACCCTCCTCAATCTGTAGATTATACCCTCGCGGTCCTGCTGCGGATTCGTACGTTGTTGAGTTATAACAGATTGTGAGCTACGAGTCGAAATGCGCTTCAAACCTCCGTCTCAATGTCTCGCACACTGCATGACATCCACCAGTCAAAGCATCCATCAGGTAGGTGCATTGGTCTAGAGAAGATGTGGCCTCGAAAAGAAGGGCAGTCGTCCGTCTTCATGCATATCTTGACGGCTTTTAATTCCACACCTTGCTGTGCCTGCTCTCCAAGTATCTTGACCGCCAACAGTCCATTACAACTTCCAGCCCAAAGTTCTAAAGGGTCAATTAATCGTTCTGATATTCTAGCCAGATCACAATGCTAGGCTGCGCCTTATGTTTTTTATACGTGCACATGTAGCAAAACGACCTAATGCACGGTAAATCTGGAACGCCATCTCCCTACTTTAGCGCTTCGCTTAAATCTCTAAGTGCCTGACGCTGCATGCAGAAACCGAAATTTGCCCTGTCCACACTTTGGTCTAAGAGCTATGGCCGCTATGAAACTTGTCGCACTTTTCACATCTCGCTCCTAGACAAACAGCATAGAACTTTAGCACCGTGGTTCGAAGATATCCAATCCAGCCGAGGTCTATCCCTGCCCTCGTCGTGACGTTCGTAGCGCAGATTCGACCAGATGAACGAGCTGCACTTCAACAATGCCAGAGCTCGTCCCAGCTGTCATAGGAGAAAACGTCATGGGGTCATTGCAGATTATCTTCTAGTCTCTGCAAATGGTGGCTGTGGATTCTGGGGATCTGGCGGATAATGTCCTTATCAGATTGTGCTCTTTATAGAGAGACCCGACCCCATTTGTTGGTCGATGTTGAAAGAGAAGTCAGAGGCTCGGATGTGCTTGCTGGGCTTCAAGGTCATATGATGCGGAGAGAGGGGTGGGCTGTATCATGTTACGAATCAGGCATGGTGTTTGAAACGAGGGTAGAATGCTGGTTAGACTGGCTTCAGACAAGTTTCAAGAAAGAATGTCGAAGATGAAAAGATAAAGATAGAAGAAGGCAGACACCAGAGTGGAAGAGCTATCGTATAGACCGGGCACAAGAAGCGGGTTTGCGTGTCTATGGCTGTGTTTCATTGGGACAGCTTTGATTCGCAGTCACATTCGATGCCGAAACAGATTCATTCCTTTGTCGGCTGTGTTCATAGCACCGGCTGAGATGGCGAATCGGTTCCCGATAGCATGAGTGACATTTGTTATACTGTTAACACACTTGCTTGCAAGACAGTGCGGCTCATCCTACTCACAATGTTATAAGGACCTGAATCAACGTTATCGCTTTCACAATCATACCCGACCAACGCTGCCTATTCATGGACTATGAACTCGTTCCTCATCATGCCGCCTACATCGCAAGCAGAGTACAACTCGACCCAGATACCTCCATGCACATCCGCAGTCACAGTAGCGGCCTCCCCTCTGCTCGAACTGCCTATGGCGCTACGTAAGCGCATCATCTCTCTGGTGGTGGTCAAAAATTTCTACGGAAACCCCATCATCTTCAACCGAGAGACAGGCCCCTACTTCCCCGAATCAAAGGACGAGCACCTACAACCGTCGCTGTCTCGAGTCTGTCGCCAGCTCCGCGACGAGGTCCTCCCGATCTACTACGGCGAGAATCTCTTCGGCGTACACATCCACAGGAATTCCCACGTCGTCGAGCAGGACCGTCCCGCTTTCCTTCGCTGGCTTGACACGGTCGGAGAGAAGTACGTGGATCGTTTCGTTCATTTTAGGTTCGACGTCCAGGTCTGCGGCGCGGCTGTTCAGCTCCATCTGCTGAACGGGCCGCGGGGATATCACGTTCGGAGGATCGCGGCGAAGACGGAGGATCGGAAGGCGAAGGTGAAGAAGAGGGTCGAGGCTCTTCTGGAACCGGTGAATGAGCGGAGGGTTGGGGGTGGTATCTGCGTGGAGGATATTAGGGGGGTTGAGGAGAAGCTCCAGAAGATGTCGAAGTCTCGGAGTTGAGTGGAGTAGCCCCAATATGAGTTAAACCTGGAAATCAAGTCGCGGATCAATTATCAATATGAAGGTTCTGCTTGTGCATCGCCTCCAGGGTCGAACTTGTCATGTATCCGAGTCTCGATTCACGTAGCCAGTCCCATATCCACACTGCTCTGGATCCGCTCTACATTACCCATCGGTAAATTCCTTCCTTTACACTACGATCGCGGGCTCGCACACCCACATGAGGTTTTACACAATTTCAAATGATTGCTTAGGGGCCTTTAGGCGGAATTCCATCATCCCGACCCCTAGTGATGCGCAGTGATCCATTGATGGCCCTAAGGCAGGCATCAACGCCTCGGCGGGCTAGCTCTGGCGCTCAGAGTCCCCCCCATAAGCGCGGTGCCCTACTTTTTCTTGGAATCGACTTGATTTCATGGTTTGGAATGCCTGGAGACTTCCCAAAGCCCGGAACGCAGAACTAACGTGTAGACACAGCCATCAAAAGGGGTTGCGTAGAGAGTCCGGGAAGGTGACGAGGCATGGTCTGCGCTTGATGCTCGGATCGCTGAGTATCCACAGGGGGCTGAGATCGCTGGCTCGAGGTCTTGGAAGTAATGCATCGTCGGTATTGGGATTTTTATGAGAATATAGATATTTTAGATTAGATTTTCGAGACCGAGTCTGATCGGTATTGAATGTTTGCGTTCTGGGTATCCGGCGTTCATTCGGTAGATGCTTTCTGCATGAACTGTTTCTATAGCATCTTTGGAAATGCTTTCGAATGTGCGTAGTAGACTGACATGGCCACTGTTGATGAGGAAATAGTAGACGAGGTCGCGTAATCCTGGTGGACAGAGGAAAGATGGTGGCGATTATCTGGTCCCTAATCTCAGAGACGGTGCTTCCGGCCTCTCTGTGGCGGCCACGCGTTGGAAATGTATGAAGGATGAAGGATTGATTGATTAAGTAGCTATGAGAGTGCTGAGGGAAGGCTACTTATACCCCTATTTGCCACCATGTGGGGTAGCTTCAACACAGGTGCTGCAGCAAATCTCAACACCACGCGAGATGGCGTAAGGTGCCGCGATCACTGGAGTACTAAGGCGCGGTTCTAAATGCGCCCCGACTGCCTCTTCGTCGGTAGATCGTAGACGTATTGCTTTGCAGGGCTGAGTGTTGTTTGGACATTCTCTATTTCTAGGTATCCAGATGCAAATGGGGTCAACTTGAGCTTTTAGGCGTACGGGTTCGCCATTCTGAGCTCGTACAGGATTCGAGGGAGCCGAACTAGATGCTCCGATTGTGTCCCGAGACAACGTCAAGCGGCCTCTGGTCAAATGTATCCATCAGGCAGAGATGATACATCGTAGAACCAAAGGTAGCTGAGGCTTCAATACGTTGTCGGGCTTTCGATCATGTCTAGAAAGCATGGAAGAGTGTGTTTGCTGGCTGGTATCATCTGGCAAGCGGGTAGTCAATTTCTAGAGTCCGCAAAAGTAGCATCAATGACCAAGATTCTTCGTTGTTTGAACATTTTGCTGAGGATAAGAACTTCTCAATGCCTCAGGTATGTCGCAGGTATGTCGACGTTTTCCCTACTTCCTTTAGTTGTTGCCTCCCAAGCACATGATAGGCCAACGCTCGAGCTGACTAATCAGATTCTTATCTGCGATGGCAAATTACAATTGGTACGGAGTACCGCGGAAAGCTACATGTATGAAGGATTGGGTGAAGGATTCAGAGCCTCGATCCTTTGAGGCGGGCAACAAAGAATCTTGGAAGAATGAGCATCCGGGTATTCATACCAGCAGCATGAGTATCGAAAATCAGGTCCCAAAGTCTCAAATTTGTGATGGAAACCGCTAAGAGACTATGGGATTTCCTCTCAATAGTAAAGTGAAGGGGAAACGTCTGAATAGATGTCTAGGCTTCTTCGCAACGATCCCAAGGGATCATCACTGTCAGCGCCCTTGACGTATTCCATTACGCTCCATAGAGAAGAGAAGGGCCTACATTTCAATGCTAGAGCTTAGCTACATCGTCAAGCAACTTGGATTCTCAGCCTTCTACCACTGAAAATTGAGATCGCTCTCGCAAAACTTGCCTGTTTCTGCCTCTTGCATTCAGCTGCAGTCATTAGCCGGCCTTTGGCGCGTTTGTCCAGCCCGCTAAGTAGCGATGCGTCGCCAATGACTTTCTTCTTGTCTGCTCTTTTCTTGAGGCCGAAATAAGGTCTCAAAGTCCTCAGATATGCCGAATCTGACAAATACAGTGTTCGCACCGCCAGTGGAGACGAAAAGCAGAGACGCAAGCAACGATGCAAGCAGGCTCGGGCTAGAAGAATATCGAGACAAGCGAAGCGAGCGGAGTCTATTACGGAAAATCGATGTCCACCTCGTTCTACCCTTATGGATCATCTTTACCCTCGGCTTCATGGACCGCATCAATTTAGGTAACGTCCGGGTCCTGGGAATCCTACCAGACCTCCATCTCGTCGGTAACGCGTACAACATCGCCCTACAGGTCTTCTTCGTCCCATATATCCTCATTGAGATCCCCAGCAACATCTTCCTCAAGAAGATTGCCCCTTCAACCTGGATAGCCTCCCTCACCTTCCTGTGGGGCATAGCATGCATGTGTCAAGGCTTCGTCAAAAGCAACAGCGGACTGATCGCCTGCCGGTTCTTCCTTGGTCTTTTCGAAGGTGGCTTCGTCCCAGGGTGCGCCTACCTGATGTCTATGTACTACAAGCGTCATGAGTTTCAGAAGCGGTTCTCGCTGTTCTGGTGTGCCGGCTTGATCGCGGGTGCTTTCAGCGGTCTCTTAGCCTATGCTCTTGTGCATATGGATGGGATAAGTGGCTATGCTGGCTGGCGCTGGATCTTCATCATTGAGGGACTGCTTTCGGTGGTTGTTTCGGTGCCAGCAAAATTCCTGCTGGCAGATTGGCCTGAGCAGGCGGCATTTCTCACTGCAGAAGAGAAACAGTATCTACTGGTCCGTAACAACTCCGATACGGGTGGTGCAGCACAGATGGACCGTCTTGATCCTGACGCATGGAGGCGCATCTTCACGGATTGGAAGCTGTATGTTGCAAGCCTGATCTATATCGGCATCACGGTCTCTGGGTACGCAACCGCGCTTTTCGTGCCCACCATCGTCAATTCGCTCGGCTATTCCGGCATCGAAAGCCAAGTGCACAGTATACCCATCTGGATCGTGGCTGCTATTGTCACGCTTGCAACCGCGGTCCTAAGTGATTGGACTAAACACCGGTATGGATACATGATGTTCGGTGTCGTCTTCGCAAGCATCGGCTACATCATCCTCTTGTGCCAAGGCCCGCTCGTGCATCCTCGTACCCACAAGCCCGCAGGCCTCGCTCTGAGTGTGAGGTATATGGCAGTCTATTTCGTGACGATGGGCTGTTATATGGTGCAACCGAATGCCATTGTCTGGGTCGCAAATAATCTCGGGGGTCACTACAAGCGTTCTATTGGACTGGCGGTTATGATCGGTTTTGGGAATATTGGGGGCATCATTGCAAGTAACATCTTTGTGCAGACGGAGGCACCGAGGTATTTTGTTGGATATGGGGTTAGTCTGGCTATGTTGGTGTTTTGTGGTATCATGTGTACTGCATTTGCAGTGGGTTTAGTCATGGAGAACAGGAAGAGGGAGAAAGGGGAGAGGAATCATCGTTTGGAGTTGCCGGAGAGTGTGCTTGGAAATATTGGCGATGACGATCCGAGGTTTCGCTTTAGTTTGTAAAAGCCTTCATTCAATTCCGATAGGGACTCATATCGACTTCTTGGCACGGTATCGAAGTCGCTACCTCCATCAACATGTAAAGTCTTCTTCACTGGCCCTCAACATCACCACTCTGCTCGACAGATTATTAGCTACTGAACAACCCTTTCGAGGGACGACACTCTATCTAAGTTGTTCCCAACATCGAGATCCAGCCCCATGACGCATTGAGTGTCCGATAACCCATGATGCTGGCGTTACCAGGTCCGACATACGACCCCAGTTGCCTCGAACAAGGCCCCCATCTGTCTCAAAGGTCGGTACGGCAGATCAGGGGTGCTAGGTCCGCTTGAAATGGGACTGCGGCTACCAAGGCGCGGACGATACCGGCTATGGCGGGGACGGAGTTTGACAGGACGGCTGATCGAGAACGCTGTGGGATAGTAGTACTATCATAGTATAGAGGGTTGGTGCCTGGAGGTGTGGGGTTGATATGATTGGGACGGGATATGAATGGGATATATCAACAATACTGTTGGAATATGTGTTCGATGGTCTTTTGAGAGAAGAGAGTCAATGAAGGCTGAACGGAGAATAGCACGAGGTGTGAAAGCCAGGTACTGGGATGTTAAAGGGGATGTGTCGGTAACTCAACACTCGCTACCACTAGTACTCATTCGGCCTAGTCATTGATATATGAAGGCCTTCCCTATATATAGAATTCTTCTTTCTTAGATATTATTAAGAATATTATATCTAGTAAAAAAAAAAAAAAAAAAAAAAACTATATATTCAGGTATTTATTAATACTAATTAGTATATTTTAATACTAGTATATAGATTAGCTAGATTATACTCTTAAAGAAAATTCGTCTTAATATTATCGCGATAGCTTTATATAATTCTATAATTACTCGACTAATTTCACTTACTTAATAATACGATTAAATAAAACTATAATTTCTATTTTCTATTTTCTACTTTTTATCTTCTACTTACTCTATAACTTCTATTTAATAAAGAAAATATCTAGAAAATATTAAATATTATTAGACTTTATATTAGTTTAATATATAATATATAATAAAATAGCCTCTAAATAGAAGAAGAAGATTAATTCTTTAGAGATTAATATTATATCTAAGCGTAAATTAGAGAGTATACTATTTAAAGAAGTTAAATTAATAAATTTTAAAAAGAGACTTAATTAATTCTATTAAGAAATAATATAATATAACTTATATATATAGTATAGTATAAAAAGATATTAATTAATCTATATAATTTATAGATAGATATATACGATATTAAGTCTACGCTAATAGCCCTATAAGTATCTCTAAGACATCTTATAATTAATTCGTTCGTTAAAGAATATAAGAATATATACTATATAAATAAGAGTAACTCTCTAAAATCTTTATTAAGAAATTTTAATTATTTATTAAAGAGAACTTTAAAAAGCTTAGTAAAGATAATATCTATAGCTTATAAGATTATCTATAAATTAATAAAGTCTATATTTAAAAAGAAAGAGGGATTTTTATAGTCTAAGTATTAATAAATATAATTTAAAAAGATATTCTATAGCTATCGAATATAATTTAAAAAAATATTCTATAGTTATCGAATAACGAAGAATATTCTTTATTAAAGTCTTATTAATTAATTATTAAGAATATTACTTTAATTTACTCTTTCTCTATTTTAAGCGATAATCTTTTATACTAATCTTAATAATAGTCTAAAAATATTACTATACTTCTTTCTCTTCTTATTATAAACTATAACTTAGATTATCGAGTTTATTAAAAAGATAATATACTCGAAAGAGCTTAATCGAGATAATATTCATATTTTAATAGAGTTTTATATCTACTATTCTTACTCTATTAAGTTATTTAAAATAAGTAAAGATCTATGAATTAAATTTATAAAGTTGAATTTTTCTAAGTTAAATCGAATTTTAGCTCTAGCTCTAAGTTAAATTAAACTCTAATCGCTTACTATACGTTTTTAATCTACTTTTATTACTATAAAATTAATTTAATCTATATAATATATAGATATATATATATAAAGAGAGGCGCGCTAAGACTTAATTAGAAAGATATATCGAGTATAAAAAATTAATCTATAATAATTATCTATAAAAAATAGAGAAAGACTATATTCTTATAGTAAGAAGTATCGAAATATCGAAAAGAAATAAAGATAATATATTAATTAGTAGTATAAATTCTATAATATCTTCTATTATAGTAAAATCTTTCGAATAATAAGATAGCTATAGATATCGAATAATTTTAATTTATCTAAATATATATTATTCGATATTTCTTTTATAGAGATTTAATTAACTATAATCGTCGTAGTAAATTCTTCTCTTATAACGTTATTATAGTAATATATTATATTAATATAATAAGAATAATAGACTAAGTTATAGTAGTATTCTCCGCTTACTAAGTAATAATTTAATATAGAATTTTAGAGAGCTAAGCTATATTCTTAATAATAATAGCTTTATTATCGCTTAGTTTCTTTATAGTATTCTTCGTAATATTCTCCGTAGTATTCTCCGTATTAATTTATTATAACTTCTTCTCTTACTTCTTCTCTTATAGAGTATTAGATTAAGTAAGTAGCTAAGTAATTAATTAAGTAAATAACTAAATAATTAACTAATAACGCTTACTAAGTAATAATTTAATATAGAATTATAGAGAGTATATAATATAAGATCTTAAAGAGCTAAGTCGTATTCTTAACGATAATAGTCTTATTATTACTTAATTTCTTCGTAGTATTCTCCATATTAGTCTATTATAATTCCTTCTCTTACTTTTTCTCTTATAGAGTATTAGATTAAATAGCTAGCTAAGTAATTAATTAAGTAAATAACTAAGTAACTAGCTAATAATACTTACTAAGTAATAATTTAATATAGAATTATAGAGAGTATATAATATAAGATCTTGAAGAGCTAAGTCGTATTCTTAATAATAGTAATCTTATTATCGCTTAATTTCTCCGTAGTATTCTTCGTAGTATTCTCCGCATTTATCTATTATAATTTCTTCTCTTACTTCTTTTTTTATAAAGTATTAGACTAAGTAACTAGCTAAGTAATTAATTAAGTAAATAACTAAATAATTAATTAACGATCTGACTAAGTAGATTATTAAGCTAATAGAGTAAATAGTATTAATTAAGCGATTAATTAAGTATTACTAACTTAAGAGAAATATATAAGAGAGAATAATAACTATAAATCCGTTTAAACTCTTTTTAAAGATCTTTTAATACGTTTATAAGTAGTAGTAGATAGCTATTAAACTCGCTTACGGCCTTAATTGTTATTAATAAGAGATTTAAAAGATAAATAAAAGAAATATATACTTTATATATTTATTAATATTTAAATAAGAGGTATTAAGAGCTAATTTATTTATAATTAATAGATTAATAAAATTATAGAAGAAGAATAATTATATAAATAGATGAAAGAATTATTATTCGAACTCGGATGTATCTAATATAACTATTATAATTATTATATTTAAATATTTATTTAATCTATTAATAGTAAGCTAAACTTTATTATTTTTATAACGTTAGAAAGCGTAAAGCGAGCTCTATAACTTAAGAAATTATAAAGTAACTATATTTATCGTAAGCTAAGTACTTTAAAGTATAAAACTTCTATATATAAATTTTTAATAAGAGAGATATAAGAGAGCTATCGAGCTAACTTAGTCGATCTAATTAAAAAGCGTATAGAACTCGAATTAATAATTAACTATATATATAAATTCAAGATTTTTAAGCTTAGCTCTATCTTATTCTATTATATATACTAATAATAACTCTATTAATACGAGCTAACTCTCTATAGTTTTATCTATTATTACTAGAAAACGTAGTTTACTAGAAAATGCAATTTTTTTAAATTCAATAAATCCGACGTATGTGAGATAGTAAGATCTCTTTTAATAAAACTACGTAGTAGCTATATAATTATAAGATCTAGATATATAATTAATAGAATAAATAGATTAGTTATTAGATAAACTAATAACTAAAGAAAAAAGAAGAGAAAAGAAGACTTATAAGTATTTAAGACTTCGCTAAATATATTAAATACTTACTTTAACTACGTAGTTTATAATCTAATAAGTAATATAAGCGAGTCTATTAATTTACTTTAAGTACTTTTATTCTTATAACTATATCTTCTTTTAGAAGATTTAATCTCTAAATCTTATTATTATTATATCTTATAATTAAATATTTACGAATTTATTAGCTTCTTATATATTATTTATTATTAGCTTAAATATAACTTAAATTAATATATACTATAATAGCGTATTTAAACTTTTTATCTTAAGATCTCTTTAAGTATATTAATATATTTATATACTAAATCGTAATAGTATCGCTATATATATTATTATCTTAATTAATAGAATATAGATATATTACTATCTTATTATAATATACTATTATTACTATTATTATACGCTATTATTATTATTATTACTTTAATAATTATAATAATTCTATTATTATAATTATAAAAGTCGCGTTAATAAATATAAAAGTCTTATTTTTAATTTAACTTTTATTCTTTTTAGTAATAATATTAATATCGACGCTATTATAAGTAAATATCTAATTCTTCTTTATATCTACTATTTTATCTTTATTTATTTTTATCGCAATATCGTAATAATAAGTTATATATTATTATAATAATATAATATATATATTAATTAAGATAATAATTAAATAAGATTAAAATTATTTAGATTAATTTTATATATAATAAATATCTCGAAGAATACTTTATAATACTTTTTAAATAGTATAAGAAGTATATTAATATATTAATAATAATATTAAATCTTCGCTCTTATAACTCTACGAGTTATTAAATATTTATAATCGTTATTATTTCTATATCTCTCGCTATAGCTAGTAGATATTTATATTTATTTTAAAGATATATTTAGCTA